AAGAAAAAGCAGGGAAAAAACATACAACAGCGGGGATTCGCTGGTCGTCACCGACCCAACTACTAATCCGCCGATTCTTGGCTTGACTATGGGAGAGCGGACGGGATCCCGTATTTTCCAAGAGCTATGGTCGTATGTGATTGACTACCTCTGAGTTTGGGTCTATGAAGGAGAAATACCGGTGGTTTGTAGGACGCGATTGTTGAGGTGTAAGAGGATGGCGGGGAAATGTTGATCCGACCAAGTACCTCGGCGTTGGGAAATCACAGTCGCTTTTCGGTCTTAGGTGTCTTTTTTTTCCCTTTCGCCTTTAAAATGAACTATCAAGAAGCTGTGGAAGTTTAATTAATGAAGTCTCCATGTACTTCTGTAGAACTATGATTCTTTTTCAGAGCCCCAGACAAGTGCACATCAAATAAGATTTCTAGGCGGCACTCACTTGCCGTAAACCCTTTACCCTGGAGAATAAAGCCAAACCTTGATTTCTGAGTCACGAAAGTAACATGGCGCACAAACCCTTTGCGACCAATCACCCTGTAACCAAGAACCAACTGTGTGGCCAGTTTCTCAAGGAATAAAAAGTTCGAGTCACTCTCACTCATCCTCCATCTGCACTCTTCACCACAACGACTGATTTTTCATCCTTCAGCAAACAGTTGTCGCTGCCCTGCCTCCACAGTTACTCTCCTTAAGCATCGCTACCAGAAAATCGAGTGAGTCACTCTAATCAATGGCATACAGAAAACCCTAACCTTTTCGACTTCGTCACTCAGATGATCATTCATAATGGTCTCAGAACCTGTTCTTCAGCTTAAGAGCTGCACCGTACGCCCATACAGAGAAAGCGATACCGAATCCCTCGCCAAAGCAGCAAACAATCCAAACATAGCACGATGGTTGTGCAACACATTTCCCAACCCATATAGAATTCCCGACGCCAAGAAATGGATATTCATCGCCAACACCCCTCCAATCCTCGACTTTGCAATTTGTTCGCCTGACAGCTCAATCGTCATCGGTGGCATTGGCCTCAAAGCACGAGACGATATCCACCACCGCACCATGGAAATTGGATACTGGATCTGTGAAGAGTATTGGTATCGGGGTATCGCGACTGAAGTCGTCTGTGCCTTCTCCAAGTGGGCTTTTGACAATTTTGAGCATTTGGTGAGGCTGGAGGCTGAGGTTTTTGAAGGAAACATGGCAAGTTGTCGCGTTCTTGAGAAATCGGGGTTTGAGTTTGAAGGAAGACAGAGAGCGGCCATTGAGAAGATGGGGGTCGTCATGGACGCTTTCACATATGTCAAAATAAGACAGGGAATATAGTCTCCAGGAACATGACTACATCAATGTCAACTTTTATCACGTTCTGGTCTGTATACCCCAGTGTAAGTCTAATGAGAATATCCAAGTGAAGCTGCTACATGCATGGACATAAAAGTTACCGAAGCCCGGGGGTCCTAACTCTAAAGCGCGTTTTGCAAAACCGCACGAACAATTTTAGCGATAGCCAAACACTTCTCCTCCTCAAATTTCCTCCCCACAATTTGAATTCCAACAGGCGCTCCATCATAAACAGAAGCGTCGTCTATGTGTGTCAGTGTGCTTTCCACTCCGTATCAGGGTGACTCACAGGCCTGCCAGTTCTTCTTGTCCAAATCACCCAACGGTTTATACGAATCGTCGAATACATCAATGGCCGCATCTGCTCGGATCGTGGGGATGATGACCGCTGAATAGTTCGTTACGTTCATCGCGTCGGTATATGCTGTGCTCTAGTCAGCGTTGGCATTAACGGCTCAGGATTTGTAGATCTTGCCTCCGTGGTAGAACTTCCCGGGAATCACAGCTGCGTGTGGTGCAACGGGCATTAAAACCGCATCCACAATTTGTCCTGCACTGGTTAGTATATCTGCAGTTGCTCAGAATGTAACTTACCGTCTGAATCTTCAGTCGAGTTCCAGTAGTCTGAGTATTCTCGCTCATATTCGAGACCCTGGAGTGTTAGGTCTTGATACTTCAACAACCCTGTTGGATCTTTGAGCGGAAAGTCAAGATCTGGTACCAGAGGTTCGCCCGAACGGTCCAGGTGACTGTGAATATCGTGTGCTCCATCAGCGGAGAAGAATCCGCCCTAGAGGAGATAAGTTAGTTGCGTGTCATGATGAAAGAAAAGACGAACTTACCAGTATGTTTGTGGCTCTTTCTTGCGATGGCGGGTCCCAGTCTACTACCTAAAATGTGTCAATGCAAAGTCTAGGTGTTCTAAATATAACTCACCTTGTGACCAGCCTTTCTCAAAGCATCGACTACAGCATGTAGACCACGAAGAACAGGTGGATGAGGTCCTACCATTCCGTCCGACCAAAGCACACCCATCTTCAAGGGCCTCTGCCCAGATTTGGGATTCCCCTTCCGATCAGCTCTCGAGGAATACGAAGCCATCATCTCCTCTCTGAACGGAATTGGTATGACAGCAGGATCTCGTAGCCACGGCCCCGTGCCGAGAACGGACTTGAACACAACCTCAAGGGCCTCAACCGATGTACCCATAAAGCCAACCGTTGACCGATACGTATCTTGCCCAGGATTCGTGTTCGCAACGTCGCGGTAGGAAAGTCGATTTGAGGTAGGTTTGATGGAGAAGATACCACAGAAACCAGTTGGGATACGCAATGATCCACCGATATCTGTACCGACGCCAACAGAACTCCCACCCAGAGCCATCAGCGCAGCTTCTCCCCCGGATGAGCCCCCGCAAGACAGATTTCGATTGATCGGATTCAAAGTCTCACCAATGAGGTTATTCTTCGTTTCCCCAAAAAGTAGTGTTTGGGGCAGACTGGTCTTGCAGTACAACACTGCTCCCAGTGACAGTAATTCTTTAACAAGCTGGCTTTCAAATTTGTGAGTTTTCTCTCTCGGGACTCCAAGATTACCTCCAATCCAACCGATATATCCCATCGTGGTATCAACACCCTTGACGTGGAATTGATCTTTGAGACTGATGGGTAACCCGTGAAGTGGTCCAAGAGGCTTCTTGTGCTGAGCGAAGTAGTCGTCAAGAAACTTTGCGCGCTCAAGTGCTTGATCGAAGAAAACCTCATGCAAACAATTGTTCTGACAAGAGTTAGTAACTATTGTTTGCTGACTTCACTAACCCACAATTTGATGCGCAACAGCCGCCCTCCTGCAAAAAGCTGTCGCAACCTGAACAGCCGACCATTTCTGTTCCGCCAAAGTCTGCAAAAGCGGTACACTTGTCATCGACGTGATAGAAATTTCATCTTTATCGAGAAATTGCTCGATGAATGGACCGGTGATGTCGCGCTGTTGATTTGCGCGTTCAAGGTCGTCCGCGGATAATCTCCATTCCGGGCGGATTTTGTTTAGAGTCTCAGCCCGCTTCGCAGCCGCGCGATCTTTCCAAGAATGTTGTGACATGGCCAGTTTGGTTGAGGTTGTTTGTGGCACTTGTGTAAAGGTTAAGATGTCATGTCAAGAATGGTGAAGGTAAGAGAGAACAACGGGCGAAATGAATGACGATGACATTTGCTATTTGTGAAACACGGCACATGTGACCTACAGCATAGATTGAGTTACTCCCTTTGGAATTGAGGGGACACCCCTCAGTATCCGCCCGGCTGGTCTCGCTAAAACAACCTACCCTTGTGAATCAAGTTAGGACCCTTGACGCCAAGAGATTTAGTCCAGGAACCGTGCTCCGATGAATCTTCCCATCGCAGAGCCGCAAATTCCATTGACTCCAAGATTCTCGTCGCTAAACTATCGCAAAGGCCCGAAAATACTGACTCGGCACCACCACAATCAACGATACAGCCGCAACCTGCGAGTTAATTTCCCTTCGCTGTATTTCGAGATTGGATGTACGGGCAGTGCTACATTTTGTGATTCTAGAGCCGTCAGACCAGGTCTTGCAAGAAACAAGTCTGCCGTTTCTAATATGCGCTGTGAACCTCTGAAGCGTACCGAATGATATCGATATACCTACCTAGATTCTAGAAGGTATCCGACGGAGGCCGAGGAGTGCCAAGCTTTGTCTCTCAGTTAATTTCAGTCTGGCCTGTTAGCTGGTCACACAGTACCTCCCCGATGCGCCGCCTTCCGGCGGCGATCGGTGGATCGAATGTTTCCTCCATAACTGCTGACACAATCTGCCTCAGACACCAACTTCAAGTTGACCTCGGGTGCTTTCCTCAATTACGTTGAATCCCCGTTGTTTGGTCCCCGCAGGCGCGCACGTTTGCCCCCTCTAGTCGACGATGAGTTTGAGTGCGTCAGCCCTGTGTACTTTGACATCGAGGCCATTGAATGTCAGACTCGCGTTGTCCCCGACCTGCTTTTGTACCCCCTGGTAACACCGCAACACTTACTGTACGAGTACCGACTCAGAGGGAAGAACCACAAACACCGTGTCGCGCCTCACCTACTTAGTCTCTTCGAACCAGCCAGTTCCCCAGGCGAGATGTGATGGTCATGTCGTGTCAGACCTACTTGAACCCGTAGCTTCAAGCCCATGCGACCGAGAGTGTATGGTCCTTTCCGGTACTGGATACTTCATCATGAACATCAAGTCCCAGAAGCAACTGTCCAAGCTACGCAACATGCCACAGCGCATCACGGAATACGCTCAGTAAAGATTCGTATCTCTGGTCCTGTTACCATTGATAAGGAAGCTACCATGAAGCCTGGTGGCAGAGTTCCAGATCATCATTAGGCCTTCGCGAGAACAATCTGGAAGTTCGAGAGTGCTTCTGGGTTATCTCTTAGGACTTGCAAACTGACTCTTTGTTTGGCAACTACAGTGCCCTGTGTCAAAGGATGTCGCCATCGAGGATCTATCTACTCAATCTTAGACTGCCCTGCTTACTAGGATTACTGGCGATGGTGACTCGAACCACTTGTTCAAGGGGGCTACTGAGAAGTAGCTGCACGCCATATGGACCATCTCCTCTACAGCCTCGGTATGAATAAAACGATCGAATACCAGAAGAATGACGGGAACACAGAGAATGAAATTGATGCACGTGGTAGCCAAGGTTCCCATCCCTAATTTCACCAACTTCGCACCAGGCCATGTTATGCCCGCGCACTGTTCACCTCAACGTCCTCGACTCTCTCTTTCAGTTAAACCCGGCTGCTTCCCACAACAAGCGTTCATGGCTGCCGTCATGCCCCTGGAGTCTCTGCAACTGCAGAGCTGGACAGCGCATCCGACTCTAGGATCATGGTGGTCTTGCAGCACCGGCGTCATGCCTCTTGCGATTCTCCCTACTCCTCCCCTCTCTCTCACTTGAGCCTCGAGATTGGATCTTATCATGGCGAAGTTCGACGCCACAGCCGACAAGCGCTCCGCACCGGTCATGACCATCGTCTGTTCAATCGAGCGACCACCTCTCCTCATCCAGACTCGTGATACCTCTAACACACGAGCCAGGTTCTTCTCCGTGGCCTAATCTGCTTGGATGAAGCTTCAATGTAGCACAAGGTTTTGGCGACAGATTAATGACAGCTGGTATAGCGGGGGCTTCGCGAAGTGGGGGTCCTAGCTCACAGTGAATCACAGTCGGCGGCAGGATGTGATCGATGTCAGGAACAAGACGAGCTACGGGACACCAACACGATTGTTTCGCATATACAGCTTACTTTGTCGACAGTGGCGATCTTCTCAGTCCGGTGGTTCCCTAGAGGACCAGATTGAGGCTCAAATTTCGTCCCAACTTCGAGGACCGTCTTATTGTCTGCCTTCAAACAGGTCCTACCTGTGATGAGTACGTTAAGTACTGTCTGACAAGCAATCACCATGTCCGCACACCTTCCATTTCATCTCTACGGTGTAATCCTACATCTTGAGGTTTTGCACAACAGGAGCCGTTCGAAGGAAGCATGTTATGTGCATTCATTTCCAGAATCCATGGAAAAATGATACGAGCTTTAGAGGGTCTTAGCTGGCCGAAACGCTGATCACATATTATCAATCAAATCCTGTCGATTACAATAAATGTGAGTATGTTCTCAATAGCTTTCTAGTTCCTGAAAAATGAGCGACTAAATTTAACATCCAGTACTATCAGATAAACAATGAGTTCATCCAGCTTCGTAGAAGACGAAATGCATATCCTACGAGACAAAAACCGAGACAATTTATGGCAGTTTAGATCAGCACTTAGGCTTTTGTTCTTGGTATCGTAAACCTCAGAGGACAATTCTCGTACGTTGTTGCAAGTTTATTTGTTCATATGCAATCTTCTCCTGGCGCAAAGCTCCTTGCAGACGGTATGGCGCAGGGTTGATCGCACTATCCTCGGATATCGTCGATAGTCTTGGAAGTCTGGCAGTAAAGCCTCTTGAAACCGCCAAAAATAACACCTGGGCCATGATTGCAGAAATATTTGCCCTTGTCCGTCTGGGTGTAGCATTTGCCAATCTTTTTGCCGTTCTTGTCGACGAGATCGTTGCTTGGGTGCTTGTAGAAGGCTAGTATCAAGTCAGTCATCTGCAGAGAGCTGGGTCCAAGTTGACTTACTCCAGTGCGCGTTCTTGTTGAAGTTCATCTCCATCTCATCGATTGAACCATCGGCACCACACGTGCCCTTGCAGCGAATACCAAATTTGTTTCCGCTGACATCGCCTCGTTCGCTCCATCTCTCTGCATCAAGGGCCTTCTCAGGCGTCAGTATCCATCTCGGCTTGTGATAGAAGTCCTCACCTCATTGCAAGTTGGTTCCTTGGCGTAGGGAGCCCAATCTCTGATAAGCCCACCGATTCCGGCGGCTGCCGTCCAGTAGACTTCAAAGTCTGCCGTGGCAGTAGGCACGAGAACTGCCAAAGAGAGAACGGCGGCGACGGAAATCTTCATTGTGACAAGTTGTGTGATGGGTAAAAGATGGTGGAAGGAAGAGGACAAAGGCCGGATCTAAGCAAGGAAGGCATTTATGCTGTGTCTAAACCCTATGTATAGGGCTTGGGAAGAGTCATGATGCCTTTTGAAAAGTGTAAATATCACCGCAAACTTTATCTGATCATGATAGGTAAAAGATCGGTAGAGGCTTAGTTGCAAGAGACCGTTGATTGACTTGATGGAATGCCTTGCTGTTTCTGGAATCACACAAAATGAGGAGGTAGGTCTCGACGCTTTTATAGTCATCTCTATTCCAGTCCTCGTCAGCAAACCCACCAGTTTGTAGGACTTGGACATCGATTGAGATCAAATACGAGGCATAGTCAAGATCTGACCGACCGAAAAAGTCCTACAGGGGTCATTCGATCACACACGGACCTTCATTAGCATTTAGGTTCAAATACTGCAATTATTCTTGCGTTAATCTGATCTGTATAGTGGGGTCTTGCGCGTCAGGAAAACTCAAAAATAGTTGTTCGGTCACCTGTGAGAGATGACTTACTCTTTTTGTTGCTGAGGATCCCATATGGCTGAGGCTCTGTCGTCCCTTGGCACTGTCATGAGCTGATCTGCCCGAGGCTGAGTCGTTACTGAGTGATGTGAAGGCCGTCATGCCAATTGCAATGCCAGGAAGCCCCAGCCTACTGTTAATAAAGCTTTCACACATGTAGAAGAAGATGTACGTTATTCAGTGAAACAGAACACGAGCAACCAACAGCTTCATCGGATCTAGACGATGCTATGCTGGATATGCTTCGATAACTAGCTGTACTTTTAAGGTGCTTTTCTACCCCGATCACATCCCGTCGTTCATCACATGGCCTACCGTCCAATAAATATTCCATATCACCCACTCAGTTGACGTGAATATCGTAACCATCCGTATCTCGACCGGTCGACAGACAGCAAATATTCATCAAAAACCTCTCAGTATCTTCCCGACTGGATGGCAGTACCCTCCGAAAGTTGGTCGACTTCAAAGCGTCGACTAAATAATCTTTTCTCTCTTGATTCTCCAGAATTTCAAAGCATAGAACGACTCCTAGGACATAATTGAGTGTAGCTATTGGGTGATCAATCTCCATGATATGGGGCAGTAGGTCCCAGCCTTGTTGGCACATCCGATGGTATTTATCGTACATCTCAGCGTCGGCGGCTCCTAAGGTGCACGATAGATCGTAGGCTATACGGGAGAATATGATGCGCATGGGCACGTACGCAGCTAGAGGTTTGAAGAGTGCCTCGTGCGATGGTGGAGGCGAGGCTAACTTGCGGTGCCAAGGATAGTTTTCTCCCAGACTAGATTCCATTTTCATGCCTATTTCGTAAGTGGAAACGCAGAGACGGTAGCTAGTCTCGGTTTCTGCGAGAAAACGCAAGGCCAATGCATGCATCTGCTCAGCCAAATGTTGCCGTCGGTCGGCAGCCGTGTACGGATTGTTGATTTCCTTGATACTCTTGACCATTCTGGCCCACTGTGCAGTAATAGTGTTTAGTTGATCCTGTCGGTGCTTGTTGACATGCTCTGGGACCTCAGTCGACGTGTTCCACCCCAAGACGTCCTGCCACGAACTGATCCATTGTGGGTCCTCGGTGCAATGAGCCGCTGCCCAGTGCCTAACTATGTGTCCGCCATTAGCTATAGACAACTGAACGTGCAGATCATCCCCGTTCTGGGGAGGACCTTTGGATCGCATCATCTTTGCTATTCCTTTCTGGTGCAATGTCGGATCTCCACCGTCGAAAAGCAAGTTACAACGGGCCATGACCGTGACGGCTGCGCATGTTTCCGTGGACAATTGTGTGGTCGGGTTCTGAAGTGCACGCATCAAACTCCGCAAAGCTTTACCATGCAGATCGTGGAAAATTGGACACTTTTCCATTGCTTCGGGACATCGGTAGTTGGTCCAGCAATGACAAAATAGTGCCACACAGTCACGCAACGCTGGGCTGGCTCCCAGACGCTGCGGAAGGATTTTAAGGAAGTTTGCATTGTGGAGGATGTCGCCGATCGGATCTCTCTCGATCGTGCTGATCAATCGTATAGTGACTCGATCCGCCACTGTAGTAGGGTATTTCCGTGGTCTCGGGAGCAAGCCGACGAACCTCTGACGCTCTGCTTCCACAGCAGTCAGATGCGCTCCATTGGATCTCGTTACTGATACAAGAGAATGAGATGCACCGTGGTCAGTCGAGAGACCTTGACCGCTTGCATGGATGAACTTTGTAGTGACTGTCGGTCCTGAGCAGACCATCTTGGCACGTTCGCACGTGGAACATGTTGGCCAGCGAAGGTCACACTACTAACATGAGTATATATCCTAAAAGAGAAAGATACGGCGACAACTTACCTTCTTCTTACGCTTTTTGCAGAACAGACAACTTGCTGTTTTTGGTACACCTGGCATCTCGCGTGGCTAGTGCTGGGGCTCTAAGTTGATTATTGGTCTTTCTAGTCTCGTTCTAGATGTATGGGCATCGACGAAAGAGGAAGAATGATAGACCTGTGAGATGGTACTTCTCATGTGGGTGTGAAACCAATGCTGAACTAGCAACGTGCGTACATTTATACAGTAACTACCACAACATCGACCAGCTTCAGCTGCAGCATGGATCACATCTGTGGCTTAATGATCAACGACAAATGTCTCGGAATGGCAAAGGAATACGGCATAAGAAAACAAGATTCGGCCTTAAACATGTAAGGCGAATGTCGATTGGATGATCTTGGTGGCTTATAGCGCAGTATACAACCTATTCAGGAAATGATACTCACTATGTGGACGTAAGCGGTCTCACTTGCAAGCCATCAGCGGAATCATGAGCGGAACATGTAGAGCTGAAAATGACATCATGCCGAACCTCATCGGTTTGTGAATTGAATGTGTATATCAAGTGGTGTTTTCTGAATATCGAAAGTGGATTGTCATTATGTAGACTTATCTATTGTATCCATATGTTTGTTTAGATTGTTTAACGCCTATTGGATCCTATAAGAGGGCATAGGGCGTCCAGGTTGTATACACTATAAGTATAGCTATTTTTCCTCTTCCGATTTATTCAAATTGACTTAAAATTACTTCGATGCTGGATACTTAATGTTGGTCGTCGACTCATAGTAAGGTATACATTAATTCAGTTAGTGAATTCACGTTGTCCGCTGGAACTGCCTGTTAGATCTGATGTAGCGATCAACCCATCTCAGGTAGAGATATACTTTTGCACTAACATGCGTGTCAGCACTTCACTCTCAGTATCACAATCTTAAAATTCCCACATAAATGACTTTAACAATACTTATCGCATACTTTACTGATACTTTTGCTAAACATTCTTCAAGACTTGAATTCCAATTTTTATCTTGCAACAGCTGATTGTAGTGGATTTAAGCTCTGCTTTCTGAAGGGAGCCTCTTTATCTAATCTCCTATCTTATCGAGCTTATCGCCTGGTATCTTATCTTCGTCCTTTCACTACTTATCAACTCCATTCTTAGATTTCTATTAAACAGAATAAATGAAATGTCAGTAACTAATATTAAAACTATTCGCCGACTCAGGTCGTACTTGTGCATTGGCAGACAACTTCTTAGCATTGGTCTGTATGAGTTAGGTGATAGTTATAATGCTTAGTCAAGCGCCTCTGCCAATGTCAACAAAAGTGACCCATTGTATATGGCGAACATGTCCTAACTACAAAGAACTTCATTGCATTCAAATCATTCAGGCCTCCATCATTCGTTTCAGATCTTCAAAAAGCTAGGTCACCACGTGATGAGCAAACATCCCCATGACCTGAATTTGTCTAGGCGGTATCTTGGCAAGAGAACTGATGTGCACGTCAACTCTAATAATAGTCTATTTCAACTCCGCATCACTCGGCAGATATGCAGATCCCATATCGCCAAAGGTAAATCATAGCTTCAATTTAAAATTGACCTCATCAAAGCGCACGAAATGTTAGTGGCTGTCCCGTACTTATATACCGCCAAGCTACTCAAGCCGACTTAGCCGCCTTCTGACGAAAGACAATGCTTGGCCAAGTGGAGCAAGCTGACGTGGAAGGGGCACACAAACAAACTGTTTCCCTTCACTTTTCTCTTTTTTCCTTCTCTATTTCATCATTTATTACCTATCTATCGCAGTCTCTGTTGTTTTATCTATCTATGTTTCGCCGGACAAGGGGTATTGCTTGACTAGACTCCGAAGCTAGATCCAAAACTAGAAAGTCAAAGTCGACTCAGCCCCACAGGGATTTGGTAGGCTGGAAAATGCCTTCCACAGAAGCGCCGGATAAGACGACGTACAACGACAAGTATGTCGTTTTGTACGATTTTAGTGAAATAGGTAAGGTTTTTCAATATTGAGAATTGAGAATAGAGGGCTAACTGGGACAGACCATGATACTGCTGTCAAGGAAATCAAAACTTTGCTGCAGGATCTTGAAGAAACTGGCCTTCACACTGAAGTCAGAGCCGGTTACGAACAAAGCCTTCTCATCTTTGTCAGAGCGCCTCACGAGTTACTCGGAAACTGGGTATACAAGTCAAGGTACGTCATACCACAATCCCCATCAAAACACCAACTCTAACGGGTGAAGCAGAGTCAAAGATTGGCTGTATGGAATCACTCCCACTCATCCAGGCGGCGACAAAAATACCGTCGTGAAGGGCGCTTACGAATCTGAGGATATCCTCTCGGTTTATCATCTCGTCAACTGGTCCAAGGATCTTGGCGGTGCGGGGATCACCCCAGGTATTGGACAATGGGGGAATGTCAAGGCCATTTTCCCTATTCACAATACCAAGCTCAACCAAACGATATTGAGTCATCTGAGTCGAAAGCTTTTCCTCACGGCTGAAGATATTGACTCTATCCGGGATATGCACGGATCAAAAGTCGCCTTTTACTATGCCTTCATCCAGGTTTATACCGTTTTCCTGACATTCCCCGCTGTCACTGGAGTCATTGCTTGGCTTTGGCTTCCAAAGTATTCTCTTGCTTTCGGTATTCTGACTAGTGTTTGGTGCACCGTTTTCCTGGAATATTGGAAGATTCAAGAGACTGATTATAGTCTACGATGGAACGTCAAGGGTATTCATCACCTCAAGGTGAACCGCTCACAGTTCAAGTACGAGAAGGAATACGTCGATGAGGCTGGCCGCAAGCATTATTACTTTCCCCGTTGGAAGAAAGTCGTCCGACAACTGGCGCAGATTCCATTCCTTCTTTGCGCATTCGTGGCTCTTGGAATCACCATCATTGCCGTCTTTGCCATTGAGATCATGATTTCGGAGACTTATGCTGGACCTTACAAGGACTATCTCGAGTACCTCCCCACGATCCTTCTCGCCGTATCCCTCCCGTGGATTACCGCCAGTCTCGAAGACGCGGCAGAATGGATGACCGAATACGAAAACCACCGCACAGCCGATCTTCACGAAATGTCACTCACTCAAAAGATTTTCGTTCTCAACATGATCACCAACTACCTCCCCATTTTCCTTACAGCGTTTATCTACATTCCTTTCGGTGGCGATGTCGTTCCTAAGCTTGAGGGTCTGCTCGTCAAGGCTTTTGCGAGCGTTGGTAAGAAATTCGTTCACCAACCATTCCATCTCGACGCAGACCGTCTACGAAACGAAGTTATCGCTTTGACTGTCACTGGTCAAATTTCTGGTTTCTTCGAGGAGAATATTGTTCCTATGCTCAAGCATAAAATGTCGGATTGGTATCGTGATTACCGACGTTCGCGATCTCAAGGCGATATGCTATTGGCTGTCGTAAAGGACGATCCCGAAGAGACAGAATTTCTATCCCGTGTCCGCAACGAGTCGATCCTCCCCAAGTACAACGTCCAGGACGACATCTCCGAAATCGTGCTCCAATTCGGTTACCTCGCTCTCTTCTCGCCAGTCTGGCCTGTCATTCCTTTAGGTTTTCTAATCAACAACTGGATCGAACTCCGCTCCGATTTCGCAAAACTCTCCCTCGAACACCAACGCCCCGCGCCCGTTCGCTCCGACGGAATCGGCCCATGGATCTACTCCCTCGAAGCACTAACCTGGCTCGGCAGCATCTGCACCGCCGCAATCGTGCATCTCTTCAGCGCAGGCAGAGTCGGCAGTCTCGTAGGCCAATGGGCCACTCTCCCCGTAACAATCTTCATCAGCGAACACACCCTCCTTCTCCTACGCTCCCTGGTCCGCTTCTGTCTCCAACAAATCGGTTCCGAGCGTATCCGGGAAGATTACAACCAGCGCTACGCCGTGCGGGTGAAGCATCTTGAGGAAATCGAGACGAAGAAGCAGAGCGGTCTTGCTGTGCGAGATGCGCATCGTGAGCGACGCAAGAGTGTGCTTGTTATGGAACGGGATCCTTTCTGGACGAAACAGGTTGAGCATGGGACTAGTGAGGTCGCTGGTGTAACTTTGATTCAGCAGGTTAAGAAGAATGAGTCTTCTGAGGTTCAGGAGAAGACTGATTAGAATGACGCAGGCGTCGAGAGATGTTAGAGACGTTTAGTGGACTAATAATAGCAGCACACCGGTTTTTCATTTGTAAGATTTACTTCGTACGATGTACGTTAGAGACTGTATAACAGGCAATAGATAGCGATATCTATTATAGACAATTCAAATTGATGACAACTATCATACGCCTGTACTCTAAATATGTGACGTAGCTACGGTTTGAGGTCCTGCATTATCCATACTACGTTACACATATAAAGAGTCGATAAAAGTCGACGCAAGACAGAGAGTACGTGAGACGAGTTCTACAAAGTAACAACTCTCACACAGTGGAATATAAATCGCGTCATGGAATATGCAATTATCGTCAAGCCTAAGAGAATATCTTGAGACAAAGTCGTACATGTATCTTCCCCGCGCCTATCTCATTTCGACAGGTTTCATGTATGACGATACACCATGGCGATCACGATAATAAGTTTTCGAACAGTAGTGAAGGTTACATACGACTTCATGCTGTATAACCCACCCGCAATTCGGGAGTTCAAGTTGAAGCTCGTCTACAAGCTATAAAGGTGCGAGCTTAGCTTTGATAATTATTTTCACTAATGCCAGTCTTCAAATCAATTACAAACATGAAGGCCATCAATTTTATTGCCACTATTTTGGTGCCATTTGCTTCGTCACATGTCGCACAGCATCGTCTTTCCAATACCCTTCCCTCTCCCAAACACCGTGGCACTTATCCCCGCTGTGATCTCCCGCGTCCAGTGGATCCATCCCACGAGGGTCTAGCAAACGCTCAAGAAATCTTCTCCTGGGACAAATCCATTCGAACCATGATCGACCGTCTCCGATCAATTGTCGAAATCAAAACCATTGTCCACAGTGATATGGGTAATTTAGATGAGGATGAACGATGGGCGCCTTTTGGTCAAGTACCGCTGTTCTGAACAAATCCTATCCCAACCTGTAAGTCCACATATCGCAGAACAAGGTGTGAGTATTGAACTGTGTCAGTCATCACCATACCTCTCCTGAAGTCATCAACAAATACGGCTTGGTCTACACCGTCCCAGGATCCGACGAAGACCTAAAGCCCATCCTTCTAACAGCCCACCAAGACGTCGTCCCCGTAGATGACGATACCCTAGACGACTGGAGCTACCCTCCTCTCGAAGGCCACTACGACCAACGAAACGGCTATATTTACGGTCGCAGCACAGCAGATGATAGATCGGCACTCACAGGTCTCATGTCCGAGATTGTCACGACCATTGAACACAACCCGTTCGATGCGAAGATTGGTTGCAACAGTCCTGTTCATCAAGGGTTGACTTGCTTTGCGACGTACTCACCCCACATCTACCCTGAACTTACCGAGCGGATCCGCTAGGGTGACCTTGACGGCGCAGCTCGGTTCCCGGCCCGTCTTTCACCAGAGACTCAATACCTTGTTCAGACCTCTCAAGCAGTGGATCTCATCAAAGGCGGCGAAACAATCAACACCCTTCCCGAATACGTCACACTAGGCGTAAGCCACGGCCTCGCACCCCAAGACACAATCGGCAGTATCCAGCACGGCGTAGTAGAACTCGTCCAAAACATAGTCAACAAATACAATCTCCGCTTCGAACCCTTCGAAGAAGACGACGATTACGATATATACCTCAAATCGCAAGGCCTAGGTCGAAAACCGCGCAAACAGGGATCCAGTGCCGGCACATTAACCCTCCAAGCCAGGAAGAAATATTCTCCCGCGGAATCATCACCGACTAGTGGCCGTATCTGGGATATATTCGCCGAAACGGTCAAACATACATGGGGAAGGGAGAGTCCGTATGTTGTTCCGGCTCCGGGAGCTATGACTGGGAATACGGATGCTCGGCATTATCAGTGTGAGTAGAGTCTAGGGTAAGATGAGAGTCAATGCTAATTGTGGGCTCTAGAATTGTCGAAGAATATTTATCGGTGGAATCCTGGGACTAGAAAGTCTATTGCAAGAGTTCATGATGTTGATGAAAGGATTGCTATGGTGTTCAGTTGAACATGGCCAAGTTTTACTATGATTTGATTCGGAACTTGGATCAAGCCGATGACATCTGATACCTTCACTGTAACCAGACTCGAGGCATTGAAGAAATGAGATTATGGATACAGTCTTCATTACCGAAGCCAAGACATGATTGTCACGCTTAACCTTGCAGAGTAACATCTTACGACTTGGCTTTCTCATCCGTTAATCCCGATCTATTACCCGTCCTCGTTTAATAATTATTCCGGTGACATATCGTCTGATCTTTTCCGACATTTCGTTTCTGGATACGCGGATGTGGTAGAAGCGCTTAGTTGAAGAAGACCCGCTCACCTGTTACACTTCGCTAACCCCTTGAACAATTAACCATGCGAATATTCATTTCCACCAATCAGAGCAATTTAATGTCCGAAATCATGGATCGTGAATTTGTTGTCTGATTGGGTTTTGTTCATTTATTGAATCGTAGATTGAGTTTGTATAGTCAAAAACGCTAGAATAATTACGAAAACTCTTGATTAACTAGTATTATTAACTTCAGCCTTGTAAGCCAAGAATGTTTGTTTCTTAGAACAAGTTTCGTTTTGTCCGTTTGTTTGATCTTTTCGTTTTGAAGTGTCGCTACAATCCGAAACTGTCTAGTCGCTCCGACGTCTCAAACGTGGAACAAGGATTCTTCAAACATGAGACTCACCCCAATTGGCTCGCAACACTCTTCGACCCGTCGGCGTCTATGTAAGGAACTGTTTCAGAAAACGGCTGTCAATCTTCAATTCTTTCGCGCCGAGGTACCCGAGGAAGCGAGATTCCAGCAATAATGTCCTTCCATACTGACAGGGACCAAGGAAAGGGGATCCTCGTCTAGAAGCTTGATATAAGGCTCGTTTCCTCTCCCTCATTCAACTTCTTTTCCCTTCCTCTTCATCCCATTCTTTCATCCATCTGCAGCAGTTGCTTGCCTTTCTTTTTCTTTCTCTACGAGATATTACATTCCTTACAAACCCTGGTGGTTTATATACAACAACTATACTTTCACTACATACACTTTCTTTTTAAAAACAACAACAAAGCAACATTCAAGATGCGCACTTCATTCTCCTCCGTCCTGGCCCTCGCCGCCGCTCTCCCTACCGCCTTCGCCCATTACAACTTCGAGGCCCTCATCGTCAACGGCGAGGTTTCTGAGCCTTACCAGTACGTCCGCAAGACTACCAACAACAACAGCCCCATCACCGATGTCACCTCCAAGGACATCGTCTGCAACGCAGGCGGTCTCGACAAGGACATCCGCGCCGCCACCAAGACCATGAAGGTCTCCCCCGGTGACGAGGTCGGTTTCACCGTCGCTTCCGAGATGGGCCACCCCGGTCCTCTCTCCGTCTACCTCTCCAAGGCCCCCGACGGCACTGAGGCTTCCGACTACCTCGGTGACGGCGACTGGTTCAAGGTCTACGAGATGACCTGGAAGAAGATTGGCGCTGAGGGTGTTGAGTGGGCCAACTACATGAACGGCCAGTCAGGCGGTATCCAGAACTTCACCTTCACTCTGCCCAAGGATACCCCCAAGGGTACTTACCTCATGCGCGCCGAGCACATTGGTCTCCACGGTGCTGGCGAGAAGAACGGTGCTCAGTTCTACATTGGCTGTGCCCAGATCACCGTTGACGGTACCGGTGCTGGCAAGCCTTCTCCCATGGTCAAGCTCCCCGGGGCTTTCAAGGCCACCGACCCCAGCCTTCTCCTCAGCATCTACTACCCTCCCGTGACCAAGTACGATGCTCCTGGTCCCAAGACCTGGCCCAACGCCTGCACTGACCACACCCCCAACTTCGCTGGTCAGGCTTCCGACGGTGACTGCACTGGTGATAAGAAGTCTGGCTCTGACTCTGGCTCTGCTGCTCCCGTTGCCAGCGATGCTCCTGCTTCTGAGGCTCCCGCCGCCACTTCTGCTCCTGCTGCTACCCCCACCGCTGCCGCTGTCACCACCTCTGCTGCCGCTGCTCCTGTCGCTACCAAGACTCCTTCCAAGTCTTGCAAGGCCAAGCGCGCTGCCAAGAAGGCTCTCAAGGCTAAGCGTGCCCTCAAGAACTAAGTGTTCCTTTGAGAGGATGAATGTTTGAAGTCAAGATTAATTCTTGAAACTCTGCGTGGTTGGAAGCATGGATAGTCAACTGTACTCCACGTATTTGTTCTTTGTACATATAGATTTAGTCACCGTATCAATACAACGAGTGGACACATATAAACTTCCCTGATTGACTTCTATGCAATATCTAAGATGTCAACAAGTTTCAAGTGATAGTCACATGAAAATCATCCAATGTCGATATCACTCCTAACTGTAGAGTAATTTAGTCCAGAAATTGTCACAAAGTCTTAAGGCAAAGGAATTGAGATCCGCAAATGTCCATTTAAAAATTATCAACTAAAGAAGTAAAGTATATAAGGAGTGTAGAAAAAAATTGTTCCACCACAGCAAAAGTATGTTAATGCTTATGTCCAAGCCAGTCTCATGATTCATTAGCCACACCCAGGCTTACACCACCCACCAGAACCCTCTCTCGAGAATTCACCGTAGCCTCCTAGTAGTCGGCCTTCTTGCACTCGCCCTTCTTGTGGCTGTAGTAGTAGCCCTTCTTGCACTCACACTTCTTGGCGTGCTTGTTGAAGACTTGGTCGTGCTTCTTGCAGACACAGGCGCCGTACTTGTACTCAGCGTCCTTGCCACAGTCGTAGGCGCACTTGTGGCCGTTCCAGGTCAGGTCCTTGGGGCACTTGCAGGACTTGCTCCAGCGGTCGTAGTACTGGCCCTTGGGGCAGTCCTTGACACACTTGCCGTAGACCTCGGATGTACCCTTGGGGCAGACGCACTTGTGAGCGTGCTTGTCGAAAACCTTGCCCTCAGAGCAGACGGGAATGCACTTTCCGTACTCGAACTTGGTTCCCTTGGGGCAGACACACTTGCCCTCCTTGTGGTCGTAGTACTGAGGGTGGCTGCACTTGGGAATGCACTTTCCGTACTTCCACTCAGTTCCCTTGTTGCATTCGCACTTCTTGGACCACTTGTTGTAGAATTGGCCCTTGGGGCAATCCTTGATGCACTTGCCGTACTCAAACTTCTCGCCCTTGGGGCAGACGCACTTGTCGGCGTGCTTGTCGAAGTACTGGCCGTGGGGACACTTGGGGATGCACTTTCCGTACTTCCACTCGGTACCCTTGGCGCATTCGCACTTGTCGGCCCACTTGTTGTAGACTTGTCCCTTGGGGCAGTCCTTGATGCACTTTCCGTATTCGAACTTCTCACCCTTGGGGCAGACACACTTGCCGGCCTTGTGGTCGTAGTACTGGCCGTGAGAACACTTGGGAACACACTTGCCATACTTCCACTCGGTGCCCTTGTTGCATTCGCACTTGTGGCTGTGGTGGTTGTAGAATTGTCCGTGGGCGCAGTCCTTCACACACTTGCCGTACTTCTCAGAGGTACCCTTGGGGCAAACACACTTGCCGAGCTTGTGGTCGTAGTTCTGTCCCCACTTGCACTTGGGAACACACTTGCCGTACTTCTCCTCGAAGCCGTCCTTGCACTCGCACTTCTTGGAGTGCCAGTCGTAGACCTCGTTGTCCTTGCAAGTGGGCTTCTTGAGCTCGCACTTGCCGTACTTGTACTCGTAGCCGTCCTTGCAGACACACTTCTTGTACTTCCAGGAGTAGACTTCGTTGTACTTGCAGTCAGGCTTCTTGGCAACACATTTGCCGTATTCCTCCTTGAAGCCATCCTTGCACTCGCACTTGTTGTGCTTCCAGTTGTACCACTGGTTGTCCTTGCAGTGAGGGACAGGCTTGTAGTCGCCGCGCTCGAGGAGCTCAGACTCGTCTCGGGCATCGAGAGCAGAGTCGTCACGAGCCTCGAGGGAGAAGTCGGTGTCGACATCAGGAATGGCCTTGACCGAGACGGTCAAGGCGAAGAGGCTGACCAGGACGTTCTTGATCTGCATGATAGGCTAGCTTGGTGCCTTTCAGCAACGAAAGTGATGATAAGAAACGAAGGATGAAGAGCGAGAGAGAAGGTAACTCTAGAGTGAGAGACCAGTGAGAGTGATGAGGAGTGAAGAGAAAGAATTGGATTTGGGGAGGATATCGTGAGGTTTAAGTAGATGTTGTGAAGACATACTGGAACACGAGATCTGTGGTAGTGTGCCTTGCCATGCCATGCCCATGCTCATGTCTCAGTGTAATGGTGGACGAGATCAACCCAACCATACCAAGTTCCAGATAGGAAGTCAGCTCATGCTCGTTTGGGAACGATGATGATCCCAGAGTCAATAGTTCCAAAGCTAAAGTCCACTTAGACTGGATTTTTCTTTTGCGCTCTCTGTGACATGCATGCCAATCCCAGCCTCAACTGGGGCTGTCTCTGCCAGCTGTCTTTGTTCAGGGTTGCATGATAACAACAGGGGAAGAAGAATGAACATGGGTATGGAGAGTGTGTGGTTGGAACCACAGCAGCAAACAAGGATGTGTGTTAGCCCAACGTTATGCTTATCCCGTAAGACTAACACGTCCTGATGATAGAGTCCATTAAGATTCAAGGCATTCCGACGAGACCGAAAAAAGGGGATTACCTAGAATAGAATGGTGGACATTTCTAATTATGAACACGACAGTTTTGGGGGAATACAAGGCTTCCAGTGACATTGATATTTCTCCGTGATTCGACGGCTGGGGAACCTCAGGCTGAATGGCTGGCAAGAAAAAAGAAAAAGTGAGAAAAAAGAAAAAGTGACAGCTGTGGCGCACAAGGCTCTTGCATTGGAGACACCCATCACACAGATTTTGGGAATACGAGGTTTTGTGTAGGAGGGGTAGGTAATCTTGCATATCATGTTGTTTCTCAACACCAGGCTGCAACTGCAGTTTGGCTAGGCTCCATTTCTGACTTGGATGGTGATGATGGATTGTCAATGGTCACCGTTGTTAGCTCTTGGTAGTAGAGGCTCAAGATGGGTACTGTCTCGGACTACAAGCTCTTTAGACGAGATCCGTAAGGCTGGCTAATGCAGGCCGATAATCTTTCGACTGACCATAACTAAGACTTTACCAGGGGACGGCCACGGCTACAAGTGGAGTGCCTACCAGGAGGGTTCAGCGAGACAAGCATAATCCTGGCCCTTAATTGCTGAGCCGTGCCCTTCCCGTACCTTAGCTAAAGAATTCACAGCTGATCGTCAGCCCCAGCTGGGCAAACAAAGAAACTGCATTTTCATGTCCTATTTCAGGCAATGCAATTACCGTTGACGCACGGAGGTACAAGCGCTTAACGCACATCAATTATCGCCAAGTCAGGGGGAAAATGAATGAATACGAGGAAAAGAAAGAAATGGGTAATTTAGCCATTCATTCATTCATAGAGGCGTCATACGAAAAGCACAATGATTGGCGCCAACGCGAAAGGTACGGGAGTGAAACCATCTTACCAGCTCCGATTCGATGACCCAGTTATTTTGTGTAAATATAGCATAGCCCCAGAACAAGGTAGTTGTCTTACTTGTGGTCGGGAAAAGGGGCTGGAACCAGTAAGACAGGAGGTTATGCAGCCACATTAAACACGTTGACCGACCGTCCCGAGCCACCGAGAACCGATGCATGCCGATTCAATCTACTGTGCTGCAATAATGTACAGCACAGCATTGTTTGCTTTGCTTTGTGTTACTCGCGCAGAATGTGTACATCAAGTAACTTCAGCGAGGGTCCGAGAGCTGAAGTAAACCCTGCGAGCTGAACAGTAGAAAAACAAAAAATCATGATCATCTACCGGGTTAAACCCCGCCGATGATCCGTAAAGCTCGGATGGACAAGTCCAGGTCCTGGGAGGCGAGAGACAGGGGACCCCTGCCTCTTAATAAAAGCCAAGTCTTTGAAAGAGGGGGTCGCTAGTGTTTCTCGATCGCGGGGAGGGAGGAAGAGACACGGCAAGAACAAGACACGGCACGGACAAGATTGTCTTCCTAGTGTCTTGTCTTTTTAGTGTCCTTTCTTCTTAGTGTGTCTTTCTGTTTTTAGTACCTGAAAACACAATGAAGTGTTAGACATGATTCTCAATTGACTCTTTTAATTGGTTACGGTCTACGAGGGAGTCTAGTCTAAGACTCTTAGACTTAATCCATTTATGGTTAAAGTCTCACGTATAAATAACGTTCATTAGTGTTTCCTTTTTTCTTAGGTGCATGTTATATGACGGCGATATTCCATAGCTATTGAACAGTAGTGAATGCATTCTTTTTTATTTTCTCGCATCAAATGCCCTAGATGGGAAGAGTACCCATGCCAAGAATAATCATAGCAATAATATCATTCCATAATCGTGACGACTCCTGCACGCATTGACAGACTTGTTCTGCGGGGAAGAAACCTGGTTCGTGTTGCAATTGCATTTTTGGGGCCTGTCTTGGCAATCTCACCTGCAGTTGACATCAGGAGAGAAAAGACAGCTCATCAGTAATCAACAGGGGTGGAGACCAACCAGACCAGTGAGAGATACAGGGGATTAAGGTTGCACCGTTTATTTGCGGGGATTGGAAAGGTCCAGCTTCTGGGAGACGAGAAATAAAAGACCCGGCCCGTTGAGAGCTTGGCCTGATCATCCAGGGCTAGTGACCCTCTAATTGGTTGGACAACGGAGTCAGCCCGTCTTGGCGATCGTACTTGTCTCTTTTCCCTGTAAGCAGTTGAATTTGGAGAGTCCAAAGTTTATTTAACGCCTGCAAACAATAGTAGAGTCGCCACAACTGCAACATCCTTGGCGATAACATTAACTGGTCAGCTGACAACTGCCGACAAAGTAATTCACTGTAATCATAATGCACGTTGGTTGAATCATAGCAGAAGGAAAGTGAAGTCGCGAAATGTAATGCATTGCACATCATGTCTACTCTTGGAGTTGAACAAAACGTTACTTTTTCTTACTTACTTTGTCAGATCATCTTACAGACCAACAGGGTATAACAAACTTGCAGCTCAATATTTGCCTGAAATCAAAAGAGACAAGGTCGACCCACGTGTTGTAAGCATCTCACCCAGAAGGTAACTGTACAGTAAGACGGGCCATGGAAAAAGGTACATCCATAGAAACGTCCGCGACCACTCACAATCATCTTTCTCCGAAGTATGCCGTCATGTCATTCGTCCGACATCCGATCCATAAGCAGAGAGTACAGTAGAGTGAAAAAACATTAGCTAACAATAACTGCATGTTGGGCTTACACTTGTTTCTTACAGCATGAAAAAAAGAAAAAAGCCACCAGACGCGGACACACCGTCTACAATTTGTGTCACATCGGATACTGCAAGCCTCTTTTTCAATTGTTGGTCGATGGGCCGATGAGGTTGGGCCTCAGTTGCGATGATCCGATGTTGGGGATTTCTGGGTATTGAGCTATGCCCCGGATATCCTCTAACCGAGAGCTTTGACGATGGAAATGGAGCTACGGGAATAGAGTTTGGGAATACGAGGTTACCCTGTATTGAAGCTCATTGTGAAGAGTCATCATCTCGTATGCCAAGGACAACGGGAAATATCTTGAAGAATGAGCAAACTCATCAACTATGGATGGCATTGTGTTAGAGAATGTAGTCGATGTCAATCGAGATGACATTTCAAACCTTGCGACAGCTAAAAACGTGGAAATCGGATTTTGTTGTACCTGCATACTCCTCGCGGCACCATCAATTTCAGCTGTCACTTATGCTTCAAATCATCTCACGGTGCTCTCAACCATTTTCCAACGTTCATTCGTAAAGCAAAATAAGCCATCGGCATATTTTAACCGTAATTAAAACCGTCAGAATGTCACGTTCCTGACATGTCACTCTTAGTGTGCCTCGCGGTCTCAGACGGCGCCGAAGTCTCCAGCCACGGGCGGAGATTACGGCGTTTCCCTTTCATCTCTATTTCGACCAACTTGCGTTTTCATGCGGAGGAAAGGAGACAGCATTCCAGAGGTTCCGGGGCACGGGGAGGTGGTTTCCGTTGGAATGCGGAAGGGGAAATTGATGGGGGAGGCTGAGACTGGAAACCTTTTTTACACTACCGTTGTGGTGAGACATTGTAGTCGTAGAATGCTTTAGTAACGGAGCAAGATTGACGATGCTGTTTGAAAGAACTGAGCTTGAGGTGATGGTGATTGTTGGATACCGCAGCGCTTACTGCCGCTGACTGGGTGCTCCTGCGTGACTTGCAGCGTGTAACACAGAGGCTGATGGCAGGAATTTACATCAGTGTAGGGTATTACTTGAGCTCTAGCGAAGGCTCAATCCTTTCTACATCGCATATTCAAAGGGAGAAGCTTTTAATATATTACCCGCTTCACATGGACTCGTCTAAATTGTGTTGAAGAGTGTATGCGACTGTAAGTTCGTTCCACGTCAAGCTGTAGAGCCCAGCTCGTCCCATCAGCAGCTTACAGAGCGTGTCACTGTAGCTGGAAGAGATATTCCGGTGAGCATTCACTCCCACATGCAGTAGGATATCCACTGAAGTCCTAGATCGTGACTGCATCCAAGAACCATTACACACTCCCGATCCGCCTCAACAATCGTGTGTCCTTTACATTAGCCTCATCGGAATGCAAGCCTCTCCCTCTGCAAGATCTTCCAAAAAGCCGTCTTTGCGTCCTGTATTTGTAGTCCGAAAACGACATACATTACACAGGCAAGATGGTGTCGTGGTTAAACTGACTGAGGGTGTACAATGAAGCCCGCGATGCGCCGACTGGAATGGGCTGCCTCTCGATGCATGTATGATTTGCAGCAGTGAGCTTTGCTTTTGACTCCATTCAAGTCCCCGAGGCCACAACTAGTAACTGACACCAGTATAAGATTCAGCCACTGTTTAGTTAACCAAAAAGCAAAAGCTATTTGCCTGATGTCAACTTGTATTTCGCATATGTTGACAATTCTGTTGCCAAGATTTATACAATTGTTCAATACATCTAATCTTATCTCTATATATCTAGGCAGTCAATCAGCACATGGAATTCTCTTATCAACATCTTATCTTTCAACATGTCGTGAAACCCCATCATCAACTACATCCCTCCGACCCCAAACATACACCCAATCAGATCTTCCAATATTACAACTCCAATATTGCGACATCAACTCCCAGATGACGCTATCACCACACGCCTCAGACGCGCGTCCCTTACAAGTAGTGTGCCACCTTAGCTACACAATCTTGCATATGCATCGTTTCGTACCTGAAGATCTCTGCCGTTGTATTTGGCTTTCTGTAGAACATTGATTGTAGTGTGTGTCATGGTACGTGGGCGTTCTGCGTCGAAGATTCTGAGGAATTTCTAGCTGATTAGACTGTAATGGCTGCGATGATGCAAGAAGGGTCCGATATATGCATCTTTAGATGTGTCACTCTCAAAGCCTAAATAGAGTCTCATATGCGGGACTTGCACTGCCATCGGGGTGACAGTAGTTCGATGATCCGTCCAACTATACTTGAATTCCAGATAAAGGTATTGATAAAATGATCAAGTCTCTGGTGAACGGCGCCAATCTTTTGTATAAGGCGATGGTGTCGTTCCCGATGATGGTTAATCTTGCAATCCTCCTCCACTGGACAAATACGGCCCTGCTTATTCAGATGCTGCACAGCCATTTAAGGTGTTGAGAAAACAACTTGCGTGGCGTTCAGCCCCATGTGGCGCCTCTCTCCCACTACTGGGACGTTTTTCTTCTTTGCCAAACGCCGCAAGGGATTGTGCCACAGGAAGATCATTCTGTACGCCACTTGGGGCTGTGCCTAACAATTCCTGTTGAGGGGAGAGTGAAGCCTGTCAAACAGTCTTGATCCGAAACGTGGTTGTTGAAAAATTAGATTGAAAGCTTATTGGTTTGTATTATCAACAAAAATAGCTGTGCCTTACATCAATCTGCTGTAATGTGTACAGAGTCCCCTATTGGGCAGTTAGAAGCGGCAGAGGTCAATATGGTGGTTACCATTTTCAAGAACATCGGCAAATGCCCTTAATGAAATACCAACCAGAAGCTGAGCTGGCGTTGAAGAACTAATCAACGCCAGATCGATCATACTCAGGCGCAAGTGGCATCGAAAGATTCACATCTTTGCCAAGTGATGTCGTATATTATTTGATTTATCTTGTTCCATATTGCAACCCTCAGTATAACGATATCTAGACTAACTACCACCAGAAACACCTTGCTCCCTTTCCGGATTCCTCAAAATGACGATCCCTTCTAGTCTCTCCTTGATTGTCACCATGTCTGCTAGAAAAGGTCTCTCACTTTCCAGCTCAAGCTTTCTATCCAACAACTCATTACGCTTCTTTTTGTTTAATATGCCAAAGGCGCGTCGAAACTTCGCCTTAAGCTCTCTGGAGATAGTGCTCTCTTCCTCGATGTTACGTTTCATGCGCTGTTTCCAGTGAGCTAAGTCATCGATGCACCTCTCAAGTTTGAGGACGCTAGCACTGCCAACATCACGGCCGTAATTCACGTAGATAATAACCAGGTCGATCCATGAACCCAGCTGTTCGGCAACCTTCGAGCACCATGATGGATCTCGATAGTCTCGAAGTTCCTGTTCCTGTATCACGTCGCTGATCAGGTCAATCAAGACAGCAGATGAATCTTGGTCAGTCGCTTGACTATGCTTCAAGAGTGTTTGCAGCACACTTTCGGGTTGAAGTATTCGTTTCCGGCGAGAAGGTTGCTCATAATCCAATGTTACTAGAACAAAGAAGAAGGCCAAAAGGGATTTCGATAGGACTTTGCGGAAGTTCTCTTCAGGTGACCAAACTAGCAAATCGGCGCTATCTTTTCCACTTTTGTCCAAAACTTTGTCGAGAAACCACGATTCAATGAAGCACCAATGACCTTCGCTGTGCAAGGTATGCGATAGCAATTGTCTGGCCACTCGCACAGGGAGAGTCTCGAAGATCTCCAGAATTCCTTTAAGAACATCCTGGATACAATCTTTCCTTGGTTTGTCATGTTCGTGTCTGTCAAGCAGTAGAATAGAGTTGGCGCCTCTAACAGTATCAGTTTCTTGTAACGATAGGAAGAAGGACACTGTTGTTGGTTTTCCACTCAACGCAGCCGCCCATACTGGGGTGACAGTAATGGCCCCTGCAAAACCCCGTGAGCCTTTGGGCAGTTGTAGGTCCATAGGCCTGTTGACAAGGTCGTGCATTCTGAAGCTGCCCGTATCGATAGATCTTGATCCTGGCCATTGCAGATCCTCCGGTTCATTGAGCTGGACACTATGAAGAAGAATAGATATCTCATCCAGACACGAATCGGACAACCCCTCGAAATGAGACATTGCCTCCCACCAACAGAATTTCGCTATTGCAAAAAAGTGTATGATGGAGAATCCCCGTGTCCCCGTTCCGAACGCCTGGTGACGTTTGCAAGAGAAATCCTGTTTTTCATAGTCAGGGGTATCCGCAACACCGAGGATCGAATGTGGTTCGAAGCTGTGTTGGAGACAATCCCAACATAGCATATCATAAATACGGAGGAGTTCGCCCCTGTCTGGGATATGATAGTACTGTTGGAGTAATTCAACAGCCTGATGTAATCGATGGGGGCCTTTCTGCTCATCAATCAGTTTGTGGAGATGTCTGATATTTTTAGAAGCAAAACAAGTATCCAGACCATCCCGAGCTTTGAACGGACGTTTGGTAGACCAGGATGAAGTGGCCAGCCCCTCGGGGAGCATTTCCTTCCATATGTCTCTGTCGGGGTCTTCGGATTCGGAACATATATCTACCAAGAGCTGGATCAACCCATGTAGCTCTTCGCCGTCGCGACCGACGATGTCAATCATGTTTTGGTAGGCCTGCTCTCCATGGAATTTGGATTTCTTGTAGTCATACTTTGCTCGGTACGCTTTGGTAAGCGTTTGGTGCGCCATAGCCCTGTCTGACTTGGACAAGCTTGTGTCTTCAAGTAGTCTCTCAAGTATTCTGACGGTCGCAGCTATATCCCAAAACTGTTTTGCGTAGAACCAAGACTCACCGCGGGCTAGTTGTATCTTTTGTACTGATCTTTTGTCACTCTCCGTGAGACCTAACGAGTCCCATTCTTCTTCGAACTGAAACTTGCAGCCAAGCACATCGAGTACTGCATCATGATCCCCTTGGTCGAGAGCTTCGGTAGCTTGCATCAATTTCCAACGACACTCTTTCCCTGTGACCCTTAGTTTAAGAAGGGGACGGCGTGTATAGATGTTGGCGTTGACCTTGCTCTCCCCTTCAACTGTCGCTTTGGCCATGAGTCGATACAAGAGGTCTTGTTCTCCATCTTTCAGGGGTTCATTGTCCTCCGAAAGGAGGACCTCTAGAAGATCAATCGCTTTTTTATAGTGCTTCGCTTTTATATTCTCCTTAACCGCCCGAATGCGCCTCTGATTCATCTCGTCGCGAAAACTATTTTCAGTCCCCGTTGTAGCAGTCGTTTGGGCAGTGGAGGTAGTAATAGTCTCCGAGGGCGGTGTGGAAAGTCCCGATAGACTTGAAATGGCCGAAGCTCCATCGTCTCCACCAGTATGATCAACCCACTCCGTGATGTCCTCGAGTCTATCTCTCAAACTGTGTACCGGACGCGATTGCGGAGATTTGACCTTGGAAGCTGTTGACAAAGAGTCAATGGTGGAAGTATAGTCCTTGGTGCTGCCCACAAGCTCATTCACCACTTCAAGCATTGACCGGGTATCGTCTTCCATGTATGCTTTGTCTCTGATCTCTTGTGGGCTCAAAGAAGTATACGGGCGCCTTTTCTCCCGGTGAGCCTTGGCACGCAATTGCGAAATAAGATCCTGCATTGGGGCTAATCGGGCCTCCATTTCGTGCTTCTCTGCGAGTGAAGCCTGGCGATTCTGAGACGAAGTAAGTCTCGATAGATCAAGCTCAAGACTTTCTAGAAGCTTGTCAGTCGCAGTCGACTGAGCCGGTGGAATCAGGCCCTCTGAACCCGGCTCTGTCTTTCTCTTTTTCAGATCATTTCTCGTATCTTTCACCAGCGACTCGAGTCTAGTCAGCCGATCGGCCACCTCTTCCAAAAGCGCAAACGCTGCTCCTGGTTTCAAAGTTTCCGCATCAACTTGCAGGCTCGTGTGACTGCAGCAAAAGTTGGTTATAACAGGTAAAACAAAGTCTGAAGGCAGGCTACATTTTGTGGATAATGACTGGTAGCTGAAGGGCATTCGTGCATGTATTGATGCAGAGTTTAAGATGGCTAATGTCGTTGTCATATTTCTTGGTACGTAACCATGCCCTCAATGCCTGTGCCGAGGATCGCTGGCGGGCTATCTCGGAGAAAATACCGTTCAATCTTCGATAATGTTGATGACAACTCCGCAACAAACGTTCAAGTTCAGACTGTCGCCACCAACCTTCGGTACTTGCATCGAACTTGCCGTTTCCAATCACATCATCTAGGATGGTAATGACTGTTCTTGTTGCGTCCAATTGGCCGTCGAAATCGTGAAGAAGGTCGTCTATGCCTTTGATTTGGGAGTAAGCTTCACGAACTTTGAGGACGGTGACACCCAGGGCCTGTGCCAGCTGGAGAGTGGCAGCCACGCTTCCCACGACTTCCATTTTGGAGATGGGAAACTTGCGTAAGTAGGCAGGAGACTCAAAGGGTGAGAAAAAGGAGAGTGCGGGGTTTTCATGACCTATTCCAGCCACTTGGCTGAAAAACACTAGAGTGCAATAGATGGCATGGAGGCTGAGCCGCCATGTCTCATCTCAGCCTATGAGATTGCCTCGACATTAGTCTGCCTTGGAAAAGCCCAGCAAGGCGAAGCATGAAATAATAGAAATCATCGCTCCGGATTGCCTGTCAGCCTTAGTAATGTGTAGAGCGATAAGAGACTTCCTAGGACGCAGAAAACTCGATGGCAAAGGCTGCGATATCAGCTTCAAGCATGTGATAAACAGACATCTTTTGAGTAGAAAGATGGTTTTATGTATGCTCTATCTTTTTCCATATCTTTGGATCCTTCTGGCTTGATCGTTGAGGAAAGGCGGTTCTTTGTAGAGTTTTTGGCTGTGTGCGGTAGATGGTTAACGTTCTTTGAAGGGAGAGAAAAAGACTGGAAGGAAGCCAATTAGTTGATCCACTTATTTTGACACCTCGAATTCACAGTCCATTAACCCTTTGTGTACCTAGTTCAATCATGGGCAGTGATTTACCACCTGTGTATTGACTTACCACTGGATGAGATAAATATCCAACAGAGTCGCGATAGAGCAGAATAGCAGAAGTGGTACAGGGGCTGTAAGCTTCAAGTCTTTCTACACGTGGGCTCCAGTGCCTTTTCTCTTTTACCTATGACAAGCAACCTTGCACATGCGGCTTGTCGTGTCCTATTGCCGAACAGGAGCATAAACACTCAATGTCACCCATAGAACCTGGCAGCGAATTGTTCGTCAGATCATGAAAGCAGCTGAAACAAACTCGACAAAGATGAGCGCTACATAGTGTCACTACCCGCATCAGACCACAAACCTTCACCCAATCATTAGGGTGTCAGAAGAATTGACCGCGGAGAGCACAAGAGACGAAATAGTTCAATCACCCTACGTGGGTTTGGAGCATCTTTTGGGCAATTTTATCTTGCCTCGCTACGCCTTGCAACAATTATTCTGTCCACCACCTGCCAACACACCTCCAAACCATCTGCAAAGTACCGCAATTGGACAAAGTCACGATGTCAGCACGGTACGCAAACCCCAAATCTACCTCCAAGTCTTCACTCTGATAGTTAACACTCAAAGTCGCCGCGCACTGTGATAATGAGGGGTCTTGAGATTATCGTCGAAAGTTACCACTTAGACCCCGCGAATGTTTCGACATGACGTTGGTCAGCATCATTTGTGTTGAGATGGATGGGAGTATGACGACAGTTTCTAAGAGCTGTACAGCTATATGAAGCTGTCTTCCCCGCGCTCAGAATGTCACTATTCTTTCAGATTTACAAGAACTAAAATACTACACCAAGATCTACAAGATATAACAAGACTATACACTAAACAAAATCACCATGCCCGAGAGACGTCAATCTCATCCAAAAGCACCGACCGGTCTCAATGATGAGACGGCCGTGGAAACGCACGATCTCATTCATAACGCCGAGGTAGAGGAACAAAAGGTAACACACCGAAGCTCCTTAATGACATATAACTAATTGATAATAGATGCACGGCAAAGACGCTCTGACTCAAGAGGACGTCGGTGTCGAAGACAGCGGCAACCAGAAGGGCGAGTCGGCAATGGACAAGGTTAAAGGGGCGTTGAACTTGGGAAAATAAGTGTCGCGCAATAATACGACGTAGTAATATGGTACTGTCTGGGAGAAAAGGTGTTTGTTTGGGTCGGATGTTGGCGTCGATACCAGATTGTCACATTGATTGATTGATCTTGTCTGTTCTTATCTCTTAATAATAGGTAATTCTCCAAAGTATATTGAAACAAGCATTAAACGAAACAGAAGGGTATCTTGACATTAACATCATCCTCCATCTCCATCAAAGAACCACACCAAACAATGCGCCAGGGTATCGCGCAAGAAAGCCGTCTATATGCCAAACACAAGACAAGCAGAGAACAAAACCACCAGCGCCAAAGCGTTCCCACTCGGCTGCTTTACCCCTGCCCCATCCTCATCGCCAGGTTTCCCATCCTTGGCACTGACCTTCTCCCCAGTAGGATATCTAATATTCCACACCGTTTGTCCCTTCAATTCATCAGGAACACCCATCGTATGTTTACACTCCGCTTGGTTCGCAGCAGGATAGTCCAGTTCACATTTCTCATCGTGGCCTAACGTGCAGATCGAGTCGAGGATGTTGTAGAGTACGTAGTTCTCGCCTACCCACGTACTACTATTCCGATCGAGACAGCTCGTGAGGAAGTTCATGCTATTCGCTGCGCTGAGGGGTAGTTTGCTGCCCTTGGTGTTGATGAGCGACTTGCATTTTGATGCGTCGACGTTTTCGTAGGTCATTTCCACAGGACCGCCTGCTGTGGGTTTGTCGGTGGCTGAAGAGCCAGTATAGAGGTAATTCCACGCATCGTAGCTAACATCATGCGCGCCCTGCGATTGATCGATGCGGAGTAAATGAACGGTTCGATCGCCGTATGTGAGGGAAATGCAAATATTGTCGCAATCGATGGCGTTGGGCCAGTAAGCGATTCGGTTGGTGTCGACTTTGCAGCCGAGAACGCCAATGGAGGAGGAGTAGCTGTCGTGGGGAGTCGCCCAGACTGTGCCACTGTTGTCGCGCGCGGTCGCAAATGATACGAGTAGAGAATGGAAGAGCAGCGATTGCTGCAGCAACATTTTGAAGCAAAAGAGTGAATGCGCGGGCTATGGGAAACAATGAGTGACTTGGAGCATTCTTGCGATGCGCCACGCGACAGAAAGTGGAGGAGGGAAATTAAGTGATAAAGTTAGGGGTTCAACTTCTGGAGAAGATGAAGAAATTGGAGCTTGGCCCTGGAGCGTTACTGTTTGTAGTCTAGTGTTGGTGGAGCTAAGCTTGTTTGGGGATGATGCTGCGAGGAGGGACATGGGTTGTTGCGGTATTGCGATCAGTCGATGCTCGCGATATCTTGCTATCGGGTTTGTCTGAGACATGGAATCCTCCGATGATGATTGATTCCCTTGGACTGTGCGACTAGTAAAAAACGATATTTGGCAAGTTTTGAGTACCCTCGTTCAGGTCTCGGGCTGTATTTTACACCGTACCTATGGTGTCGAAATAAAGCAGCCAAAGGAATGGCCTAACCTGGCATAAAGCGACTCAATTATTTTGTTCACTGTTCTCGGCAGCCTTTAATTCCCAGTAAGCCAGGCGACTGCAGCCTGTCTGTTTAAGCGAACATCATATCTCGCGTTAAAACAAGCCACCTCCACCTCCACATCACGGACCCAAAATAACGTCAGTCTTGGCAGGGCTGAGCGACAAAAACGAGGAATACGACTGGTCACTATGCGCAAATGACATCGACGCCCCAATATTTCTCTTTAGTCTCGCGACATGATCCCTTCTTCAGATTCACTCGTAAGATGTCTTAGCAATGGATGAAAGGTCCTACTGTGGTATGACGGATATATAAGAGCATGTCTTCTGCTCTCCGAGGGTAGGATAAATCAACTGCTCCTCAATCACAGTCACGATGACTTTTCTCTGCCATCTAATCCTTTGCACAGCCCTGTTCCCTCTGGCTTTAGCATCATCTTGCAAATCCCACCCCAGCTCCCCATCATGGCCCTCACCCAAAACATGGTCCCATCTCAACACCACTCTCAACGGTAACCTTATCGCACCAGTCCCTCCAGGAGCAGTATGCCACGCATCTCAACCAAGCTACAACAAGACCAGCTGCCCGGAAGTCGCAAAAGCATGGAAAACATACGACTTCCACACTGACAATCCAGTCTCTCTGATTTATGATCAATATTCTAATTGGACTTGTCTTCCTGACATGGACTACCCATGTAGTGGAGAGGGTTATCCTGCTTATGTGATTAATGTGGCAAAGGCGGATGATGTCAAAGTTGGGGTTGACTTTGGTAAGTACTTCCATACTCTACATGTCGTAAGACAATACTAATGGCATGCAGCACGGAAGCACAATATCAGACTCATCGTCAAAAACACAGGCCACGACTACATGGGCCGCTCCGTCGCACTAGGTTCCCTATCCCTCTGGATCCATCATCTCAAATCAATAACCTACCACAAGAAGCACTTCAAACTCTACAACTCAAAGACTACTATCAAAGGCGATGCCGTAACTGCAGGCGCCGGAGCTCAGATGTACGATGTTTATACTTATCTGGACAAATACAAGCGCGTTGTCGTTGGCGGTGGTGGAAAGTCTGTTGGTCTAGGAGGATACGTTACTGGTGGCGGTCATTCACTTTTGTCGCCGAGGTTTGGGCTGGCTGTTGATCAGGTTCTTCAGATGGAGGTTGTTACCCCTAGTGGGAGGATCCTGACTATTAATGAGGATAACCATCCTGATTTATTCTGGGCTATGAGAGGAGTAAGTAAAGTCCCATCCTCTGAGTTGTATAGTGCTGATGGATCCTAGGGCGGCGGTTCAACCTTTGGTGTCATCACTTCAATAACCCTCAAAGTCTACCCAACACCCAAGATATCCGCATCAACCTTCACAATCGGTACATCTGCAGATGCACCATTCAAATACGATCTCCTAGCCTATATCCTCTCCCAGTTCCCCTCTCTCGCAGACGCAGGTCTATCGGGCTACTCGTCCCTCAGTCCTCGAACACCCAACCCTGCTGGGGGCGAACCGAAGGAAGTAGCAGGTATATCCGGCATCCTTACAGCACAAGACGTCAAGGATTCGAACTATATCCAGAAACTCTTCAAGCCTATCAACGAAACTCTGCAGAAGCGATGGCCGGGGATGGTGCAGTTCACAGCTACGCAAGAGAAGTATTCTTCTTTCTTGAAGTGGTATGACGTTTATTTTGATCAAGGTGCTGCGGGTCAGACGAACTATATCGTTTCGAGGCTTTTGACGAAGGATGCTCTTGAGGATGACGAAGGGGAGTTGAGTCATGCGTTGGAGGAAGGGTGTAAGCCTTCTGGTGGGATGGTCGTGCATTTGGTTTCGGGCAAGGGAGTGAGGGATGCGAAGCCTAGAGGAGGAAGCTTATCGGTGAATCCGGGTTGGAGGGAAACTTATGTTCATGCTCGTAAGTGATCTTCGCATTGTTCAATGGGGACTAGGCTGACTTTTATGGTGGCAGTGGCTGGACATACTTTCGAACCATTCAACGCAACTGCCAAGGAAGAAGCTACTCAGAGCCTGATCGAGACTTGGGAACCGTTCCGAAAGCTATCGCCCGACGCAGGCGCTTACATCAACGAGGTGCATCTCACCAATCTTCTTAACGAAACTCTATTAACTCCTCATAGGCGCTTCCTTTTGAGCCAGATTGGCAGCACACCTTCTGGGGCGACAATTACGAAAGACTCATTTCTATCAAGAAGAAGGTCGATCCACACGATGTGTTTTGGTGTTTTCCTTGTGTCGGAAGTGAGAAGTGGGAGCAAACTGTTGATGGCCGTATTTGCAAAGTCAACTAAGGACTCGACAATAGGTTTCAGACTCAGCACGGACAATGCTTCCTATTCCATCGAACTTGAACTGTTGTGAATGATATTTGGAATGTCAATTGTATGCTAGAAACTGGTAGTTGATTCACATGAAACGATCTCTCGAGCCTTCATCCCTTCACAAGTACTGTCGTGAGGTTGTCTCAAACTTTCGGTTCACAAATGGCAATCCAAGGCGAAATGACACCTATAGGCATTAGTTCCGCTCCAATCACAGATATTATCAAACTTACTGCTGAGAAATAGTCGTCCAGTCTTCACATCATGAACAACAGTCGTAGCAACCGGCAAAATCTCTCCCATCCCATCCTCAAGAACCTTCTCAACCTTCCACTCCTCTTCTCCCTTGCTGACCTTCAACACAGCAGCAGGCGCACTGAAACCATACGGATCCTTGTAAGCTTCAAAGATCGCGATACCCTTCGGAAACGCGGCGATCCAGATATCGCCGTTTTCATCAACAGATGCATTATCGAGAGCGTAGTCGAGGTTTATCTCGGCGGTCTTGTTGAGATCGTGGGAGGGGAGGATGTTGTAGATTGTCAGGACGCCGGTTATACTGTCTGGTAGGTAGAGTGTGTTGTCGTGGATGGCTAGACCGTTGGGGAAGTGGAGGTTGCTGGATACCTCTTTGCAAGGTTCAGATGGGGGGCAGGAGTTGATATTGGCATAGCCTAGGATGGGTGAGAGATGATGGCGCTACAGAATTAGCTATCCGCTCATGCGATTCGATGTGGTGACTTACCCAGCCCGTCTTGTGAGGCCCGTGATCATTCGTGACATAGACGGTCCCATCCTCCATGGTAGCAACACGGTTCGGCGTAGCAATACCCTTATCAGCATAAGTCTTAACATGCTTCATCTCGCTCATTCCAGCACCCGTCGTAAACCGCTCGATCGTGGTGTTGCCGCCCTGGACGTACTGATCCACAAGCTTTCCAGTCTCATCAACAGAAGGTCTCATGTTGGTAATCAAAATATCGATACTTCCATCCGCGTGATCGATGCCTGTGAAACCAGCAACGTTGATGAGTCCATCTCCAGAGGTACCAGGCCATACCGGTGTTTTCAAAACCCGTGGCTCAAAGTTATCGCTGTCAAGGTCGAGAACCACGATGGCGTCTTTCTTTGAACGCCCAGACACGTTCAAATGTCCAACACTGTTCAATCATCAGCATTGGCATTAATAGATTTGAGATGGGAAAACTCACTTTGTCATCCACTTCTCCCGCGAAAGAGGATCAGAACACGCAAGAAATAATTGTCGGGTAGATTTTGACAACCACATATCCTCACAAGCCTCCATCCGCGGATTAACAATCTTGCGACACGTGTACGGAAAGTCACTGATCGGCTGCAGTACTTTTCCAACACCGAAAGCGAGCCATACTGCGTCTTTGAGATAAATTTGGAAAAGGACTGCAAGGGCGATAACGGCCGTGAGGCCAATTTTGACGAGTATGTTGACCATTTTGGGAAGCCTTGCAGGTTGAGGAAATAACCAGGAGGGGTATTTGAGAATGAAGTAGGATTTTGGATAAGTCAGCTGATTTTACCCGGTACTTCTGGTGAGAGATTTGGTGGTCCATCGCATTCAAGGGTTGGAGGATTCAATCCTGGCCTGTAGGATTCAGAATGGAGACATATGTACATCCAAATTATCGTACTCGTACTCGTCACAAAATTTTGAGTCGTTAAATAGCTTGCGCTAGTTTCGCGTCCATGCATTTTTACTAGACTATCAGGACGCTTGCCACACTTCTGCAATTAATCAAACCTATCTGCTCAGGGCTGAGAACGCGCAGCTTCAGGATGAGGCCATGCAGGTGGGGAATAAGATGTTAGCTTTAGAAGAGAAGTACGGGTGTTTAGAGAAGAAACATAAAAGCTTAGAGAAGAGGCACAGAATGGAAGCCTAACTGTGATTACATCTACAGGCGTCTACTTCTCAGCTTGCTCAGCAATGCCTGATGTATCGCGCACTTGAGCTGGACACCCAGTCTTGTTCTTTCTGGTCAACACTATCCTCGGCTTCTTTCCCCCACGATCGCCATCATCTGAAGCCTTGCGCTTAGGGCCAGCACCCTCATCCTCATCCTTGATTGCCTGGTCGTCCTCATCCTCATCCTCATCCCCCTTCTTGCCATGGAGCGCGAGTTCCATAGCCGATTTGAACAAGGGAAGAAATTCCTCACGCAGTTGTTCTGGTGTACGGGTGAGATAGTCCTCAACTTGATTGGTAGCGATATCGCTGCCGAAAAACTTGTTGAAAAGAATACAGCCTTGCACGAGAACATGCGAGTTGTCCGCCCAGAAATCTTGATCCTGCTGCTGGTTGATTATGAGACGCGCAGCCATTGAAAAAACATGGCCGAGACTCGCTGTGACTTCGCTATGGTAGCTGAAGGCAATATCACTGTCTTCCTGGGCGATCCAAGCATACCGGTTGAATGGTTGATGAAAGACTGTCTTGGCAAGCTCACTCCAGCAGATCTCGGTTATGACTGGAATGTCATATACCCACTGAGGAAGAGCATTAGTGGCAGCGACCAAGCCGCCCTGAGCCCACTCAACAATGAAATCCCTCTCCATCTGGTCATGATAGCTGTTTTTTACCTTGAGAATATGGATGGTGGCCTCTGGATGGTCATGTTTCGCACAAATCTCGACCATTCTCTTGGGGTCCGGAAACCAGCCCATGACCAAAACCTCATCGCAGGAGCTGTACATGGCCTCTTTGATCGGGGTATTCACGTTGGCCACGAATAGGTCCAGGTCAGACTTTGGGTCATTCCACTCCGCCACAATTTTATCCCTGTCTGCATCGGTATGCGAAGAGTGATAAGTGACAGCAACAAAGCCAGCCATGGTGAACAATCCCACAACCACGCTGGTGATATGTTAGCCGATTTGACCTGAGCGTTGGAATAAGCATGAGTACTTACCACTGAATCCAAGGATCATCGACATAAATCAGCAGCTTTTTGCCAACATTTTCGATTGCCAGATCCAAAGCACGTGTCATGATCGGACTGTACTGGCAGAGCCAGCGGAGGGAGGCCGAGCGATCTTTAGGAAAAACTATTCTTTCTTTATCGCCCTTGAATTGACGATAAAGCAGTTGGAGGCCACAGCTGGAAAGCATCCTGACATGATCAACACCAGCCGAGTCTAACTTTAGGGTTGTCGCCGCGTTTTCGATGCCTTGTAGCCGATAAATCGTTTGCAGCATATGAACTGTTTTCCTCGCCTCGGCAACGCCATGGCGAAAGGCTTTGGCGTCATCAAGATTGAGAATTGCACAGTTGCGCCAATCAAAGGATATAAGCATTCCCTTCCGCTGCTCATCAAAGCCCTCACTTTCTTGCTGTGCCAGGAAGTGTTTCTTGATTTGTTGTTCAACAGCGGATTGCAGATGTAATGGCCATTTTTGACTGAAGTTGCATTCTTCGACAATGATGGTTGCTGGGTGTTTCTCGAATGACATGTGGGTCACCGTATCTCGATACCTGGCTAGACGCGCGTCAAAATCTGGTTGTTGGTGGTGTCTCTTTAAAGTGACCACCAGTGCCTGGAGACCTCCGGGCGACAATCGACGCGGTTCAGGTTCATCAAGTATCTTGAGACTTTCGGGGATCGTTCTTGCGGGGCAGGTCGTCACAATAGACTCCAGTATCTTGGTATTGATATCAACTGCCTCAAGTCCGGTGATTGGACTCGTATCTTCTGTTGGCTCCGTGATAGAGACGTCATGGCCAAGACCCTCCGAGATGCTTTCTCTTTCGGTGGGAACTGGTGCTTCGGTATGAACCGGTGCTTCGGTATGGAACAGTCCTTCGTTACGAACTGGCTCGCTATGATTCCGAGGTTGCAGGTCAGCACTAACAGGGCCAGCATTGGCATCGGGGGTAGAGTATCCCGGAAACTGAACACCGTTAAACGTGTCATATTTGTGCACCTTGCCGATCCAGGGTCTTCCAATTTCGTCCATTCGGCGGTTCATCATGAAATAGAAGAGCAAGATTGCTCGATGGAGATCTTCCATTGAAAAGAGACCTGCAACGTTCTTTTCAATGCCCCCTCCAATGTTGTCAGGACTTGGAAAGCGATGAGCGTAATGGGGCCCATCACGTGAATAGATGCGATTCGGTATTCGATCCTGGGGGGCAAACAACAAGATCTGAACAGCATGTGATAGGACGAATGCCCGCAATGCATACCTTCTCCGCTCCTTTGGAGGCCAGACATGCGAAAAGTGTTCTGGGAGAACCCGAATGAAGGTGGGCTTGGGGCAAAGCGTAACGACTTGGTTCACGAAATCGCGAACAGTCATGTCATTCTTCTCACCTAGTCTTCCCGCATAGCTGGTGAGGAGTGTGGGTGCACTGAGCATCGAAAAGTCTGAGCCGAAGTCGTAGATAGAACGCCCTTCTCCGCGAGAAGGAATGAGAGAACCACATCTCATGAAGTTTTGAAACTCGAGCTCGGCTCCCTTAGCTTTATCGTTGATTTGCTAAACCAACGAGGAAGGCAGGTTTCCATCATCTGCATCAGAGCAGTTCCGACGATAGTTGGACGCGAGAAGGGCAGCCTCGTGAACGATTTCTGACACTGTCGAAAAGCTTTCAGCATGACATCTCATAGGAGTAAGGATTGATAAGCACTTACCGATAGTGTCAGCGTAAGCGGTAATCTCCTCATTACCGCTAAATCCGCAATATTGTGCCAGAAAGTGTGCTTTGCGCCCCCATTTGATGGCACGGCACTGGATATCGTGCCATGCATAGTTAATTAGAACTCCCAGCTCTTTCTGCTGTTGGATGTTTTGCATCACTATGTTGCTTAACTTTTCAGGCTGAGTCTCATGGTGAGCAACGGGAGTAAAGAAGCTGAAGATCGTATGGTTTTTGTACAGGCAGGGCAAGGAACGCTCTGAAAATCGGGGGTTGTTTTCGAAGATGTGCACCACACTCATGAAGTCGTGATGCTGCGCGTCCAACACCTTGTCCTCATTTCGGATACGATCACTCGATTTATTCGGTGGCATGATGATTGAATGTTGTTTCTTGGTGTCAGAGTGGAGATATCGATTTTCACAATTCCAAGTCCTCGGAGTGTTGTTGTGGTGCGGCTCTGGTGGGTGGGGCCGGCGGTCGGTCAATAGGTACTTCCGAACGGTGAATCCAGCCGGATGATCTAGAATCACATGATCAGTTGTAGCTGCCTTGAAAGATGGTAATACAAGCTGAAGTTGCGGTGCTGTTGCCTGGTTTGGAGTGTTGAGATTGGGGTTACTGCTCAGGGGTGAGACTGTAGAGATCGCCCATCTGCAACACCACAACCTAACACACGATAAGCTCCAATATATGAAGCTAACATTATAAAACCCTCAGTCTGAGTTGTTTACTGCCATACCTTCGCTGCGTTGGCTGGGGTTGCGACTCTGCACAAGGGTAGAAGCCACCACAGTCGAAGAGTACGGTGCTGACAGCCAAGTTTCATTAACGCGTCAAACTGACCTGAGGGATCACCAACAAAGTCAGATCCCAACCTTTATCTGCAGATGGGGTAAGCTTTTTCTGAAACATTTACACTCTCATTAAACTAACATAACTCGTCTCCTTACACAGAAAGACGTTATTCTCACTGACCATCACATTAGACTAATCACGGTATTGTCGTACACGCCCATCAGACATCGGAACACTCCTGGGTGATAGCTCCCGGAGCCAAGAGCGAAGCGACTCAATATCCCATATCTCCCCAGCATCAGCCAGCTCCCACAGATTCTCAAAATGACTTGCTCGTTCGATCTTACAGGAATAGTTAGAACCACAGTCCGATAAGGCCCTAATACCATCCAAGTCCATCTGAGCATGTGTAGAGAATGGCTTCACAATATCATCGAGTGTCTCTGGGAAACACATGATCGCTTTGCCAAGCCTTCTTCGTCTGAAAGAGGTGAAATCCTCTCCTACTTCATTTCTCAACCTCGACATAAATTGCTCTTTAACATCGCGAAGAGTAGCTCGGAAAGCTTCCTTGTTATTGCGGTGATAGTGCAGACCGTCGGCTTGACTCAAGAGAATACGTAGAGGACGCTTATCGTCGTGATCGAGGAGCAATCTAACAGCTATGCGCAGAGTATTTTCAGTTGCCTGCGAACGGATACGTCCCATGGGAATGACAATGATGACGACCGCAAACAGCTCTTGGTAAACCTCGGCCATGTACTTGATTTGTGGGATCTGGTCATCGAACCCAGGACTCTCAAGGAAGCTGGCGCTCAGCTGGCTTGCGTTGTAGGACTGGATACCCAGAGTTCTGCAGAGACTGCGAGATCTTGGCTTGAAAAGGTCTTTGGGTGCACCAGTGAGGACCGTAAGCATTTGACTCTTTCCAGCTTCCATGGAACCCTGAACCCCAATACAGATCTTGTTCAAAGGCTGCATTCGAAGTTGCGCCACTAGAGCAACTGCGAAGAGCCATTTAGACCAAAAGTAATCTGGTTTGATAGACCAGTGATTCTTCCTGGCATCAGGATAATTCTTAAGCCCCGTTTCGAGCCTGGCTCTCCATTTCTCCAAAGTCTCCTGTGTATGCGAGCTTGGTAGATCCTCCTTTACGTGGTCGAGGAGCATCTTCTCAACCATGTCATCAGGTCTAGCCAGGCTGATTCCAAGAGCGTCGAGGGTGGTAATTAGCACGCCAGAGAAAGACAGGTCCAAATACTCGCTGTGGCGATGGAGGAGGTGATTGATGATACGAGAGCTGCAGTATTGAGCCCAGGAGAAAAGGCTCGGCAGCATGCCCAATGTCACGGAGGCTATTGGACGACCTTCAGTAAAGCTGCAATACCATTCATATGGGGCGTCAAGCTGAGTGATTATGATCAAGTGGCACAGCTGAATGACCCCCATTATGTCTTGAAACTGGGAGATAGCCTGCTCTGTGCGCTTGGATGAATTTGTTGGCCGACGATAAAGGTCCTCACTAAATTTCTCCAGTGCGCGAGCGAAGCTTGGCACATTCGCGAATTTCTGCGCCAGTGTTGGTCTGTTTGCGTTCGTCCACGCCTTGATGGTGGCTTCACCTTTTGTAATTCTTGGGCGTATTTCACTTTCGGACATATCAGTGATAAGCTTCCTAAGAACGCGCGGACAATCGGCGAGAACATCGGAGAGAAGGCCTCCGTCAGAGTCACCCGGGGTGAATTGTCCTGGTATCGAAAAATATAAATCTATATCAGTTTCAAAGTCTCGAGGCCACCGTTTCTTGAGGATGTCAAAGGCGCGTCCCATCTGACTGACAATAAGATGTGGGCTGGCGTCACTGACCAAACTGTCAATGTGGTTCGCCACGAATCTGGCTTTGTCGTCCAGCTCAATAACTTGCTTTGGAGAACGATTATTGGTGGAAGCGTCCTCTGTTTTGAAACCTTTCACCTTGGATGTCTGGGCCACGAGTGCATGTACCATTGCTAAGCGGAGACTTTCGAAGGTATCTGACCGACTGGCTCTATCAAGGCTGAGGTGTCCCATATCGACTTTAATAGCCATTGATCGTCCAAAGACATCACGGAGAATAATAGCTTGTTGAACAGCGATGGCTATTCTGCCGATACGTTCGAACGTATCGTTGTCCTCGATCATGTACCCCAACTCCACTGAAGACTCATTTAGATGGTCAGTTGTAAGTTACAGAGTTGTATATGTATGAGAACTTACTTTGGAATGATCCTTGGGGTGAAGGAGATAGTTAATGGATGAGAAAGGAATATCCTTTTCATTGTATTTGAAAAATGCCCCTTCCAGAAGATAATGGATGATAGCGGTATCGACAGCCAAGGATATAGTGAGACGGTCGATATCTACCACACAGGAACAATTCATAACTGTGTCAGGCATCGGAAGTATAAGAGAGGGGATTTCATTGAATGACACCCCACGATGGTTCTCTGGAAGAACATCTTGGGGTAGTTTTGCGCCGATAGAGCTCTTGACACAGTGATAATAGTGTGACATCTTGTAGCACTCGCCGAAATCTCGTGCAACAGGGATCTGCGGAAGGTCACCGACAGTTAATATCTGAAGACAACTCTGTATTCCTGGACACTCGGTGGAAATGGAATATATGCAGCCAAAGTGACAGAACTTTCCTGACTTTGTTCTCGGGGAGTTGGAGTCCTGTTCAAACCTCCTCGATGCGTCGTTCAGTACAAAAGGCACATAATCATGAGGATTGATGACGTGATGAAAGTTCTTGCTGACATGTATTTTCCACGAGGCCGTGGTCCCTTGAGGCTCATTGAAATGGCAAGGGGCTGACCCGAATGTAATGACAGAAATGCCATTCATTCCCTCTTGCCATATATTAGGAATAGATTGGTGGTCAGATATGGAAAGAAAAGGCGAAGCGGTTGCTAAAGCGCCCCTTCGAGGCAGTCAGCATCATGTGTGATTCAGGTTCGAATCTTTTCTTGCAGTCTTACCCAAAGCTGTGACCGCAAACAACCACTTTGTATCGTGTCATGAGCCATTCAACAAGCGGAACAAACTCCAGTCCTCTTTCGATAAGATCTTGATAGAATCGTGAGCCCATACCTCCAGCGGCTTGCGTGCGAACATCAGCGCTGAAATTAGAATCAGTTACATCCCCGGTGCAGCTGAACCCCAAGAAGATCGTTTGCAAGCGATCTGACCATGCAATGAGAGGAGGTGTTGGACTAATGCCCGTCTGTTTGTTAATTGGAGCAATAGAGTAGACTGAAGAGATGAGGTCTAACTCTCTGATGAGCTCGAAGTCGTCTCTCAGGTGGAGACATTCATCTAGGTTGCTGCCATTTTCCTGCTCATCGCAAAGATGGCTGACGGCAGCAGCAGCGCAAAAGGTGAACTCCTTGTTCCTCAGCTCAGCACCAGTGAGGCCAGCCTTCTGGTCGTCAAAGTTGATGTAGTCACTGATCAAAGTGTCTGTTGGCTCCATGGTTGCGATAAATGATAGGATGCTGTTCAAGCTGTAGATATGGGGTCTCCAGTTACGGTTTAGGCGACGGTACTGATGCAAGCCATGAAGGCGAATGGGGCGATTGTCCTCCAGGTAAACAAACCCGATCCGAAACGAGGCTCCGAAGTTTGTTGCAGTCCTGTATGGCAGCCTCAGGCCGTAAGCGCCCAGCGATGCCGCCCATAGGTCGTGTGGCAGGTTGAAAAGCCACAGCGGCTGTCTTCATGCATGAAACCAATGTTGGAGAGACGCATCTTCTTACTTACGCCTGATACGGTTGGCATAAGGTCTCCAATCAGTGATCAAAAATGCGCTGCTTGGTTGAGTACGCCTTTGCGGATGGCCTATATAGATATGTTATCAAGAGCTGAATAGTACAAGTCTGATACAACTGATACTTCGACTGGAGATTGTCAAAGGTAAAGGGTTAGCCCGCACATGCTGCTAGGTTCTGGGATATTGAGCAAAGCGGACCATCCAGAAATGTGAGAGAGGCGATTGATAACACCAATCCAGGCCAACAGAAATGGCTGCTTTGCAGTTGGGCATGACCACATGCAGGAGGTCCCGACCTAACCTCCCCAGACAAAAGGACAGAGTTGGTGGAGCCTCACAAAATGCATCGCAGGGAAATAGAAGTTGATTGAGAAAGCAAAAATGACTCGACGTGAGTGATTGTTGAGAACAAAGTAGTGGACGGCAGCTAGTTGGAGACACCTTCTTCCACTTGCGCCAACAAGATGCAGGAGACATGGAGCGCAAGGCTCTTTCCTCTCACGGTCAAAAGACAATTGAGCAGACATCAAGACGCAACACAAAGCACAAAGACACAAGACAAATCATGAATAATCATCCAATTAAATAAAGAAGTGTAATAACAAATAAAAGTAAATTTAATCCCATATCTACAAAAGTACCCAAAAACATTTATACGTTCTAAAATAAACGGCCATAGCCAAGAAAGTATTTAACTAACCCACACATCTATAGCACTGCAACAACAGCACCAAGAACAACAGCCGCAACAACGGGAACGTTCCAGCTGGAAGCTCCGCTGATGGCAACGGGTGTGCCCGTGGGAGCCTCGGGCTGTGGTGTACCCGTGGGCTTCACCACTGTTGCGATGTTGCTTGTGGGGATGATGGGGAAGACGTTTGTCGGGCGGTAAGTGTGGAGTTCCTCAAGGGGGTTGGGCTTGGGGGCGTCGCCGCCATGGGGAGAGTCAGGCTCAGGGGACTCGTCGCCGTGTTCGGGTGAATCAGGCTTGGGAGCTTCACCTGTAGGTTGGGGATGAGCGTTGGTGGGATGGACACCGGTAGGCTTGCTAGAGTCACCGGTGTGATGGCCGCCGGGAACCTTGGTGAAGCCCTCACCGAGAGGACCGCAGGTAGAGCAGTAGCCAGGAACAGGAGTGGGCTTGGGAGCCTTGACGACATTGGTGACGGTGATGGTGCGGTAACCCTTAGTGGTAGCCTCCGTGCAGCCAAAGTTGCCGTTACCACACTGGATAGCCTCGGGGATAGTGAAGATGCCAGTGGGTTCAGCGCCTCCGCCTTGGGTGTTGTGCACGATCTCGGTAACGACGCTGGTGTCGCAAGCGTCCTTTCCGGAACATGAGGTGATGGTGTGCATGTTGGTGGCGGTGACGTAGGAAGTAAGAGGACCGTTGGTGGGATGAGGAGCAACAGCCTTGTCGGTGGGAGAACCGTCGGCGCTGGGGCAGAAGGTTGTGAGAGAGGTGATGGTCTCGGTGGTGACTTGGCCGACGGGGCAGTTGGTGACGCTGGGAGGGCATGCAGTAACGGTGTAGACCATGCTGGTCACGACAGTGGAGGTGACGGTGGTAGAAGGAGCAGAGTCAGAGTCAGTGCCGCTGGGCTTGCTGTAATGGGCACCAGAGCCGCTCTTGGTGTAGCTGGGAGGGAGGTCGTAGTCGCCGCCAGTGGGCTTGTAAGATGAGATGACCTTGTCGGTGAAGGCAACGGTGGTGTTGGAGTAACGAGTGGTAGAGAAGTAGACAGTGGTAGTGTCAGAGGGAACCGCCTCAGTAGTAACATCCATGGTAACAGTAGCGGTGACGAACTCGGTATCAGTCTCGACCTCAGTAGTGGCAGTGACAGTCTCCATCTCGGTAGAAGTAGCAGTCTCGATGGCGGAAGTGCTGGTCTCATCAGAACCACACTCACCCTCCAGATCAGGGACAGCATTGGGACCGGTTCCGATAGCGACAAGGTTAGTACCACAGTCCTCGTTGTTAGCGAGCCAGACTTCACGGTTATCCCAGTCGTACACGACGTAAGCAGCGCGGAGGAAAGTGTCACCAAGAACGGGGAACTCGTCGTCCTGGAAGACACCCAGAACACAGCGCTCCTCGTTGTGCCAGATGAAGTCGGCGTAGGGAACCTTGATAGTCTTGCCGGCGAATGTGAAGTCAACAGTACCCTTGATGTCAGCGACAGAGCAGTCGACGTCGACGTAAGCACCGCCGGTCCTCTTAGCAGTAGGGAAGTTGTCGACGATCTTGTTGAAGATGGCGCCGGGCAGCGCGCTTACGGTGTAACCGCTGTCAAGAAGGACGGGCTGGCTACCTCCAGAGAAGACGGCGTCGGTAGAGCCATCTTCTTGCTTGAGGCTGATGGCGTCCAGGTTGACCCAGTATCTGGGATGGTCAGCTATGCAGGGTTTCAGACGACGGGAATAATTACCGGGTGAGGCCATCGGGAGAATCCGCGGCGGGGATAATGGGGAGCTTCTGGAGACGGCCGGTGTACTTCTTGGTGTCGATACCACCGAAGATGACAGCACCTCGGTCGCTGTCAAGTGTGCGGATATCGAGAGACAGAGCACGGCTCTTGATAAGGTTCTGTTTGACCATGCTGTCAATGACCAGAGGATAAGGCGCATCCCAACCGTTCAGGTCAGGACCAGCGCCCATGATGCCAACTCCAGTGAAGGAGCTGTCGTATGCGACACCAAAAACCTGGTTGCGAATGCTCGCCGCTGTACTCAATTAGCCACAATTCCCTCAATTGAGCGCTTATACTCACATCCAATAACAACATGATCGTAACCATAGTTCCAGTACGCATATCCAGTACCGTAGACAACACCACCGGTAGTATTCAAGTCGACAAAAGTGCTGCTCTCTCCGAAATGTCCAAAGTTGGCACAAAATTGAGGCTGCTGAGCCTTTTCGCACACGGGGTTAACCCAGAGCTCAGCAGAGCCAGTATCCAGGTTGACGGTGACTTTGTCGCCGGGGGTTCCCAGGGTAACGTCGATACTGTAGAAGAAACCGTTCTGCTGCGACTCGAGAAGGACTTCGTTTTGTCGCTTGGTGATACCCTTTACGACAGGGCCGCCGGTGCTGACCTTGAGGGGGAAGACAACCATGCCATCTGGGGTGTTGTCGCTAACGGGGACGTTGGGAACGTTGACGGCGGTTGCGATTGCGGGGGCCGCAACGGCGAGGAAAAGAGCGGATAACATCTCTGCAATTGAGATTGTTCTAGATCATAGGAAAGAAAAATAAGAGCAACAAGAAAAAAAGTATAAAAAAAAAATAAGAATGGGAAATAAGCTGGATTTTGTTAACCCGGCGTAGAGAGTGACCGGGGAAACGAAACAATTGGCGATGCCCTCAATAAGATTTATTGAGAGGGTGGAAAAGAAGGGTTGGGATGACGGGAGGAGGAGAAAAAAAGGGAATGGCCGGGCGGGCGGGCTACTGCAGTGGTGTGTTCTATATAAAACACTGACACTGCAGATTGCAGCATGTATTCTGCAAGGTGCATGCAGGGGGGGCTCGAATCAAGTGTGACAGCTTCAATTTCATTCGATAAAAGCCCACTTGGTGTCCCAAGTCTCCCTCTCGGCGCCTCTCGCTAAGGTGCCGTTACTTGGCTTGAAATCTCCCAACGCTCGGGGTGGTTCCTGGCGCTAGGCTTAATATAGATGGTGCGTAGTCTGAGCACCAGAGGTCAAGGTCACGTCAATGGGAAATAAACCTGAGAAGAGAAGTGCATATGTCTCAAACATGGACAATTCTTGCTTCTAGGCAGTATCTAGAATCATCTTTGTTGGGTCTCCTGCCGTGGACTGTGACTCGTAAGTTTGTGCTATACGGGAGACGACGATGAATACGAGGCTCCCCTCATGCATGACAAGTTAGCGGTTACCCTCATTAGGGGCTCCAGGTCAGATGTCAGCAATTAATTGCTAATCCCCTTCAGCTTACGTAGATCCCACTTCCCACCTTCAGCTTTGCTTCTGTTTTAGCGCTCAGGCCGTGCATCAAACGTCAATCCAGGTCGCAGGTTGAGCAAAAATATGGGGATCCCATTGATTTCCCATGTTTTATCCCAGATCTGATCTGTGAGCGACAAAAGGGATCCAATGTTGGACAAGGGTAGACATGCAGTGCAAGGGCGATCACACATGACCTCCTTTGAATCAATCAATCGTCAATTAATTGATCAACCTCCTTGACTCTTCCCGAAACATTGATCATCTATTCGGCTCCCGTCTTTCTTGAGGCAGAGAGGTGAGGCGGTAAAGTGTTTGTACTGTAGTGTTTAATCTCGCTCAATCCTTTTGGCTGCAATTAACCGCTTGGCTGATGTGTTGAGCTGCTGTTGGAGCCGCGATCAATGTTACCCTGTCATTTCCACGTTTGCTTCGCTACACGAGATGTTTTTAGCATGGAGTTGCAACAGCGCACACTTTTGACAAGGATGAATGGCAATTAGCATCTGGTAAGACGGGCTTTGATTGTCATCGATAAGCCATTGGATCTCAACTTAACCACAACACCGGCTTTATCTCGTGACTATTCCCAGTTTCATCAGCACGGCGCTCCCGTTTGTCTAGTGGCTCTACCATGTTTCGTAATTATTAACCACGCATTCAGATCAACCAACGTCTATTCTAACGTCATACAATTGCCAGCACGGTGTGTCGCAACTAACGTGAATTGTTGTTGTACTTTAAAACTCATATTAACCCGCATTTATCTCTCGCATCTTTACCAATTGATGTTGCGAATATGCGAACTCGCAGAAGAAGTGAGGCTGGTGGGAGGTTGGCTACTAAGTTTGACGCCATCACCAAGTCCTGATCATGCGGTAAATGCCGCGCAAGCTCACACGATTCCTACACGAAGGCCACACGAGAGAGGGGTCAATAGCTTAATTCTAGCTGTGCACCCATTCTGCATTCCATTGACGATACTGAATGGTGTTGTTGTTGTGATGTTTAACGGTTGGGTGTGGCTGGTGCAGTAGCTTCAGAGGTGGTTAGGGTGGTACATCAATGTCGAGCATCCATCACATGAGGTGCGGGTGCACCAAGTCAAGCCAGCCACGTCTCTAACCTAAATGCTTTAAGCTGTGCAACACACAGAAATTAGTGTTCTTCTAGACAGTGACTATTGGGTATGGAAGCAATAAATACTGACAGTCATTGGTGAATCTTGATTGGGACGGAGTTACAACGTTGGTACAGGATGTCGATATGAACTCGTGTTCCCAATCCGTAATGAAGACAGCAACTTGACATAAGTCGATGAGTGAGCTACAAAGCAGAACCAGCAGGTTTAGACACAGGAGATCATTCCAACTCGAAGAAAACTCCAGTAGTATCTCACGTTTGTTGCTATACAGAACCTTTCTTCTCGACTTTGTCTTGTTAATTCACATGCGACGTGAGCTACCCTGTACCATAGCGGCGATGGCCATGTTCCCGTCGTTACGGTATCGTGCGTAGTCAATCAGGAGAAGACATAACAATGAGCCGTGTCGCATGAATCGTAAACGTGGAAGGGATATTGAGAATTGGTGCTTATATATTATTGTTGTGTATCATCGTGGTTTTGTCTGTTGACATGGGAAGTCTCACCCCTCGCGGAACTGTTACTTTGAGTTTGTACCAGTAACAAAGCGCACAAGACACTGTGGTTGAGCAATTACGCAATCCTTTGTTGAGATCTCAATCAAAACAGAATCAGTGTAAAACGATTCGCCGGTTCAGCTACTATGAACAGACATGTTTTCTTCACAGGGTGATGTTCTTTGTCGTCCGATTCAAGAGCGATGAGAGTCAATGCATGTCTTGAAGGCATTAAAGAAACCCCAGATTAACGATTCGCAGAGTATCAAAAAGCCAACCTGAAGAAAGAAACAATTCGGATTTACTGGAGTCTAATCAAGCCTTCAGTATTCTATTAACATTTTAACTCAGAATTCAAGCGTTCTGACACCTTGGTTGCAGACAGCTGAGGCTACCTCCACAAGAGCTTCGTGTAGACCCACTTTTGATCCAACCCAGCTTTTCCAACCTGACGTAACTCCATCAAATGACTTCTCCATCACAACACCTCAACCACACCACATCCAAAGCCACCACCATGGACGGCCTAGACGAGTTCGAAAAGACCATCGCCGCCGAAAAGGCCGAAAGAGAACGCGCCGAAGAAAAGCGCAATCGCAAACACAGACATCACCATCGACACGAAGACGGCGAACGCGATAAAGATGGACACAGACATCGACACCGCCGAAGACACGATGACGAAGATGATGGACATAGAAGTAAACGATCGCGACATTCGCGCGATGATGATGATGGGCATCGATCGCGAAGACATGGTGATGATAGACATCGCAAGACGAAAGATGCGAAAGAAGATCTGCCCATTCCAGATGAAGAACAGCCTCCTAGTCAAGACACAGTCGACAGATCAAAGTCTATCCAGAGAGATTCGTGGATGACGGCCCCTTCTGGTATTGAAATCGATTACGTCCATCGTCCCGATAAGAACAAGGAGCCACCTCCAAAAGAAGAGCCGAAGCGTGTCGTTTCGAAACGCGAGATCAACACACACATCGCAGATATCAACGAAGGCAAAACCCTCGACGAACTCGACATCGAAGCGCAACCGGCCGTTGACTACACCTTCGGCGACGCTGGTTCTTCATGGCGCATGACCAAGCTCAAAGCCGTGTACACAGCAGCTGAAGAAAATGGCCGCTCAGTAGAAGAAGTCGCCATGGAACGATTCGGAGATCTACGCCACTTCGACGACGCGCGCGAGGAAAAAGAAGAGATGGAACGACGAAGAATCTACGGAAAGGATTACAAGGGTCATGATAAGCCTACAGGCGATCTCTACCGCGAAAGAGTCAAGAACCAGCGCAAAGACTCACCCGAACCCGAACAAGGCACAGTCATCCCAGACGCTCACCCTCAAACAACTACAACTCCCGCAATGGATCAAACCGCTCTGAATCGTCTGCGCGCGCAAATGATGAAAGCCAAACTCCGTCGCGCTCCCAACGCAGCACAGCTCGAAGAAGAATACAACAAAGCAGCAGCAATGTTCTCAGCCGCCCAATCGAATCCCGAAGCTGTCGTCCTCAGCGTAATGGATAACCGGCAATTGGCTGGTACGAGGAACGAAACAAAGGCCATCACCAACAAACGCGGTCGCGAACGTGGAAACGTCGAGGAGAATACTGAAATGACTATTGATGATATGGTTCGTGAAGAACGTCGTACAAAGGGCCAAGCAGGCGGTGAAGGACTCCGTCTAGCAGAACGTATCGCGAAGGATGGAAAATATGATAATGATCTGGACTACATGGACGAAAACGCCGAGAAGCTCGCTAAACGTATTCACAAATCTGACATCAATCTCAAGAATATGGCGGTTTCTGAGTTTCAGAAAATGTCTAAGGCGTTGGATAATTGTCCCCTCTGTCATCACGAAGACAAGAACCAACCACCCCTCGCGCCCGTCGTCGCCCTCGGAACACGCTGCTTTCTCACAATTGCAACAGAACCTGAGATTTCTACCGGAGGCGCGGTCATTGCCCCGTTAGCGCATCGGTCGAATTTGCTAGAGTGCGATGACGATGAGTGGGAGGAGATTCGCAATTTCATGAAGAGCTTGACGCGTATGTATCACGAGCAAGGAAGGGAAGTCGTCTTTTACGAGAACGCTGCGCAGCCGCATCGTAGGATGCACGCTGCTATGGTCGCTGTACCAATTCCCTACGAAGAAGGCGCCATGGCACCTGCGTACTTCAAAGAAGCGTTCCTCTCGTCTGATGAAGAGTGGAGTCAGCATCGCAAGGTCATCGACACAGGCGCCAAAGCACGCGATGGCATGGGCCGCTCAGCCTTCCGCCGCAGCATCGCGAAGGAAATGCCTTATTTCCACGTCTGGTTCAACCTCGATGGCGGACTGGGCCATATTGTTGAAGATGCAGGACGCTGGCCCAAGGGCGACCTGTTCGCGCGCGAGGTTCTGGGTGGTATCGTTGATGCTGAGCCTCATATTATTAAAAGGCAAGGAAAATGGATGAGAGGTGATCCAAGAGTAGAAGGCTTCAAGAAAGGATGGAGAAAGTTTGACTGGACGAGGATGTTGGCTGAAGGATAGATGAGTGGTATCGTTGTAAATTGTCATTATAGCGTCTCCGCCATGATATGTATAGACATTACTGGACATGGCGTCCCCAAGATTAATGTATCTAGTAAAAAAACAGAGATTTCCAACAAGATATACCAAGCTGGTCACCTCCGGGGTATCAAATCATCGCACAAGCGTCCCTCTGCGTCCCCTCTGTTCCTTCTTCCCTTCTGCGCCCGTAACCTTCATCCAATCCTCCCACTCCTTACTCATCTCCATCAACACAGAGCCCATAACACTGGCACTAGCCATGAGACCATGACCTTCACCTTCCAAGACTCTAACTTCGCAGCGACGCATGGTCTTGCCGAGCCATTTGACGTTATCGACTGGGACACGGGTGTCTCTGCTGCCGTGGTGGATGACGACTGGTCTTGTGATGTCGACGTATCGGAAGCCGATAGTGTGGCGACGCTCGAGACAGACTAAAAGGTCGACGGCGGGGTTGGCGCCTGTTGTTGCGAGTTCCCAGATTGCGTGGGTTAGACGGAGGTCGTATGTCATTTGGCGTTCTTTATCCGCCATAGCGTCAGCCACGGCTGCGATGATGTCCGAGTCACCTCTGTTGCCCTGTGGAATACTCTCCCTGTCCATATTCTCCGAGGCAGCAGGAGGATCAATCTCCGCAGTATTATTTCCATTTGTAAGACCCTTGTTATAAACGTTCTCCTTGTCAATACTCGGTGTGACGTTTCGTGTACTTCCGGTACTTTCGCGTCCTCCATTCTTTCTCTTTCCTCGTTTTTGTGACTTAGGCAATGAGCTGGTGATTGAGCTGCTTGTCGCTGTCATAAAGCTGCTGTTGGCAGCTTTGAGAATGGGCGTGGGAAGCGCTCGGAGGATACGTTGGGCGGTCGGAATGGCGTTGGTAGGAGGAAGAGCTTGCGATGTGCCGAAGACGTTCATTTGAGAAGGAGGAATCCAAGGCGCTAGAAGATGAATTCTGCCTCGAATATGTTGAGGCATTCGGAGTGCTGTGGCCAAGGCGTAGATAGCGCCAGCGGAGTGAGCGAGGATCGAGAACTTGGTGATCTTGAGTGTTTGGCAGATAGCGTAGACATCATCTATCACAATTAGCACAGGTCTTCAAACGCAGAGTGAGTTGCTTACCAGGCCAGCTCAGCGGCGTTGCAGTGCCATCCGAATAAGGCTCACTATCGCCAACACCCGGTCGATCCGGTGTGATTAGCCGCAGCTTCAATGTCAATGCCAACTCATCATAAAACGCAGTGATATATCTTGTCAATCCCATTCCAACACAACAAAAGACCGCAGATCCTTCAGAGTCGCCAACCTCTGAGAAAGAAATAACACGACCCGTTTGGGGATGTCGGATCTTCTGCGACAATCGTGGCGAGCAGAGATATGAATCGACAGCATCATCGACCGAGTCAGCAGACATGGGTCGTTCGTGGTGGGTGCGCTGGCTCTGGACCCGCGGTTGGGGACTAGGATTCTCGCGATGTGCTTCTTCAGCCTTGAGATTTAGTGGTTCGGACAAGCGCTTGAGACGAGAACTGCTGCGCTTCATCTTGATCCCATCTCCTGGCGCTGGACTAACCTGTCCAGACCGTCTTCGATCTTGGCGGTCGTTGCTCTGGTCTCGCTTTCTTCCTTGAGCCACAGCGGGGAAGGGCGCCGCCGCCTCATCTTCCTCATCGCTCGCGCCGTCATCGTCTCTGCTGATATCGAGGAAGCTTCTACCCGCCACACTAGTGGTCTTGGATGGGGTAGCATCCTTGAGTCCATATACAGGCGATCTTGTGGATGACCTCGATTGATGTGGGCGATGCCCCTCCCTCGTTCTACTTGTCTGTCGATCTCGAGGTCTTGATTGTTCATCATCTTCAGGTATCACGTCGGCGACAGAACCATCCTCGCGTCTTCTTCTTCCGCTCGATCGCTTCGACTGTCCCGTTTTTGTCAGACTTGACGCCCGCGCCGGGATGGCGCAAGGTCCATCCATTGGGCGCTCGATTGGTAGTTCGTACTGCGACTCCTCACGAATAGCTGTTTCGGCAAAGAAGGGATCGTTGCGACCGTCGCTGTGAATGCTATCGCCAGGGAGTGCGCCCGATGAAGAAGCTGAGATTCCACCCGATACTCTCTTTCGCTCGGCTTCCTTCTCGCGTAAACGCTCCCTTGAACTCATGTACATAAGCCCCTTTGAACTTCTTGATGTCTTCTTGCCCCAACTTTCGTGCGACTGCTTATGGTTCAAATCGGGCGTTACGCTAGAGCGTCGTTCAACGGAGAGGTTGCCTATACTCTGCGCATCATCGTTCTTGGAGGCTTGCGAAGATCCCTTGGACGAAGGTCGAGATGTACTATTTCGGATAAACGATCGCAGACCACCTTCACGACTCGGGCTTCGAGGGCTCTTGGGACTCTTTGTCGCTGTTAATGAAGAGTATCCGCTGGGAGGTTTTGATGTGCGGATAACGGGTGGTAGGGCGGCGAGTTCGTCGAGAGAAACGGGATCCTGTCTCAGATCGTCAAGGCTAGGCTGATGAAACGCTCCGTAGTCAACACCAAAACTTCCGTGACCACGACCTGGACTTGCTGGTAGCGAAAGGCTGTGAGGAGAAGCTTCGAAGTGGGAGGTTGCGGGCTGAGAGATGACGCTCAGACTGGTGATCAGGTTGGAGATAACCTCGGGACTGGCCGGGGGCACACTGGAAGAGGCGCGCTTTGACGAGGGGCCTTGGAAGGAGCGTCGGCGAGAATGACTGTATCCATGAGCGTGGTGGCCGTGGGCTCGAGTAGGGATAGGGGGGACGTCAGCCGAGTCAAAATTCATGGCTGGGGCCTCTGCGTGCCACCGACTTGGTGCGATTTAAAGTAGTGTATTAGGGCGTCGAGTCAGTCGCGGAATATGAGAAGTGGATTTGTTTGTTGTAAGGGAGCACTAGAAAGGGACCCGAGTTTTCCTTTTCGTGTCTCGCGCAGGAACAATGGGTGGCGCGCTGGTGCTGCCCTCTGATTAGAGGGAGAGTGAGATGGAGCAGACGAGAAAAAAAAGTTTGGCGAGACTGAGATATTCGTGGGATATTAGTTTGTTGGTGGAATTGGTGATGGTGGATCGGCTCCCGAGATGTGTAATAACTAGGATCCTAATCTGAAGCAAAGGATGGAGCCTAAGTGGATTTTCCCGTTTGTCGCGCGTGGGAATGGAAAAGAAGGGAGGAAAAATTGGAAAGAAAGAAAAGGATTGAAGCGGTAAGGTAAAGGTAAGGCGTAAATTATTTAGATGGCGCGCAGAGGTGGTTGACGAGGAGAAGCGAGGGGACAGAGAGATGGGAACCTAAGAGAGGGCGAGACTGAGAGGGGAGAATTATTGGACGAGGCTAGTAGGGGACAGACACGGAAAGTGGAACCAATCAATCAATCAAGCAATGAATGGCGATGGACGTATAGCGAAGGTTTATTATATTATTATTACTCGAAAACAGTTATTACTTTTTATCGCAAATGATTAATCATTGCACAGTCTAGAGTAATAGTAGAGGCTCTACTCACTGCGACGTTGACGGAAAGACAAGTCGAGAATCTGGGGGAGGAATGGTTTCAACATGCCCAACCTGAAGGGGGCTGAACGGAAAGCTGAAAGGTTATCGTCAAGATGTCCATCTTTATCTGTAATACTACCGAGGTCGGAAGGCAGTTTGCGTTGCGTTCCGACGGGAAGATGCACATGCAGTGAATTTGATCTTCCATGTCCAGCTCTATTTTGCGCTTGTGTTTCTTCTTCTCGCTTTGCAACTGCCAGACTGAACCCCTGAGCCTGAGCTACCAAGACCCCTGACCCGTAAAACTTATTTTTTCCCCTGGAGCTTGTGACCATTTCCGTTAGTGCCGTCATCAACATTACATTCCACAACTGTTACATTCCGTCTACAAGCCCCAAGAATTAGTACAGAGTCAAAGCTATAAGATATCATCATGGAAAAGTTTAAAGCTCATGGTTAATTCCAGAGAGAAGGGAAGCGGCATTGTAGATCCCTCGTGGCGATTAATGAGCCGTTCTCCACTGAACTCCCGCTGATCCACTGTGGGTTTGGGATGCTGAGAGCTGACTTTGGGAAATGTGACGAGTGATAATGAGAGTGAGAGTCAAGATCAATTTATTGCCGACAGGACGCATAATGCGTTAGACCTGCATATAACTCACATGCATCGTTGACCATTAGAAGCTCAAAGTTTGGACATAATAACGGCATGGTAAAACGCATTATCGTTTTCCTGCAGTTGGAACCTAATTGAAGCAGAGCTCCTGCAGGCACTTTCTCGATTCTGACAGCAAGGGTCCTTTGTCTTCACGTGGCTGGTTGGACGGGAGTCCAGCCTGTGGCACAGTCAGCCACACCTACGTCATTCTCACTCATCGCGAATCCCACTGAAGTCCAAGGTCAAGTTCCAGGATCAAGCACTGCGACGTCATGAGCTCTCCAATGTGACTGTAGAATAAGATGCTGAGCAAAACTCTTGTGTCCACTTCATTTTTAACTTTAACAACTCACAGACCATGAGAGTAATGCGCCACTAACCGCCAAGCTTCAACACCAAAACACCATCACCATGGACGTTCTTCTGTCTCTACCAATCCTGTCTTACCTCCTCTCCCCCGCCTCAGCATCATGGTCCACATCGCTCAACCTCCTCTTTTTTTACATGACATGGACAACTCTTGTGTTATCGCACACATCCCTTCGTATCCGCATTCTGGGCACACTCGCGATTAGAGTAGTGTTATACCTCATACCCTCGCTACTTACACTACTCCTTGATACGTCGGTGCCCAGTGTCGCGGAGTCTGCTAAACTTGGCGGACGCGCTTCTTTGCCCCAAAGGAACACTCGTGCGATTGCGCGACAGGTCGGCCTTGTGTTGGTCAATCTGGCGCTTGTCACTGCAGCCGAGGGCGCGTCCAACTTGGGATTTAAATTTGTGCTGGGCGAAGATGACTTCAAGGGTACATCTGTGCTGCCTTTGCCCTGGCAATTGGCGAAGCATATTCTCTTGATGTTGACGGGAAGAGAGGTTTTGACTTATTACATCCATCGCAACGTTCTCCATTCAAAGGGCTCAATTGCGAAGTATCACAAGGCATACAGCCACGCGAGGTCAGCGGCGCCATACAGTCTTCTACTGTTCGCAGACCATCCGCTTCCTCTACTTCTGCATCGCTTCATCCCGATCTATCTGCCGTCTATTGCGCTGCGCCCCCATTTACTTACATACTTCCTCTTTCTCGCGCTCTGCACAGCTGAAGAGACCCTCGCGACGTCAGGATACAGTATCGTCCCGGGTATCATCATGGGCGGAATGACACGACGCACAGCGGTGCATTACGCCAGTGGGGGTGACTGCAATTACGGCGCATGGGGATTGTTGGATTGGATGAATGGTACTGGTCGTGGACGTGATGTTCTCGATGATGTGAGAGCTGAAGCCGAGAAACACAACGTCAAAGAGCGATCGCAGAATAAATTGGAAAGTGGTGCGGGTGCTGTGAAAGGAGGAATCGACAAGTTGACGAACGGCGATGAAGGCAGGAGGAGAAGTTCAAGGCTGCGATCCAAGCGTGCATCATAAGTTCATTCTTGAATTGATGACATTAATCCCATGAATATACTCCATCTATGTATACAAACTCCCATTGCTGTCCCAGCGTCTATTTGTAGTTCATCTTCTTAGCAAACCAGTTCAGAGTCTCAATACCGCTCTGAACTCTCATTCCAATTCTAGTATCCAGCACAAACGCCTCCCATACTTTGGCAACGTCCATTTGCTTAACGCACTCATCGTACTTTTGTCGGCGGTATGCTGCGATCTCCTCGGGTGTGCCCTCTGGTGGGTTGCAGCACTCCGACCAGGCGATGGCGCCCTTTTCGTATACTCCTGCTGCGAGGACGTAATCGTCCTTTGTCGGACCCTTAAATACGATTCTGAACTGGTTAGTTGAGTGTAACAGCGAGGATTGTACGACTTACCGATCATGTTTCAAGACGTGTGTCTCCAGCATCTCCCTCGCCTCCTCAAACTTCTTCTGACTTCTGTACAGAGACGCAGTAATGAGAGCCCAAGATCCCATCTCATCAATCTCAGCCTTGATCTTCTCCACCACCTCGGGCTTAGCGGTGCATCTGTCCCAACTCATTCCTCCCACCGCCTTCTCAAGCTCCGCCGGGCCCATGCGCTTGATGGTGTTCCACATGTAACTCATCTCTGCCGCGGGACTCGCACCAATAGCATCAGCAAGGTCCACACTCAAGCTCTTAGCGCGCTCCTCCCATTTCTGGATCTTGCGCTGCACGAATACCTCAAAAGGTAATTGGCGCGCCATGAATCGTTTCTTACCCGCTACGCCGGGCGCTTTGCGGAGGAGTTCTTCAGCCTTGGTCTTGTTACGGCGGGCCTCGTCTTCGTCGCCCGCGGCTAAGGCGTCGCGGTATAGTTCTATGGAGGCGATGCCGGCCATGTAGTAGTAGAGTGCGTGGCTCCAGTCGTTAAGCTCGAGGCAGCGCATGAAGGAGTCACGCATGAGAGGCCAGTCTTGAATGGCCATGGAGTTGAGGGAGAGCTCGAAGTTGTTGAGGGCGGTGACCTGCTTCATCTTGGCATCGCCGGCGGTTGTAAGTACCTCGACGGCTTTAGGAAGGTTGCGCTCGTTGCTGTATAGACGGGCCTCTTCGATGAGCCACAGACGAGAGTCGGGGTATCGAGTGCGCATGGAAGCGAGGAGCTTCTCACACTTGGCGCGAGGGGGACCAACGACCTCAGCGCCTTCGTCAAAGTCTTCGGCGGAGGGGAGGATGTCGACGGCACCGAGAAGAGCGTTGTAGTAGGAGAGCAGAATGAGTCCGGAGATGGCACCATTGACGTTGGCGTAAGCGGTAGAGCGCCAGAGCATGCGGACACCACGCTCGCGATCACCACGGAAGCCTACAACTGAGAGCAGACGGGTGAAAGCGGGGGGAACGAGGGTCAGCATGAGAAGGATCATACCGAAGCACATGCTAGCTCCAGAATGAACAAAGATGTCAAGAGGGTTCTCAAGAAGAACATTGTCAGATTCGGTAGCCTTTGATCTAGCCTCCTTGAGCGGCGCGCCCTCATCAACCTTCTCATCCTCACTCGAGGACTCCACGTTAGCAGGTGTTTGAGTACCAGACTCAATGTCCAGCTTCTCCATGCTCTTAGTGACGTCGGTGACAGGCTTAGCAGACAGCGACGCCTCAGAAGTAGCTTGCGGCATACTACCCAGCATCTTCGTCTCAGCCTCAATGATCGCATCAAGCGTCATAAACGCCTTGCGAAGCTTGAGAAAGCTCTTCATAGCGTCAATGAGACTCTCGTGCAAAACACCGACCACAGCGCCCATGAGCTGTGTCTGCGCGCGCACGAGCTCGAACTCAGTACCGGGAGGGTACAATTTACTCCCCGCGCGAGCCTTGCCGTGCTTCTGAGCTTTCTTGAACTCTGCCCATGCCTTTGCTTCGCACTCATCCAATTTGGCGGCCGTCTCTGTCATCACCGTCTTCTCGAATCCCAGCACCGAGCGCATAAAGATAGTGACAGCCAGACCAAGCTGGTGGAATGAAGAGTCACCAGTCTGAAGTCTCTCCCATGCACCGTCAATATCGTCATTCATGATCAGTGCGCACGAAGCCATGGCATCGTCAATGTCCTCCATCTCCCTGGCCATGGTATCCTTGGTGTGGATGGAGCCTGCATCGCTGTTTGCCTCTGTGGCAGGCGTTGCCGTGCCCGAGCGGAACCATCCAGCTAAACGACTCATATTGTCGGTTCAATTGATGAGATGAAAGTGAGAAAGAAGCCGATGGACCCGTGTATAAGGGAATTGGTCTTGTGCTGAGCCTCGAATGCTGACGTCTTCGGTCTTAGGCTGAATGAGCTTTTGTGCCCCTCTTTGTGGCGTTTGAGTGGACGAAAGACGCCAAGAGACTGGGGTGGTTGGGATGAAGCAGTAACCAATGTGGAAATAAGAATAATGTGTAAGAAATGAAAGATACGGACGAAATGAGAATGAGATGAGGTGAGGGCTAAGTGAGTACAGTAAGAGGAAGAAAGAAAAAATCTCTCGCATTGAGAATGGATCATCTTGAGGTCCATCATAGCTACGTTAGTGGGGGGAGCCAGGTAAGCTAAGCTAAGCTCCGTCCAAACGGAGATCGAGAGCCAAGATCCGCGGAGTTTAGGCGGGCTTACGCCTGCCCGGGCTCGGCACCAATCGGAGCAAGAGGCTGACATCATCTTCAATTGTCTGGCAAAACATATAACACGCTCTCATTGCATCAAAGTATCTTCAAACTAAAAGTAAACGGCATCAATATTGAGGAATCCATGAGCAGTCTGAGATGAAAACTTACAGTTTCCATCTAGGTAGATGCACATGTTTCCATCATCTTGAACAACAAGCACGAGATCACCTCCACGAAGCTGACCAGGGTTACTCTGGTACACAGCCTTTCCATTAGTTCCGACACAAAAACCTCAGTCACTGTTCATCCAGGCACTGTCCGCATCACTCGTCTTGGATCGTCAAAGCAGTCGATCTCCCATTAGCTGGAAATCGCCGTTCCCGTCAAGAAAGGCAGAATACTGACCATCCTGACTCTTGAGACACTGGGTAAACTTGAATTGGGCGCCTGGTCGAAGAGCGTCGCCCACAGAGTCGCGCAAGTCAGTAAAGTGGATTGCCCATGGCTGGAAGTAGTTCGAAGCCTGAATATAGGCCGTGGCATCATCGCTGATACAGAGTCCTAGTTGTTTGTATTCGCGCTGTCGTCTGTTATCACGATAGGCGTCACGCTCCCACTCGAGTTCTTGGCGAGAAGGCTCCCTCAAGGGAGAGCGCCAGATACTTCGCTTATCTGCGCCTTGGATCTCAATCACCAAGTCATCACTAACAGTCAAATAAGTAGCATCGGTGATCTTGGAGTTGGGGATAGTCTCGTAGATGCCCTTGACCTTCAAAGTGATGTGGTAGACCTGAAGATTGCCGTTCGAAAGAAGACTGAGCTAATGCTCGCCATTGGGAGACTGGATGGTCTGTCCAGCTCTGATGATATCCCTTGGCTTGAGCACGTTGATGAAACTGATAGGAAGGCCGTTGTATGTCAAGCTGGCTACGCCGTCGTCCTGAAGGGTGAGAACGACATCTCCTGCGGCTCGGTTGGGCTTCTCTCGAGAAACAAACTTGGATCCTCCGTCATAAAAGATTTCGAGAGTACCGACAGTGCTGAGTTGTGCATAGCCGAAGGTGCTTCCACGAAGCCAGTCGGGTGTACCCCGCCGAAACCATATCCACCAGCCGACCCGGCATGTCAGCTGGTTCTGGGCCGGGAGTGCTCCGCAACCCTGAAGAAAAGCGGCTAGATTATCTGAGCGTAGGCCGTGAATGGCCAGCTACGGTTAGCAGAATCGCTCAGATTGATAAGATTCGTCTCTTGAGCTGTCGTTGTTCAATTCCTCTCACATCCTGACGCGCGGTGAAGTTGAAAGGTTAACGCTTTTGAGTTGTGATACCACTCAGATGAAATGTATGGACTAAGTTACCTGTAACATATATCTTCAAGGTAAAACAAGTCCTGCTCCCTGCCTTGCTGACCAACGAAGCTCCTTTTGGCACAGTATTCACTTGAAATTCAATCGTCTCGTTGTTAGATTGGTTCTCATTGTCCCGTGTGTTTGATTTGTGTTGTAGTAAGAGTTGAAAAGTAGACTTCTTTTGCTCCCCCGATATCTTGAAAAAGTTCCAAGGTTGTCACTTGATGTCTTTGAATCACTATTGGCTCTAAAAGGTAAAGGAGATCGGTGGTGTTTCTCTTTTATATCCGCTCCCACTGAGATCAACATCCCATCACCAGTCCCAACCGCCAAAAAGAGAGTCTAGCTGCCAAGTGTCCAATAGTGATAAGTAATCGGTATAGACTGGAAATTATGTTATAGATCTCGCTTCTTATCAGCCTCGCTCGGTAGCACCTTTTACAGTTAAGAAGTCGCTGAAAGGATGAACCCTATTCGTCCCTTTCTGTAACATATCTGCATTCGTCCGCCAATCAAGTCTTGAGAGACAGCGCACAAAGTATATGCTGTGTGCGACTCATCCACCGTGCATAAACAGGATTCGGCAGCAGCAAAGAGTGCCACATAACAGGGAAATCAGGCTGTAGGACTCTATTTAACAGTGGCGATTGGCGTCAGCAGCAGACGGGAATATCACTCAACTCTCCCCGCTAATCTTCTCCAAATACTCATTTCATCAGAATGACACAGAGTACTGGCCGGATTCACTGGACTGCTCCTTGCAGCATAGTCGTTATGTTTCTTTCAGGTGTTCTGGCTGCTCTGGCACACCATCTCTACTACCAATCTCTTGATCGTCAACCAATAAGCACAACTCCTCAAGAATGGGCTATCCGGATTGGCACTGGTCTTGCGTTCCTTTGCAAAGCATGTCTTTGTGCAAGTGCCGCTTTGGCCTATCAACAGTACCTTTGGACGATATTACGAAGTCGCGCATTGACTATCAAGAGCATAGACAACGTAATGGGTCTTCTGTCTGATCCTACCTGCTTCTTGAGCGCCAGCACTAACAGAAATGCTCTCTCCTGCGTCATAATTGCAGTTGCTATATGGTAAGGTTGAGATTTGAGATCAGTTGATTGTAGCTAAGAAAGCCATTTAGGTGCATCCCGTTATGCGCCATCGCCCCTCCAGCTAGTTTAACTGTTGAGTTTTCACATCAGTGGAGACGATTGAAGACGATGTGCCGTATGTCGATTGGTCAAAGTTCTCCTACGCTGCATCGAACAGACTCGGAGGTTTCAACGAAAGCAGCCAGGACACATACCAAGTCGTTACAGCGGCTCTATACGCCAATGGAGCCATCTCCATGTTGCCAGAATACAAGAACTCGAGCTATTCCCTAAGTTTTGACGGCCCCCGGCTCCGTTGCGGTAATGTAGCCAACCAAATCTTGTTTGATGAACTAAACGTTGCGGGAATTGTGCGCTCAAACATTACAACAACTTGGTATAACGCCACTGTCGATCCCCCGGGGGATTATAGATACAATATTTTCGTGGCCACATCCTACAGGAACTTCAGCTGTCAAGTGTGGAATACCAGCTACACTGTAGACTTCAACTTCACGAATAGTATACAAAAGGAGAATATCACTAACCTCCAATACTTGCATCCTCTGAGGGCGGAAAGGGGTGCGGCCGTAGGACCTGGGTGGGGCGATACAACGGCCATCGTCGGCTGAAGCACTGGCATCACAAAGACTTCAGTATGGACTTTTGAAGCAACCCGATGGGAGTGTTGACGGACACGCATCGTTTGGTACACCTGATTCTGTTGTAACATTAAAGAAGAGGGACGCAACGTACACGAGACTAGACCGGGTGGAAGAATAGCCTGGGACTCCCTTTTTAGAAACGTCTATAGCAATGATGGAAGTCTAAAAATTGAAAGTTTGACGCACTTACGTCCTACTACCAGGACCAGGATTGTATTCTGTCGCTGGTAATTCATGCGCCTGCGCTGGATCCCCCATCTCGTATGGCCCTTGATGAACTCCATCATCATGAGGAGCTTGAACAGGCGCATACTTTGCAGCCTCCATCTCCGGCGTCGCTTTTGAAGCCTTCCTTGCCTTTTTCCTTCGCCATAACATAAATGCAACCACTGCTATTCCCAACACTACAACAATTGAGCCAACTACTATTCCAGCAATAGCACCCGACGATGGTCCCGAAGACGTAGTGTATTCTATGCCCGCGGATGATGATGTAGGCTCGTCTTCGACCGTAGTTGACGAAGAAGCAGATTCGGAGGTTGTTTCAGCGGTAGTCTGGCTGGATGTTTCGGTTTCGGTTGGCGACAGGCTTGTCGTTGTGGTCTCGGACGCAGACGTTGTTGACGCATTTGGGTCGGTGATGTTGAACCTGTGACTCGAGAACAATGGCCCTGTTTCACCATGCTCGAATAGGTACAAGCTGAAAGAGTTTGTCTCGGCAGGATCGATTCCTTGATATGATACAATCCAGGTGTAGTCCTGCGACCTGCTGTTGGCTATACTCAAGTCAATCAACAGCTCACCAGTGGACAGACAAGAGTTAGAAAGACTTACACTGTAACATATACATTTTACCCGTGCCGCTTTGCCATAAGGTCAAGTCCGTGAACTCGGCATTTGTGCTCCATCGGATCTTTATTTCATCTCCTAACTCATATTGAGGGTTATCTATGTCGGATTGTCTTGGTGGTGGGTTGATGAAAAGGGCGAGAACAGTTTGGCTGAGTGACATAAGTGCCAAGAAGGCAAAGAGTTGTCTAGCCGCCATTGTTGATAGCGACATCATAGTGAAGCAAGGTGGGCGGAAACGGAAACAAACAAAACGACACGCGACATCGGCATTGAGTGCCTTTTAAACAGAGTCCTACCAGAGACAGCCAAGGTACTAGCCAGGTATTTAATCCTACAGGACCGTATTAATCTCAGGACCCTTGTTCTATTTGCCAACAAACTGCCTTGGCAGCTTGGCAAGTGGGCAAACCCTTCACACTACGGATATTATTGAATGAGATGAGATCTGTCAACGATCTATACGAATTCCTGTGTTCCATGGCATGAATATAGTAATTTGAGACCGACATGGCACCCCTTTTCCAACATCAACTGGAACGAGTCATCACCTTGATGTTGGTCGATAACAAGATCATAGGGCTGCAAACGAGTGTCGATCCACCAGTCATCTTTTAGTTCCTGGGCAATGCCCCGAAGGGATACAAGATCCGCTCCATCGGCGCTTCAGCCCCATGTTTCATGGATCCATTGCAAGGATCAACGACCTGTGAGCGGGCGATATATCATCTTTAGAGCTGGGCGTTCTGGACAGACTCAGCCTTCATCTTGGGCAATCGGGCGGGTAAGAAATTGGCTACCAATTAAGCTTCCATCAACTTGTGGTGCGCCCTGATTGCCGGTTGAGTTTGGAGAAGTCCATTCGGGAGTGTAAATAGGATGTGAAACGCCGTCAATTGCCAGGTAGTTGTAGTTAGGTATCTGGACGTTGAAGTTGGAGTCTGAATTAGCGTTAGCCGCCACTAACGGGCACTAAAAGGGATTGTGTGGCGCAATTCTAGGGTCACATCCCATTGGATTTTCCTTTCATTGCATTCCATGGAAGGATTGCTAATCAGCTGATTGACCATTAATTCTGTCGCTATTCGCCAATTCTCCACGTTTTCTAATCTAATGGTTGATTCTACCTTCCGGTGTTGAAGTCCTAAGGGCCCTGGATGACAACCGCTTTGGGCATGCATCGCGAGCAGGGTTGATCTTTATCGCGGTAACCACCAAAACGAATGTGCTACAACGGTAGAAAATGGAACTTTCCTTAAATCACACAGTGGATGCGAATTCTTGCTGAAGACGGGAGTTTTGCACAACGCTTTGAAAGAGTCGTGCCTGCCTTCTCAATCGCCAGCATCTCAAACTGCCATCTCATGACTGGTAGCTCCTTCGAGCGGGCATTGCACGGCGATGATGCAAGACCCTTAGGCTCCACTTTTGTCAGCCTAAGACTTAAAGGATAATTCTTCTGTCACCCACGTAGCCACCTTCTTGCAACTCACAATTCTTTCTGATTACCCGATTCATCAACACTTGTTGCGGCGGTATGGTAGGGTCAAATACTCGGCCTCAACGAACATCGGCAGCTTGTGACTTCTGTCGAAGACGAAAGGTACGTTGGAGGAATATCCCTGGGTACCAGAAGAATTGACCCCAAAAGCAGAAGAGACGAAAGAATTCGTCACTTTATGTCAGTTTAGACAAGCACTTAGGCTACTTGTGTACCCTGAGCCTTAGAATCAACTCTTCTGTTACCCACCTGCCAGTGAATCACTGCAAGCACTTGCTAACCTCTTCCAGCTGGGTTGCGACAACGCGAAACCGAAGTGTGAAAACTGTCAAGCCCGAGATCTTCAATGTACATATACGGAAAGGCCTGTGCATGCCAGGTGGGTTAGACTTGGCGATAACCAGGAGTAAATCCGCTAACGCGTTTACAGGCCATCTAACGCTCGGATCAATATGCTCGAGAATGAAAATGCCCGCCTACGAGAGCAACTGCGTCTGGTAGACCAAGCACCACACCATGGCGCTTCGAAACGAGTCAGTCTTGATGAGCCAACGAAGCAAGCAGCCGGTCAAGAAGAGAGTCAAAGCGAGGCGCTAGACTTTTCTCCAACAGGAACTGGCCAGGCAGAGGGTAGTGCATTCCACGGCCCTTCGAGTGGTACTGCCATTGGATCGTCAGAGACGATACATGGAAAAACTATCACAGCGAGTGGTACGTTTGGTACAAACCCGCCCCAGAAGTCGGACAATGATATCACTCAATCCATTAAGAATCAACTGCTGGCCGAAACAGTACGACAGCGTGAGTATTCCCCCTTCAGGGTTTCCGAAGTTTTGGCCCCAAGAGCATAAGAGACAAAATAAAAACTCTAAGTGCTAGTCTAAGGTGAGATAAAGTGACGAAATTATTTCGTCTGTTATGGTCTTGGGGATTAACTCTTCTGATATCCTGACTCCATAATTGTTTGACATAAACTAACTCAGAGTAGGTCAGCTGGAGAATGTCAACCTAAGAGCAGGAAAACTCGATTTCCGAGGCGTCGAGCCGCAAGTCGGCATGAATCTTCTCTCAAATTTCTGGAATCGCCAGCTATACGCGGGTCCTATCGTCTATCGAACCGCTTTTATGCGCGACATGGCAGACAATGGCATGGCAAACACAAATGACGGCCCCTACTTTTCCGAACTTCTGCTCTACGCGATGTTATTCTCCGGGTTACAGTTCACAGCCGAGGCGGCGGCTGCTCGAACGCTTCCTGAAGTGAACGTCACTGGTCGTCAATATCGTGCCAAGTTCGAGCAGACCCTACATAACTCCGGTTCGAAGAGTGTTTTCAAAAGTGAGGTTACTACGATACAAGCCTTGCTGGTCGTTTCGGATGCGCTATTTTCTTGGTGCAATGAAAGAAGCCTCTCATGGCATTACATGGGACTTGCTATCAATATGATAATCGACCTTGGACTTCACATCAACCAATCGCTTCGTGGGCCATCAGAGCCAGCCTCTGCTGAGGCTACAGAAATCAAGCGGCGTTTGTTCTGGGCGGCTTTCGTCATGGACAAAGTTCATTCCATCTATCAGGGTCGTCCGACCCGACTTCACAAGCGTGATCCGAAATTACCCATCGAATTCCTTGACGAGTTTGAAGAACTGGAGAGTTTCAGCAGTCATACGTACTCCACCCAATCAATGACTCTCGAAAGTCCAGCATATGCTATATCTACGTGGAAGCATTTCAGCCGGTTAAGTATCGTGGCAGACAACATTATTTGCCAGCTTTACTCTGAGGAAGGCACTGCCATGGAAGCTAGTGAGTTGTTTGAGCTTGCGTATGGTCGGCATGGTCTGTATGATCAATTGCAAGAATGGGTTTCGAAACCAAAGCATATCTCTGCAGTCCTGCCTCACTTTCTTTCGTGCAGGTGAGTCTTCCCTATAAACTTTAGGATATTGCTGACAGAAACTACAAGCGCGCTGTACTTTTCTTTGCAGATTTTGATCTGCCGGCCATTCCTCTCAGAAGATCACTTCGTCTCGGAGGAAATCACGCGAGAAGCTCTCAAGGATTGTGTGACAGCAGCACTTGACATTCATGACATTTTGGTGATTTACAAGCAGAACTTTTGCTTCAAAACTGCTCCTCTCCATATATCGTACGCTGCATACGCCAGTGCCTCGATACTCATACGTATAGCGGCACAGAAAAGCTCAGACTCGCAGGCACACTCGGCTCTTCGGTTATGTGTGGAGGTACTGAGCATACAACAGGCTTACAGTCACGGACCCAGACGAATGATGGAGATCCTGCTCAGATTGATGAATCGATTGGGTGTACATGTGGGAGAATTTGTTGCTCTGGGCCCATCGAGTTGTCTCGCGGATGAGCCAATCGAGTCTGAGGCGGCTCAGCCGGTTGTTGCAGGACCCAGCATGGAAAGGTACATACACAATCTCCTTGCTATTGACGAGTACTGGAGGCGTGGTGGTCAAGGCGATCTACCAATAAGTGAATCCGACATGCGCGACATCGAATTCCCCGACGTTGGATGGCCCGACCTCGATTTCAATAAGTTGATGAATAGCTTCATTTTCGACCCTGCCCAACAAGACACTTCTGGGCTTGTATCTCAGAATGAACTGTTCGGGCTTGATTTTGGAGCCTAAGGCTTAGACTATTACAATAAAGTAACCTAATTTATCTAAACTTGCATAAATTGACCAAAGCATTTCGTCTCTTATGCTTTTAGTGCTAATCCTTCTGATATCCTGAGAAAGCTATCTGGCGTTTACGGCAGTACTGTATGTGCGTGCACGTTAAATTGGGTCAATTACGTCATTCGTCTGGACAATTCCGACAAGACGCAGTAAAAGCCTGTTCATGCACGACTTGAAAACTGAGCTTTAAAAAAGGCTCGAATCGATATCAATATTCGTGGCTAGCTGGCAGGTAGTCGCTGAAGTGTGGGACCACGAGGTGCCGGACGCCGATCGAAACGACTCTTCCGAGATATCCGCAGATAGCACCATCAGACGTCATTGTGCTCAGGTCTTGATTGCGTATGATCAAACGGTTTGCTAATAGATATTAGGTTAGCTGCGATAGCTGAGTATAAATGGGTACATTCATAAAACCGCAGCAGAGCCTCAAATGTAAACTTTTACAACCACGCATAATCCTTGCCCATAATCAACAACCATGGCTCCTTCACCAAGCGCAGATGTTCTCGGCTACGAAAAGTCTATCTTTGACGCTGGTCTCCATTTCGCACGACCAGCCTTCACATTCCAGCCTTCAAAATGGGAGTCACTAGCTAAAGAAACACTTTCAGCAACATCTTGGGGCTATATCCACGGGAACTGCGGTAATGGTACGACATACCAGAACAACCTCAACTCTTTCTCTCGATGGTCCATCGTCCCAAATCGTTTGGTACCCAGTCGCAAGGATGAGAATGGAAACGAGCAATTCTCTGATACCACGACAAAAGTGCTGGGGCAGACTCTTCCGTTCCCACTGGCTATTGCACCGATTGGCGTTCAGAAGATTTTCAACCCTGAGGGTGAAGCTGCTGCTGCTAGAGCTGCTGCGTCGCTGGGCATTCCTTATACGTTGAGTACAGCTTCGAGTACTAGCATCGAAGATGTAGCAGCAGAAAACGGAGAGAATGCACCACGGTGGTTCCAACTTTACTGGCCGAGCAGAGAGCACGATGATATCACCGTCTCCATGCTCAAGAGGGCCAAAGAATCCGGCTACACAGCACTCTTCGTCACTCTCGACACTTACGTCCTCGGATGGCGTCCAAGCGATTTGGACAACGGTTACAACCCTTTTATTCATCCTGATCACATCGGCGTCGAAATCGGTCTCACAGATCCTGTTTTCAAGAAAAAGTTCAAAGAGGAGCATGGATATGATATCACCGATGCACCCAGTGGAGTATACCAGGCTGCGCAGGGTGGGTCGGCGGGAGCTGGTCTAGGCGCTGCAGCTCGTGAATGGGCTAAAATCGTCTTCCCTGGGCACTCACATTCTTGGGAAGATATCGAGTTTTTGAAGAAGCACTGGGATGGACCTATTGTGCTAAAGGGTATCCAGAGTGTTCAAGATGCTAAGAAGTGCGTCGAAGTCGGTGTACAGGGAATCGTCGTGAGCAACCACGGTGGTAGACAGCAAGACGGCGGAGTAAGCAGTTTGGGTATGCTTCCCAGAATTGCTGATGCTGTTGGTGATAAGATTGATATCTTGTTTGACAGTGGTATTCGATGTGGCGCGGATATCATGAAAGCTATAGCGCTGGGGGCAAAGTGTGTTCTTGTTGGAAGACCTTATGCTTATGGTTTGGCGTTGGGTGGTGAGGATGGTGTGAGACATGTTTTGAGAGCCCTTTGTGGTGATCTGACGATGAACATGCATTTGGCGGGGTTGAGGGATGTCAGTGAGGTTACGAGGGATATCCTGGTGAGAGAGAGCGATCTATTCTAGACGGAATGTGTTTATAGATATCTATAGAGCTAGCAAAGAAAAATCATAGATCATGCTACTGAGAATCAGGCCAGCCAAGCTTTGGCAGCAAAGTCCAGTGCCTCCGCCTCAAACGACTCCCATCTCTTCTCATCAAAATCAAAACCATGATCTTCCCTGGGAACAACATCATATCGAACCTTCGTCTCAGGCAATTTCTCACCCACCAGCTTGACAAACTTGTCAGATGCGCGGATATGAACGGTTGAGTCCTCATCACCATGCATGATCCACCTAATTATATCAACACATTGTTCACTAAAACCGGTAGGGGCTATGCTTACATTGATTTAGAAAGCTTAGCACCGGCCTCGATTCTGTTCAGTGGTCGAAACTCGTCTTTGTTTAAACCCTTAGGATCAAGGAGATGCGAAGCAAAGATCCCGTTTTGGCACGCAGATACGGCGAATGGTGTTCGTTCAAAACCAGCCCTTGATGCAGGCGTTTGACGGACTTTCTCGATCCAGGCTAGAGTCTCTTCCTTAGGGAGGACATCTTCGTCAGGGAAGCGTAGAACGTTGGGTTCGTCTGGGTGGGGTCCTGTTGTGAATATCCTGTCGTCGATGTCGATTAGAGGATAGACTAGGGCGAGGGAGTTGAACTCGTCTGGGTGAGAGAGACTGAGTTGGGTTGCACAGTAGCCGCTATCATGAATTAGTAACTGTCATCTTCTCAGGGTCGGGAGACTTACCCAGCTGAGCCACCGACAAGCATAGTCCTTCCAAAATCCAACTCAATACCCGGAAACTTCTCCCTCATAATAGCAGGGAGCTGGTTCTTGCTCCACTGCCACCCATCTTCCACATCCTCAAGAATATCCTGCAAGCCATTCGCAGAAGGTAGGAGCCTATAATCAGGAGAAATGATAATAGCATCGTTCTGGAGAGCAAGCTTGTCAACCCATTTTGCGAAAAAAGGAGCGAAGAGGGCGTGACCCATGACTAGAAAGCCGCCGTGAATGTGGTAGATCACGGGATGTGAGCCGGACTTTAGGTTCTTGGGGACGAGAATGGCGGTTTTGATTTCGTGAGAGTCGACAGTTTTGAAACTTGGAGATATTAGTAAAGGGAGGGACCTTAAGGTATCAGAAAATTGGCCCCAAGACATAAGAGACGAAATAATGTGGCCACTTTATGTCTTTAAGACCAGCACTTAGGCTTCTTTATTATGGTAGCCTAAGCCTAAGCCTTAGAGGATTATCTTTTCTGAGGGCATTGGGGAATGGAGGGGGACTTGCGTCTCTTCGATGATGTCGTAGGAGTCGAAAACTTCCTCTGTGTTCCAGGGGATAGACATGATGGTAGGTAGATATTTCAGTGATAGAAGATTGTCAAGTTGTTGTTATATCGACAAGGATGCGATCAAACTCAGTGAATGTTTGTGCTTGTTGATTTCCTTCCATGACTGCAAACACAAGTTAATATATATAAAAAGCTCTTCTTACAAATAGACATTTGAACGGATATTTAAATTCCTTCACCTTTTCCTCATTCTGTTATGATTGGCATTTTCTGATGTTGTTAGTGTGTTGAGCGGATGGTTTCGATCCGCTGACTAACATGATTAATCAGGCGGACGGTATCGCTCCGTCGCATCGCGAGCTTCCGTCTCCACTTTAACGGAACGAAAGCATCCGCTGTCAACGTTATAGGATAAGCAAGTTACAAATTCACAGTCGGAGGTAGTTTTGGTTGAAATATTTGTCATTTGTTTATTTGTTTACTTATATTCAATCGTAACGTCGTTGAGGTCGTTCGATACTCCCCATTTCTTTAAATCTCATAAGTCGTCAAAACAGCCCGGTGATCAGAGAACCACTCGTTCTCCTTGTGGTTGGGCTGAGGCTTGGGGTCACCGACAACCACGGTCTGGGAGTCGGTAACCTTGAGGCCCTTGCCCTTGTGAAGGACAAAGTCAATGCGGTCAAGAGGTTCGGGACGACGTCTGCCTCCGTTCCAGATGTAGATGGGAGACCAGGTAATGCCTTGCTCCTTGACGGGATCGGGGTGGGCGACGCGGAAGGAGTCGACGAGGCCGGCTTCCTCGGGGAGGACGGAGGTAGGCCACTTGATGCCTGAGTAGCCGCAGTTCTTCTCCTTGAGACCTTCGGTGTAGTCGAGGTGAGAAGGGGCGTTGAAGTCGCCGACGAAGAAGACGGGAGTGTCATCAGCGTTGTCGAGTTGGGACTTCATGCCGGCGAGGGTAGCCTTCATCTGAGGAGTGCGGCCAGATTGAGCCTCACGCTCGATGATCTTGTCGACGGGGTAGTGGTCGAAGCAAGTGTCGTAGGGGCCGTAGGGTGTGTAGCCAAGGTGAGCGACGAAGAAGTTGATCTCCTTGTTTGAGCCATCAAGAGCAATCTTGACACCACCGGAGCGAGCAGGGCCGCTGATGACACCGTAGTCCTGGGTGATAGGGTACTTGCTAAGAATACCGACATCACCGCCACTGGACCAGTGGTACCAGCCAAGGGCATCAGCGAGGCGAGGGACGTGACGACCTTGCTGGTCTTCCTGGATACCGACGACATCGGCGCCACATGAAGCGAGGAACTTGACCTGCTTGTCATGGTAGTTGGTAACACCAGTACCGCCGTTCCACATGTTGAGAGAAAGGACCTTGAGAGTGCTCACAAGAGCCTTACCAGAGCCAGCGACATTGATCTTGAAGGCAGCGGATGTGGCGGAATCACGACCAGTAGCTCGGACAGTAACAACAGCTTCATCAGCGCTGGAAGAAGGTGTTCCAGAGATGATACCATCCTCACTAACCGAGATCCAATCGGCACTACCACTCTCCTTGGAAAAGGTAACGTCACTGCTTCCACCACGAACAAGGCCCCTCACGCTGTGGGAATACTTATCGCCAGCACGGGCATTAGGAAGCGAGACATCAGCCACAATAAAGCTGACATCCCCACCAAACTCACGACCCTTGATGACCTGCAGCGGCTCCGCCAACCACGTGTAACCGTTTTGAGCGAGGAAGAAAGCAGTGTAGTTACCAGGCTCGAGGCTGCCAGTATCAATCTGAACAGAACCTTGAGAGCGAGGCGCCCACTTCCACTTGATGGAGTTTGACGAGCCCTTCTTCTGGTCGACGGGACCGCCGCCTGCTGTGTAGTACAGACCGACCCAGTTCTGGTCGTTGGCGTTTTGGGTGGAGTAGTCGAAGGTCCATGAGGGCTGGTTAGAGTTGAGGGATAAAGAGCCTGAAGCTGAGGTGTCTTGAGCTAGGACGGTTGGGCAGAGGGTAAGCCACAGGGCTGAGGCGACTGTGAGGAATCTCATGGTTGTTGTACCAATTGAGATGAAGGGGGGGAAAAAGAGGCACGAGATGGGTACAAAACTCGTGTACGTACGCCAAGCACGAGTAGATAAAATGAATAATAAATAATCTCACAAATCACCAGAACAAAAAAGGAGAGGAGATTTCACAGCATATAAGTATTTTTTTTTTTCTTTGCCTCACATATAACAGTTGATCAATAATGGTGTTCTTGGCCAACTGAGTAAGAAAGAGAAAAAAGAGAGAGATGGGGAAAGTGCAATGACCTGCGAATGACCTCTAGTCCCTCGTGCCAAGTTTTGTCTTAGCGGGATAGACAAGGGTAGCTCCGACCAATAGATGCAAGCCCTCAAGCCACGCCCGCAATGACGTGTGAGACCCCGGCGTCAAGATCGGCGGGTCAAACCGCCTAAACGAGTTGACTCTACACAGGCACGTTGCAGAGGGAGACACGGTTAGAGGCAGCACATTTCTGGATCTGCAATGCTACGGTAGACCTTCTGAGCCTGTAGTCATTTGGATACCTATCGTGACTCGGTAGTGCTACAGCTACAAACTGTGATTGGTGTGACGATCATCTGCAGATGTTTCTATCGGAAATATGAGAGGGACAAAGTGAACCCTTAGATACTGCACATGGTCGAGTGCCGTGATTAGCCTTATCAGATCGCGAGGGAGAAGATCTACCGGTAGCCACACCCGCTGCAACCCTCCCCCACTCCCGCTCATGATAACGGAGAATACTCCGGTAGAAACAGAGCGATTCTTTCTTGCCTCTCTTTTTCATCGGATATCTTGCCTTTTACTGCGTGTGACGTTCCACTGTGGCCAGTGCTTGTATTGGTGCAACAGAACAGATATCTTCCCCTCTTTCTTTCAGAGAGTAAGTTGGGGGCCAATATCCTGTTTTGCTCTGCCTTCACATTCTTGATAAACTCGTTGGCAATGAGCGCTGTATACTGCAGTTTAGAGGTATCGCCGAGTATGCCAAGAAGGTGTTTCGGCCTATCAATTCAGGCCACCTTGCCGGCGCGTCGTTGGGCCGTTGAGTGTAACTACAGACCGTTTTTTTGCCAACCATTTATAATACGGGCGTTAAGAAATCGCCACAGATTGTGTTGTGCTCGGAGGATACTGAAACGGTGTTGAATTCGGTAATCTGACGAAATCTATCCGATACGAAGCAGGGAAATGATGAATTGTTTGAGCCAAGATGCTCGCTTACTTCAACACCAAAGACGCTCCCATGATGCGACCGCCCAGCTTCGAGGTCAGTATCGGTCTTGACATCTCTAGTCGATAGATCTCTCGGCTTCAATAATACCATTAATGTAATTTCGCAAAGTATGCCTGATCAGACGTTGTCCATACACCGTAGAGCACTCAGCCAAGGCGTCGCCAGCATCACAATAAGCTGCCAAGGTCAGCATTGCGGTGAATCGGTGTCAATATACTGTCATTCAGTGGTCATGTATAGTGATTGATTTCAGTGATATCACCATTGCACGGCGTGCCCTCAGTAGCAGCTCGTATCAGGCTGAAGAGTCTATTGATTAAGTTTGACTGTGCCACACGATCAGGCACACAAACAGCATTGGTTCCAGCAATGAAAGGGGTCAACTTCGTTTTAACCTGAACTTAATAGTCATATATTCGTTCATCGTTGCGTCCACGTTCAATCGACGGGTACAGAACTCAAAGACATGTCCCCCCTCAGCCACAATACATCTTGGCGTACATCGTCGGATATTTAAACGGGAGGATTGAAATCCCTGAGCCGCTCCGTCCAGCCTTATGAGGAGGAACCCGAAATTAGTCTACCATAATCTGATATACGTATCTATCTGACGTTTATTCGCGAGGTATAGCCATGTCACCGACGGCCCGAATCGCACAGATTCCAGTTGCGAATACGTCTTTAAATTTGCCCTACACATGAGCATTAGGTAGCTTTCAAGTTCAATGTATCCTACATATGATCCAAGCATCAATCTATCGTATTTGACAGATACTATTTTGATGGCAAAGGAAGGCTTGAAATCCACTGGATTTATTCGAAATCTATTATCGGTGCAATGTATTCCAAATAGTCCCCTCGTCTGTAAAATCGTAATTACCTCACCAGTCACCAACAGCAATCTTGAATTCTCTTGTAATATGGATTATGCCAATCCAAAATATCGCCTCCGCACAATTTCAAAATCAAAATCCTTCCAAGACCGCCAAGTCTGCCAATCGTCTCATCCCTCTTCAACCAACAAATAATCCATCGGTCTCGACTCCAGACCCGCTATTCCTCCACGAGCTATATTCTTTTAAGACCGCAAACCCGCCACCCAAAGCAAGGGTCCAGCACTCAAGATCCAATCAGAATACCCAGAAATAGGTCGTAAGGAATCGGCTCACTCCGTACGTACGGGGGAACTGGAGCACAAAAGTTACACTAAATTGCTTGTATCTTTAACCCGAGGATGGAAAATCACCTCGGCTTGTGCATGTGCGGTATTTACCCGCAAACCCTAGACTTGCACTCTTGACTGTGGTCTCTTTTCCCCTTCTCTTCTTTTTCTGTCACTTTCAATTTATCCGAAAATTGGGAAGTGCTCACGCGATGGCTGTTTCTGACGTTAATGTACCCCCGGGTTATTCCCATGATCCCGAGAAGGACTCCAAGGCAATTCCGTCAAACACCACGAATGAAGAAATTGGACCGCGAAATGTCTTTGGTGATGAGACGCATCGACGACTCAAGGGTCGTCATATCCAATTGATTGGTATTGGAGGCACTATCGGTACTGTTTTGTTTGTATGCTGCCATTCCCCACTGTGAATCGCTTCATTCTAACTGTGGAATATAGGTTCAAATTGGTAAAGGTCTCATGCAAGGCGGTCCAGGAAGTCTTTTCATCGCATTCTCATTCTGGTGTCTCATCGTCTTGACAATCACAATGGCCATTGCCGAAATGGTCTCATACACACCAATCTCATCTCCCTTCGTCCGGTTCGCCGGTATCTACGTCGATGAAGCTCTCGGTTTCGCATCAGGATGGAATTTCTTCATTTTCGAAGCTGCGCTCGTACCATTCGAAGTAACAGCATGCCATTTCATCCTTCAGTTTTGGACAGACGCAATTCCCGTGGGCGCGACCATCGCAGTAATCATCGTGCTGTACGCACTAATCAATCTCATGGCAATTCAGTATTTCGGCGAGACGGAATTCTGGGCTTCTGTTGGAAAAGTCATTTTGATCGTTGGTCTCATCTTTTTCACATTCATCGTCATGGTCGGTGGAAATCCAAAGGGTGAAGCTTTTGGATTTACTTACTGGAAAAGTCCTGGAGCTTTCAATACGCTTTACTATGACGGCGCATTGGGGAAATTTGTGGGATTCATGGCTTGTCTTATTCAAGCAGCTTTCTCCATCTCTGGCCCTGACTACGTCGCTATGGCTGCTGGAGAAGCTGAGAATCCTCGCAAGATCCTTCCTCGAGCTTTCAAGACTGTGTTTTATCGTCTGACCTGCTTCTTCGTGCTTGGATCGCTGTGCGTTGGTATTTTGGTGCCGTACGATGATCCCAACATGATTGCAGCGTTCAGAGATGGAAAGTCGGGTGCTGCCGCTTCACCATACGTCATCGCAATGGATCGTCTTGGAATCAAGGTCTTGCCTCATATCGTCAACGCCATGATTCTTGTTTCAGCTTTTTCAGCTGGTAACTCATACGTTTTCTGCGCCACGAGATCTCTTTACGGTCTTGCGCTCGAAGGAAAAGCCCCGCGCTTTCTAAGAACATGCACCAGAACCGGCGTCCCTATCTACTGCGTTGCCGTTGTCCTTGCTATTGCATTGCTGTCGTTTCTGCAGCTATCGAATAGTTCTGCTGTTGTGCTGAGTTGGTTTGTCTCTCTGGTGACTGCCTCTCAGCTGATCAACTTTTGCGTCATTTGTCTCACGTACTTGTGCTTCTACCGTGCGATGAAAGTGCAGAACTTTGATCGTTCTGTTCTTCCTTACAAGGCTTGGTTCATGCCATATGCTGCGTATGTCGGTCTCGTGGCGACGTTCATTATGGTCTTTGTTGGTGGATATACCGTGTTTTTGCCTGGCATGTGGGATGTGCCCAACTTTCTCTTCTCGTGAGTCTCATCATCACTAAGATAGAAACGACGCAGCTAACATTCTTAGATACACTTCTGTCGGATTATTTCCTGTTCTTTATATCGGATGGAAGCTTGTGCACAAGACAAAAATCCACAAACCAACTGAGATTGATCTCAAGTATGAGTTGGCTCCTATCGAGTCATATGAGAAAGATTACATATCTCAACCGCCCAAGTATGATTCAATCCACGTCTTGTATTCCATTACTAACAACCTCTAGGAACTGGTTTGAGAAGATCCTACACTTTCTGTTCGAATAGAGTAAAATAATATCTACACAAGTATTGGAAAAGGCGGGTTGAGACAGGGATTTAGATAAAAGTTATAGAAGGCTGGTTATGATACCTACCAATTTTCGCATTCTAACTTAAACGAGTGGATGAGCGCGATGAAACGAGAAAAGAGCCAAGTACAAGTGACATTCCTCTCCCACAGCTGAGAGCTTAATTTACATGCCGTACTCTGATGAAACAAGGGGAAAATCTGTAGCCGACCGCCAAGCCGTTTCACCACCACCAGAAATGCAACATCAACGTTTCCATATTCCCTTTTCACTGAAAATGTCAATGCGTGAACACGAAGGTGGAAAGTCATTTCACATCAATTTATTTCGTTATTTTTTATTCTAAAGAACGGAAATCCCGACGAAACACCCCCAAGAACTTGAACTTCTGATGTCGACCAATTCCGTCGGCGAAAACAGGATTTCGCACGCAAATAAACAAGAGAAAACATCGTCATTATCTTACATGGCGTAAAGAGCATTTTCCAAGAAAGTATCTAAGGTGGTTGGATGGATCTTCTTCACAAGTTTCATATCTCATCGTTTTGGGTTTGTAAAACGCTTGTGACGTTTAAGCGAACGCACCGACGACAGACATGCCAAAAGCTGGAGAAAAGTTAGTCAATGCACGGACGGAAAGAGTAGATTGTAAAACTTACCACCAAGGAAGACCCAGCACATAGCCAAGATTCTGTCCTTTGTCTTCATGAGGTGTTGTGCTTCTTCGGAGAGGAAGTCTTCGACCAGGAGGTTGACGAGAGCAGCGTAGATCAAAAGACCGGAAGAGATAGAGTTAAAGACTCCAACCATGATCAAACCCATCTCACCCTCAGGATCGTAAGAGTTTCGGCTCAGAATTCCAATAGCCTGTCCAATTGGCGCGGTACATCCAAAAGCGAAAACAAGCAACCAAGGTCGGAAACTTCCCTTGGGATAAGGAACGGCAGCGATACGAGATCCGAGACCGAGACCTTCGAACATTTGATGGAACATGATGGCAGTGAGAAGAACGACGAGACCGTCAGTCGTCATGGCGATGGTCATTCCGACGAAGACGGAGTGGAAGAGGATACCACCTTCGAGAAGAGTGATGTTTGTCGACATGCGCTTGTACGTCTCGTGATCAATCTGAGTCTGGCTCTCCTCATCAAAGTACGACTCGGTGACTTCAACATGAGGCTTAGAATCGATAGTAGCCTGCGAAGAATACTGGGTCTCCTTGATCATCTCCATCATCTCAGAGCGCTGTCGAACATACTGCTCGTAAAAGACGACAAACCAAGCAGGCATGGTAGAGTTCTCGTTACCCTTGGAATAATCATAAGGCTTGGTCTCCTTCTCGTACATCTCGCGGGCCATCTCCTTTTCGTACGAGACATGGTCGTCTTCATCGGTGTAGGTGTAATCGCTACGGAAAGAATCGTTGCGGGTGTGCGCGAAGTTCTGTTGCTCGGGAAAGGGACGCTGAGGACGCTGGGGACGAGTAGGTGGTGGTGGTGCGATGGTGATGGTTTCGCCGGTGGGACCGCCGTGGGAGTGGCCTCCGGTTTTGGCGTTGAGGTACATTTCGACGATGAAGAGACAGAACATGGCGGCCATCATGATGACTCCAGGCATGGCAGGATAGATATCGGTGAAAAGATCGGGGAGGCAGGGATTAGTGAGAGATCCGAAGGCTGTAGGGAGCAACTACATCTCATTAGTGTGATTTCAATGCCATCTCGGTGAGTGAAACTTACATGAACGAATGCAGTAGCAACCAAAACTCCAGTACCGAAATGCTTGCAAGCAAAGAAGACCTTGGGAGGCATCTTGAGCCATTTGATTCTCTTGGCAGCGACTGGAAAACCAGCGCCAAGACAAGAGACTGTCAAAACAGCAACTTGGTGATTGTTAGCTTCGGGACTTAAATGGGTCGCAAATCTGGGGAAATCGGAAACATACAGAGACCACCGACATGCAGGCCAAGATTGTACTCTTCCGCTCCAGCTTCCGATCCACATTGAGGCTTGGCTGAATCCATCTTGAATAAAGAATAAGAAATATCGTAAAGATCGTAGTTTTAGATGCGAGAAAAGATTAAAATAATTTCTCAAAAAAAGAACAAGGAAACCAGTTCCCTGTCTCAGTCGTGTATATCGAAAAGAATTAAAGAATTACTGAATAAACAGCAACTCAAAAAGAGAATACAAATTCTCTTAGAAAAGAAAGGAATTGCACTCGATGACAAACAAGGAAACAGTACAAAGGAAAACAACCAGGTACCAGCCTAGATGCAACAGAGAGCGTAGAGAGAGTATTCGAGAAGAAGAATCGAGAGGAGTGTCAAGAATATCATAGCGTATATATATTCTTGGCGATTTGATGGCCGTTATAATAAACTATTTTAAGGTTGTGAGGCAAGAATGTGATGTAAAACAAGCCATGTCTTGTCTCGACTCCCCGCGACAGGCTCCTAAAACCGATGTGACTGTAGTGTTTCACTCCCACTGAAGGGCCCTACCTAGTACCACTGAAGACCTGCTACGGTAGCACTGAAGTGCCCTACAAGTGCCGTCAACCCCGGCTCTTATCTCGGAAAAATAACAAGAATCTCTGTCTCAATTGGTCAGATTCGAGATCTGCAGGCTACGCGTTTTAAGCTTGAAAAGAAAATAGTAAAGATCTCTGGACGCAAAACCCTGGAGGGTTGTGTTTTGTCATTAATGCTCAATGCGCGGATGGAAGGTGTTCCGGAGGACCCTTTGTGTCTCAGTCTCGAAGATCTTTTGTCTTTTTTGTCTATGACCGGCAGTTCACCACTGAAGCTTTTCTAACCTCCACTGCACATCCATTTCCCCATTCACTGAACTCTTGGCTGATAGAAACAATTCTCCATCTCGCGTAACAAATATTCAAACATTTTACTCCCTCCTGCAGCATTCTACTACTGTTCTCCAGTGATTGTTCTCTCTTGCGCTCGGATGCTTCATCCATATCCCATCCGTTGTTTTGTCTTATCACACCTCACATATCGTTTCCTTCGATATCTGATACTGCCACGAGTCTTGGCTGAGAATCTGTCCGGCATTCCGCTTATGAAAGCATGGTTGTCTGTCATTTACCGAATAAACAATTATTGTTCAGATGAACTGTGAGGATATTCGTTTGTTGTGGACTCTGATGCTCCACAGGTAGCATCTCCAAGATGTGATGGTGTTTTAAACCCGTAGTCGTAATACGAAACCTGGGTTAATGTTACACTCGAGTCTAGACTTCTTAGTTAGGCAGGTATACTGTTATCTCCTTGCCATCTACTTCCAAAGGTCTAGACTGTCATCATGTCCCACTGAATTGTTCCCTTTCTGAATACTCCGTACTGAACCATATCCACAGCTATTCTGTTGATCCCTCACGAAACAAGGAAACATTCTCAGTTTTACATCATTCCTCGGCTATCGGCTCGTGATCAGCTGAGTTCTTGTCTCACTCGCAGACATCTTCTCCACGTCGCTACAGTTGCGATTTCGTAACGCGACAGGCCTGTAACGCGTTGGGGTTGACCCACTATGGGATTACGCAAGACATGGATCCAAAGCTACCCTGTGGGTGTAACCGTTTTGGCGATTCTAGCCGCTTGCCGCCCAGTCCCTGTAATCATCCTTGCCAAAGGGGATGAATGGGAATCTGGAGTCTCTGTAATGATAGTTACCCTAGAATTGATGGATTTCCAAACGTATGGGACGAGATGATGGCAACAATGTTGGGTGCGAAGACCGTTGCCAAAATCTGGTATCACAAAATATCATATCCAACGGAGCCAAATAATAGATAAATCAATTAGTACTGTATATGCCAAAGGTGAAAACGATCACTTTGAGCGTAGACATCCAAGGCTTTTTCGGTGAATAGGTACTGATTGTCACATGCAGTTGGTCCGGTCAGTGTCCGTGATGGCTCGGATACCGTCAGTGCGAACAGCTTTCAAGAGATTCTCGAATACGTCCAACTTTCCCATGTGCTCCACGTCTTCGGAAATACTCGTAAAGGCATCAAAGCGCCAGAAACCAACATTCGGCACACTTATCCGTTGCAACTCATCCACCCTCGCAACCATTCACCCACTATAGTAGCCCCGCGTCAAACGCGCAAAACCCAGTCGCCAAAACATCAGATCGTCAATCCTTGCCATCTACATTCATCTGCATCACCAACTGGAGGAATCTGAACGCAAATCGCTCTGACTTGCATCTCAAACCCTGTCTCACCTGATACAGAGAAGCAATTGACTTTTTCTACGTCTACCGGTTTCCGCTTACTAACACTATTGCGATTCATTTTGACTTTTTGAATGGGTGTACTGTCTCGGGAGGCGATCAGCCGTGAGGAGATCTAACATTATTAAGGCTGATATCCTTGGTTGGGTAGCACTGAGATTTAGTGAGGCACTCTTAAATTTCTTAAACTGACTTTACGACATGAACCATTTCAAGTAGATATGTCTTGTAACTATTCTGAAGTTGTTAGTCCAGTCTTGGCGAATTCTAGACTTGATGTGCGATCCTACTGCAAAAATAGACCTATGTTGTACTTGAACTCTTGGCAGGCAAGAGACTATATCAGATCGATAAGACAACCATTTGTCCAATCGCAACAGTTGGTGCTATTTCCGGCGCTCGGATCTGTGTTATCGACCGGGGTGGCTGGGTGGTTACGTATTATCCGCGCCTGTATTGAAACATCAACTGCTTCACACCTGGTCTGAGAATGGATGCTATTTCTCTACGTCCATTTATCCAATTTGATTGGTTCGTTTTGTTCTCAGTAAGCTCGACTCGAGTCATTCGAAAAAGGAAGGTTGTCGCGTGACCTGAATTCTTGTTGTTCAGCATGCCGCTCTCTCTTGTGAAGATACCATCATGAGAAAGCCTACTATTAACAACGTGAAAATTGATCTATTTGCGATTCTATCTCTTCTAAAAATGAGTTTTCTATATTGGAAGAAAGCTTTAGGGTTACCAATTCTTCCACAGCACACCATCCTCCAAGCCAAACACAGACTTGATCTATCCTGTCTTAACACAGAACTCACTACTCGCCGCAGGCTCAGATAAAGCCCACCGAATCCCGTCCTCAATAACCTGATCCCATCTCTCCGAAGCAGAAAGCCTCTCCCCGAAACACCGAAAACCATGCGGCAATCCAATGAACAGATTCACATCAACAGGAACCCTACGCTTCGTCAGCCAGTCCTCTCTATGCGCATGCAACGACTTACCCAGCTTCGCTCAACATCTTCGCATACAAGAGTCCCTCGTCTCTCAACGGATCCAGTCCAGCTACACCGACCACACTCGGCGGCATCCCCTTCACTTGTTCAGGCGTCGCATTGCCAGGGTTGATTTTCAGATCTTGAGGATCGGGATTTTCGATCTTGAGAAGACTTGTGAACCACCTGAGTTCAGCGAGTGAGAACATCGGTGCGAACTCATTCTGTTTATAAGATGATATCGAAGCGTCCTTCATCTTGTTTAACTGCAGTTCGTAGCAATCGACATGTGCTAAACAAGGTATCATAAGAACCTGGCCTGCGATGGGCGGAGGGTCGTTCTTCAGATGTCTTTGGAGTACGAGAGATGCGGCCAACCAAGCACCGGCTGATATTCCACCGACGATAACTTTCCGAGGATCGCACTTCAGCTTGTCCATATTATCGTGTGCCCACACGAAAGCATCCTGGGTATCGTTCCATTGTGTGGGATATGCGAAGTCTGGCGTATGTCTATAGTCGACGTTCAGAACCGTTACTTGGCAACCGATGGCTATTCGAGCGCATATCGCATCTTCGCCGTCGAGTGAACCATACATGAAGCCACCGCCTTGAAAATGGATGTATAGTGGGGTAAGATCACCGTGCGGAGTTTCGATCGGTCTGTAACTGCGTAGTTGTAGGGAAGTTCCATCTCGTGAAGATATCGAGTAGTTCTGAATTCGAACATGAGGCCCCAGCTTTATCATGGACTGTCTCGCGATAGCCTCTCGTTCCTCGTTGGCCAATCTGATCATATCTGCAGATGGCATCTCGAGCTTGGCTACTGGAGGTAAGGTTTGTTCCAAAGCAAGCCATTCTTCGCAGCTGCCTCCGTAGCCTGAGAAGTCGCACATGTCGACTGGATATCTGGCACAGAAGATTTTGAACAGTCAAGGGTGCTTAGCTCAGAGCCGAGGGTATTCTCAAATGCCCCACCTCAACCACTTAGTGCGCTTACAAAGATTCATCGACTTCCTCGACTACAATTCCAGTCAGGTCGCTCACTAACGATATGCGGTTTGAGTAATACTCACGATTCTTGAAATGGCATTGCTCCACCCTTTCTGGTATAGGAGACGCAATTGAACTTCTGTGTCTTCTCAATCACTGTGTATATTTTATTGGGAAAGAAGCTATAGCTGCCCCCACGCCTTGCTACCAACACTTTCCCTTTTTACGGCCGGCAAAACTTAGAGGCATTTTAAATACAACTTTCGAAGTATTTATAATTATGATGTTGTAATAGAGAGCATAAACAGACCGCAAGGAATGGATCAAGGGAGGCAGACAATCTATGGCTTAATGAAAAGCTTATATAGGGCTGAGAATAAGAAAGTTTTGCGTAAGTATCGTAGTGATGATACTTCAAATGTGTAGTTTTATTCAGTTTAGTATGATGTTTAGATCCAGGATCACTGTGATCAAAATTGTTGTTTTGTGAAGTATGTCTTGGCGAATATCCTCCATAGTTCTGTTGTTGCAGATTCCTAGATAGTAGGTTTGGCTGACATTTGGACTGTTCAAGTAGTCTCGGTCCCCTCCAAGCCCTTCGCAAGGACTACCATGGCTTTTTGCTGGGCGGAGGGCGGAGCTTTGGCAAAACTTTCCAATGTCGCAGGGTGTAGCGAATAGGGGTTGATACCATTAGCAATCAGCATTTGTTGCGCGACGGCAATGTTGCGTGCCATCTGTTCAGCAGGCATTTGACGGGAGTCAACTTGCCTTTGGGGAGGTCGAAAAGAGGGTTCGGGCACGTCTGGTGGGTAATCCATACTCTCCAGTATAAGTTCGTCATCATCATGAATGAAAGCGTAAGAGTCAGCGTCGGGTCCAGATATTGGCAGCCAAACATCCATAGATACGGATTTCCGTATAGGCTTCAGAGTGTCAGGTGAAGGATGGTGCTTGTTCATATGGACCTTCAGCGTACGAGGTGAGAACCGAGGCGGGTATTGACACCCTGGGGCGGTACATCGCAACCAATTGACGTGGGATCGTTCATGTTCTCTGAGCATCTTTTCGGTATCAAACCCAATCGTCGCCCTCGTACACGCAGTCAGATGACACGTGAAAGCGCTAGTACCTAGGTGAGCTCTGAAGTACTCTAGCTCACTGGCTGATAGATCTGCGTGATATGTCTGTCCAATTAATAATCTGACAACTTCTTGGTACGAAGTAAGCAAATCACTGATTGGATCAGAGAGTGGCAGTGACTTGGAATGCTGCCGAATTTTGTCGCCCTGAACTGCATGAGAGAGTCAGTATGAACAGCAGAAACCTGATATCAAGGCTTACCTTCAGTCTGTAATATTCTTGCCTCGAGATTCTTTGCCGATCGTGCCTTAAGAGCACGTTCGACGTGTTTCCATAGTACTCCATACTTCTGCAGTTTCGCTAGGCGTTTGTCTACCAAATCTCCATTGGTACTCTCTTCCAATTTTGCTGGGTCCAGGTTTCCCAATTCTTCCGCCAGTTGACAAGCTAGACGAATGAACGGGTCCAGTGAGCCTTCAAGGCTTAAAACCTGGGAAGGCTCATAGCTCATTAGATACTCGGTCCAGAACTCGGCAGCATAAACGAGAAATCCGTATAGCCCCTTTATGACGCAGAGAGCCTTGTTCTGCCCCGACTCTTGGGAGCGAAAGATGCGAAGCCCAGAGAGGAGACAGGTGATAGAAGCTACTCCATGCTCTTGAACTGCTTGGTCTCGCGTGATAACAACTTTCGTCGACGCTGTCTGTAAGAACCTAATTATAATGTCAGCTTTTGCCTTTTTAGTGCAGGACCAAATTTACTCCTTTACTGAGTTGTGAATGAAGGCGACTGTTGTGTCTCGACTTTCTTCAATCAGTGTTCCGCAAATGTCAAGGATGTACTGGGGTACTAAGCGCGAGACTTGGGAATCGCCAGAGCTGAAGGTTATAGCGGACAAGAGTTCGACCTTCTTCAATGGGCGTTTTGCAAATGCAATCCAGCCTAGTACGCATCGAATGCGATCGACCGACCGAGAGTCTAGCTGAACCAAAATCTGTGTCAAAATTCTCTGGTAGCTAGCGGCGTTGTTAGAATTTCCCATGAGGATGATATATCGATAACGTACAATTCAGTCAGCTTTTGTGGCAATGTATTTACCGATTCCTTCATCTCATCGCCGCTGTAAAAGACGTTACTGGCCAGATAGTCAACGACAAGCCGGGCGTAGAGAAACATTCCTGCACTTGATCAGACCATGGCGCAAGAAATGGAGAGACGGATACACCACTTACCATCAGCTTTCTTTACAATGGTACTCTGGATCTCTTCAACTTCAGAATGTTGTACATCAATTTGTCGAAGTTTCGGGCGCATCGTCTCAAGCCTTAGACCAACATATTGCCAAATGGCTCTATCCAGTGAGCCTTTTTCTTCGGCAAGGGAAATTATTTGTTTTCTCTTCAATTTTTCCAATGCTTCTGAAGGGCCGCGGCTTGCAACTAATACCTTGCAGGTAGTGCTTCCTGGTACCACTGGCTTGGAAATGAGCTGGTTCAAAAGTCGCACCAAGCGCACTTGCCTGTCTTTTTCGCATTCGTCGAGGCCATCTATGACAAGCCAGATATACGACTCCTGATTAGTTAAGTTGGACATGCTTGCTAAAAGCTTTTGTAGGAGCCGTTCCAGCGTCGCGCTTGTCGAGGATTTCCTTTCTAGGATATAATGTGTAAAGACATAAGAGACCAGGTCACCATCCTTCCGAATGATTTGCAGAATGAGTGATTTCAGGACCTGATCAAACGTTGTCGAAGAGTCATACAGGTAGGAACAAAAGTGATACGCCACGGCTTTTGTCCCTTTCAAGAAATTGACGAGCTGTGTGCATAAGACGCTTTTTCCGGACCCAGCTGAACCCTTAAGCCAGAGGGCTGGTGTGTCTGGCTTTTCGTCCGCCCAAGAGGTGATCTTTCTGTTCTTAAGTATCCATGAACAGGTCCCCTGATATTCCGTTGCATCGGACGAGATTGAATCGATGATGGCCAGCTGATCGGTTTCGTTGGTCTTGAGCCAAGAGACGATGGACTCGTATTGCTTGGCATTCTGTTCTCTGTCTTGTTGGCGAACACGATCCTCACTTTCTTCTTTCCACCTTTGGATGTTCTCACGCATCGCTTTGGCCTCTGCTATATCACGAGCATTCGCTTCAAGATCGATGAGAGCACCATGTTTGTTTAAATCTTCGATGATGTTATCGAAGCGCCTCTGGAAACGGCCCCAAGATGTAGAGAACATCAATGCCCAGCCTAGTTGAGGTGTCAGATCATAGGATAATATGAAGTTTCAATTCTTCGTAACTTACCATTGCGGTGAACGAATTTGTAAGCATACTTGTGGAATGTAAGGATGTCGGCGTAAAATACGGCGAGTGTCTGCTGGAAGCCTGGCTCATCGATGAAGGCATTACTGAGAATCCCAAACCGCTTCAGTGGTTCAGCAATGCTCGCGTAGCCTTTGATGATAGTCTCGAAAGCTTCGACATATTCCGAAGCCACTCTTAGGATAAGTGTGATAGGCGCCCAGATCCAAGGCATGAATGGGGTTCCATTACACAATATCTCAGCGACTTTGGAATAGTGTTCAAGACCCCGAAAGAGTGGCATCAGACGTCGCATATTCCGAAGGGATTGCCGAGCAGCCAGTTGATCCTCGAGCTTGAGAGCAGCATTTTGGACATCCCGAAGTGTTGTTTCAGCAAAGTCGCGCTTTTCGCCTGGGCTGATTATGCGATCAAGCTCATCATGGGCCGACTTGATGGTGTTTCGTGCAAGTGCCGAAATGGCGGGTTTGAGCGGCATGTCTGTCTCAGGTAGAACCGCCTCGTAAATTGGGACTGAGCTGGACGGGGTGAAGGAGGAGGTAACTTTGACAGACTGAAAAGACTCTTATCATCGGGCAATTTTGAATGAACAAGGGAAATTCCAGCATAGCCACCTCAAACTGAACACTGCAGGAAGGTGCATTGGTATGCGCCAATCAATTGTCGTGCACTTGCACTTTACTGCACCTGCTGCGCACAGAGCCTTGCAAGAATGCCTGCATTCTCACTTGAGTCTGCCTAACGAGGCATGATGCCTTCCAGCCGTCGCATAATATTTGGTGAGGGGAATCAAATAGCCTCATAAGAACTTCCTCTATTACGGTAGATCGGTTGTCCTTGTCCCTCCATCATCAATTACGAGAATGGACTTGCGTCAAAATCCAAATCGACCACCCAAGCGACAACGGATAGATGAGGAAGGCGATGCCCATATTGAGGCCAGCCCCTCTCACCATGCACCCTCATGGGGACAGAACTACAACCGTCTTGCCACAACATCAATTCACACTCAGCGACTCTCCAATGGTACTTCAGCTACACCAAATACGACTTCAATCAATACTCCCTGGAGTACTCATAGCCATTGCAACAATGGATGGGGTAGTTATTACCCCCATACTAATTATACAGGACACCTTGCGACCGATATTCCCAGTCAAAACAACCTACCTTTACAGTGGCATCCATCAGTAATTTCCACTATCCCGGAGCCCGATCCATGGCTATCGCATTACTCTATGCTTCCAGCTCATATTGCGCCGTTGCAACCCCACGCTCCGATGCATTCTACATATTACGAGCAGTCTCTCGTTCCTCAGACTTTGTCAAACCAGCCAAACGTGAGTTTGCAGTGGCCAGAGTCATATGAGCGACAAGCCTTGTCACCATTCATTTCAGGTGATAGCACACAGGCCCGTCTTCTCGTGGAGGAAAAGGACGCAGGTATTGCGGAAGCCCAAGACACGACTGTCTGCTTCGGTATGGTGAGTGCCTGAAAAGACTCTTTCCGTCGCTGAAGTACTAACGTTCCAGGTCTTGGGCATCTCTGCTCGATGCGAGCAAAAAGGTGCCACTCGGCAAAATCTACCAACACAGTTTCCAGTCAAGCTCGAATCTTCAACTCGCTTTATTGCCGAAAGCAGGACCGAAATTGTGGGACGCATAATGTCTGACCATGGGCAGGTTTTACAAGGTCTTCTCGACGAGACCTCCCTCGACCTTCACGCCTCGTGTGCAATTGACAGCTCTCAGGCATTTGAGCTTCAGAAAGAGCCCCAAGCTCCGACAACGGTACCATGTTCTCTAGAGATCACGATTTACGGTCCAAAGGAATTGTTTGACGAGCTAGGGTCATGGCTTGATGACTACCAAATCTTCCTGCAAGACCCAAGAGAATGCCACCGGGATGTCCCATACTGCAATCCGCATCGGCTTTCATTACAGGACCTCTCATCCGCTCAACTGCTCTCAGATTCCATCGCCCGAAGTTCTTGTGCTCTGCAGCTAGAGACTATTCCTCAGCAACCCGATTTGCTAGACGATTTGAACAGCCATGAGGATCTGGAAGAAGCGTCACAGCCATCAGCGATCAAGCGCGAACTCCGAAGGTTAGTGTTCCCGTTCTTTCTTCAAGGCTTGTCAAGAATTTACAGATTATTAGACACCAAAAGCAAGCTCTGACGTTCATGTTACGTCGAGAACTTGGGTGGGAGTTTGATGGGGGGCCAAACCTTTGGGAGATAATGGACACAGACCAAGGAAGACTGTAAGTCAATGTCTAATCCTCCTTGTTTTTCTGGCCTAGCTCACTCATACCGTAGGTTCTTGAACCGTGTCTCCAAGGCGTCACAATCGGAAGTCCCTGCTCAGTGTTATGGAGGCATCGTCGCTGATCCTATGGGACTTGGAAAGACATTGACGATGATCGCACTGGTGGCGACAGATCTTGAAAGCAGAGGAGATGCTGTCGATATTGATGAAGGATGTCATCTAGATGTTCCTGCAACTCTGATCGTTGTGCCTCCTCCCTGTAAGATGTTAAACATTCTCTGATCCGTGGTCGTTAAGCTGATCTCATGTAGTGATGGGAACATGGGAAGAGCAACTTACCGAGTTCGTCTCTATGTTGACAGTGAGGCACGAAGCTAACAGTATTATAGGCATGTTGTTGAGGGTCGTCTGACTTATCGTCGGCATCATCGGGAAGACCGATTGAGATCATTGGACGAGCTCAAAGCTTTCAATATTGTACTAACAACATACCACACGATTTCTGCCGAATGGAACCATTCAAATAGCTCAAGAACATCTTTCATGTACTCCGTCCGATGGAAAAGGATAATTCTTGATGAAGGTGAGCTTCGTGGTGTCGTCGATTGCGATCAAACTAACAGGATAGCACATCTTATCCGCAACGGCAACTCAAGAATGTCGCAGGCCATATGCGCTCTCGATTCTAGATCACGATGGGCGGTAACAGGCACTCCTTTGCAGAACCGACTTGGCGACCTTGCGACCCTCTTCAAGTTCATCAGAGTACACCCTTACACCGACCGGAGATGCTTCGATGCCGACATATCACATCTCTGGAAGGTCGGTCAGTATCAAGAAGCTATCAAGCGGCTCAAACGATTGTCTAAATGCCTGCTTCTTCGACGCGACAAAGGGACGGTCAGTCTTCCAGCTAGGCGTGACCTGCAATGTCCTGTCGACTTCAACTCGGAAGAAAGAGCCTTGTACAACAGGTTGCGCGAAAAGGCTATTGTCAGTATAGATGAGGCTATGTCAAAGGATGTCGACTCTTCGAAAACAGGATCATATGTCAATGTCCTACAGCAGATTGATTCGCTGCGGCTCGTTTGTAATTTGGGGCTACACTATGATGCTAGACACGGAAAGTCACGACGCAACCCGCATGCTGAATTTTGGACGAGTGTCGCGCAAAATACCTTCAACATGCAGCGAGAGATGGGACCGATTGACTGCCTCCAATGCTCATCAACGCTCGATATCACGGAGACAGACCTGGATGATCCTACAATTACGCCGCAGAGGCCTCTTTTCTTCAAATGTCTTTCGTTCATTTGTTCCGATTGCGCGCAGCGACTCAAGAACACTGCAAAATGCACCCACAACCCATCGTGTATCGTGGCGCCTGTTTCTATGAGCGGTCAAGCCTTGGAGTCGACCTTGTCGGATATGTTGCCGCAGCCAGAAAGAGGCTTGCCGTCGAAGATAAAAGCCTTGCTAGCAGATATCAAGGCTCTCCCGTCAGGCGAGAAATGGTATGTACGTACTTCTAGCAACGGCTTGTGGATACAGGTTGGCTGACATCTCCCAGCATTGTCTTCTCAACATGGAGGCTGACTCTCGACCTTGTCGAGGCTGGGCTCAATCAATCCTCGATTCCGAGCGTTCGCTTCGATGGCAAAGTACCACAAAAGGGCAGACAGGGCATTGTAGAGAGGTTCAGACATGACCCATCAGTGCGGGTCATGCTACTTACTCTATCTTGCGGTGCAGCTGGGTAAGTAACACCAGGATAATGCGACCGCGACCGCTGACCCTTCTAGTCTCACCTTGACAGTTGCAACTAGAGCATACCTTATGGAACCGCATTGGTGAGTGCAAATTGAACTTGTTAATGGACATACACTCATTCCTTAGGAACCCGACTCTGGAAGAACAGGCATTAGCACGTATCCACCGTATCGGACAGTCACGGGAGGTGACTACAGTCCGATTTTACGTGCGAGATACATTTGAACAGGTATGATGTATCGACTGCGAGAGAGCACAGCTAACATCCTCCAGCAAGTCATCAAGATCCAAGAGTCAAAGAAGTACTTGGCAGGGTTGTTGCTATCGCCACATGACAATGGGAGTGCAAGCGAGAATCTGGGAAGACTGCAGGTCCGTTTTCACCGAATGAGGCGATATACCTTACTAATTCTCTACAGGAACTCATATCACTCATTTAGAAGAAATCCTGCTGGAGCTAAGTGGGAGAGTAGATGATCGGGCGCGAAGAGAGAAAGAGAGAGATATGTACAAGTGGGAGAACAATAGATGAAGAAGATGTGATGTTTATTCTTTTTGCACTTTTTCTTTTGTCTTCAGTGAACCTTCCGATCGGTCTCAATTATTATTTTGCGTGTCATTGAGTCTGGCTAATGTTCAAAGACGAGAAGAAAGGAAGGATATGGGACAGAAAGTGCAAAAAGGGAAAGACCCGCATACGATCAGCGCTTGCTGGTATGCGGGAAACCCAGTTGAACCATGAACAAGTGCTCATGGTTCAACACGCACTTACCTGCAGGGCTCATGGGCACCAGCCATTAGGCCATCCCGTCAACACCCCACGTCGAAGGATATCGTCCATATTTTATTATATAAGGGTTCTTCTCTTGATCTTGTGATGCTGGTGGCGTCGAATGAGGAAGTTGCGTTGAAGTTTGTCTGGTGTTGAGTTTGGCTGCCTGGGATTTATATGTGGGTGCAGTATCGAAACTCGGTCTTTTTCTAAAGAAAGTTCGTTTTGGAGCTCTGTTGAGCTGCTAGAATGCTTGGTTCAATATGATCCGGAGTGTGGTTGCTGAAGGCGGGAGTTGTCTTTGGATGGGCGCTGAAAGGGAGCCTCGTGTGCTCTCACCCACGATGCTTTGAGCTAGAACGGCCAGGCAGCTTTCTAGCAAACATATATCCATCTCCTTCTCTGAGTTTGATCCTCGCAATACTCTCTATCTGTCATGGAGGCCTGCGATCGAGTGACGACAGTCCCAGCCCGCCAACGGAGCTGCTGGGCCAGCTATCCAGGCCAGCGTGGTACCACGCCTTATAGCCCTTCAATAATGGCTAAGACATCCCACAACACATAGTCGACCTACGACTAATCCAGACCTACCTTCTAGGCGTCGCCTCAGGCTCTATTGTTCGGGATGCCGAACAAGTCGCTCGTCGCGTCAAAGTAGGCGAAGAAGGGACCACCCCTGACAAAACTGCTGGCAGGCCTCTCGGTCAAAACTCATCAGGGTGCCTTCCTTTGTCCTATTGATAGGTGTTCTTGATTTCTTATCGGCCTGTACAGGCTAAGTCGCCAGGCGCGTGACTGGGTGCTGTGTTGTCAAGCCCAGACATAAGCCGCGCGCACCACTCGAAGGAAAGACCATCGTACTTGTCACAGGCTCGCTTTTGATCGTCGCAATAGTATTCCAGGAGTTGTGTCGTCATCCGACGGAGGTTGAGAAATGGCTGTCTCGCCGATGAGTCACCCCAGCAATCTTCCCGAAAATGAAGATCACATCGCGTATAAAGCAACCACTTAGCGCTCAAGCGATGCAACTCAACATCTTCACACAACTCCGCTCATCATCAAAATGATAGCACCAATCTTCAAACTCGAAGCGACAGCCCTCAACGCCATTCGCTCTCTTCCCCCAGACATCTACCTCGTCCACGCAACAAACTGCATCGCAGAGTGGGGCGCAGGCATCGCAGCTGAACTTGCAACCGTATTCCCATCCGCATGCAAAGAGTACAAAAGCTTCTGTAACTCCGGCACCTCAGCAGGAGCATGCCAGATCATCCCACCTCAACCTTCCGACGTAGCCAGTGGGGCGCCAAAGATACATATCGTGTGTCTTTACACGAGCTATGGGTACGGTAGACCGAACCCAAGGACGGGAAAGCCGGGGAAGGACTCTGCGGGGAAGATCTTGACGCAGACGAGGATGGCTTTGAAGGATATGAGGAACCAGTTGCAAGGGAAGCAGGATGTGACGATCTATTCGCCCATGTTTAATTCGGGCGCTTTTCGGGTGCCGTGGGAGAAGACGAAGGCGGTCATTGAGGAGGAGTTTGATGGGTTTGAAGGGCATTGGTTGGTCATGGCACCGCCGTCTTGATGATGGCGGTGAGAAATGGCAGTCAATACCACATTCCATCGCAATCGACATTATAGTCTTCCAAGCAGAAAAATGCTAAATGATTGCCGAATTGTGCGAAGGGTGTTCCAGCTGCTGGGAAACAAAAGGATCATGCTTCAAGGCTTTGGGTACAAAAATAAGGTAGCGTAAACACTGGTCTAAACTTGCATAAACTGTGTAAATTATTTCGTCCGTTAGGCTATGCAGAGCCATCTTGTAGTCTCTGATCCACCATGCCCTTCGTACCAGTCCTGAATTATTTACATAGTCCATTGTGGGTTGCTTTAACCCACAACTATGTTTGGCGTCTTAGCTGGCTGCTTGGTTGCTATCTTGGCTTCTCTGCGTGCTTTGACAACTTTGGCATCCTCAGCTACGCATGCATTTCCGGGGCGCCATGTTTTTCTGTTCTTCAAGAGGTTGCCGGTTGAAGAACGAATACAGCGACGACATATGCGCCAGGAGCAAGTACTGCGGTACAGCTACATTTTGCTATTATATACCGAACTAGCTCATTGATCTTCAACAATCAGATCACCAGCGACCGTGGTGTAGTGGTTAGCATTAACGCCTTAAGAAAATTATATAATTTATACATCTCAATCACTCACTTGTGTTTAACACTATTGTAATATTACGAATGCTATTATCCCACATTCCAGATATATTATTTCCATTAATGCATTGCCAGAGCCTCCAGGAGGAAAAAAGCACTCATTCCACTGTCCCCCAGCTATCATCGTGACCGTTCGCCCGTCACCAGGGCCACCAAAAAAACAACAGCATTTATTCCACTGTCACCCAGGTATCATCAAAATCGTTCGTCCATCACCACAACTGATCACCGCAACTGGTCACCACGTCGTAATCACCCATCCTCCTCCGGACCATTCAATCATCACGTCGGGGTCTCTTTGTAGTAGGCGGCTCAATTGCCTCACTCTGTCTCTTCTTGTTGACCTGCTCCACTGCCTCCACTGGCTCAATTGACTCAATTGGCTCAACTGGCTCCCCCGTGTAGGGACTCACCATGATCACGTGATCGTTAAGGTGAGCTGGGATCGGGGGTGAGGTGATGGGTGGTTGACTTGTCCAGATTGTGAGAGCGGCGAACTGAGCGTCAAGGACTGACGGGCCTGGCCTAAACATCTCATCACCAGTGAGCCACACTGCCCCAGGAATCGGAACCATAGGTGATGGCCCGGGAGCTCGTACAGCATTCGGAATACTCTCGTGTGGGCGAGGTTCGATTGCCTGTTCGCCAGAGTATGGAATATTCAGAAATGCTGTATCCATACGGTGTGCAGTTTCCTTTGTCTGACGGGCTGAAGCTGATTTGACCTCTGGGTGACTTGCCCAACCGGGTGTAAACCACCCGTCCTCTTGTGCAAAGGCCTTATGAGCAGGCTCGTTGTTCGTTTCAATATGTCTCACCAGGGAGGACACTCGGATAAAAGATCTAGTATTGCCAACTCGCTCATAGTAAGGGCAATTTGTACCGTTGCCGCTACCATCAACCTGGTGATTGGCCTCAACGCGACGAATCCACTGTGCCCGGGGTGTATGGAATGCCGTTTTCATATGATCGTTGAGCTTGATTTGGGCACTCCAAATCTTGTTCTATAGGAAATCAGCGAGTGAGATCAAATATCATACATGAGCACTTACCTTGATCGCTGGATCGGTAATGGTATCATCCTCTTGACATAGTGGACAAACAGTGGGGTTGTGTTTGTAGTCCTTGTGTTGACTCAATGTGTTCTCTAGAAGAGCTTGCATGAAGGTTCGGGCGGCGGTTTCGTAGTCGACCTCAATAGCCTGAGGGATGGTGCGGCTGTCACCATCACCCTCATCGTCATCCTCACGGCCATCACCATCCAGCTCGCGAAGAACCTCGCCCCGGTGATCACCATCTACCACTTGTTCCTCAAGGTCCTTTTCAGCCTTTTCTTCGAGGCCGTGAATGATTTCTTGCGTCTCACCATCGATAGCTGGGTTATCATCCTCTTCCTCCAGGTGATCGGTATCACCAAGGGCCAGTTGAGCTCGAGCATTTTCCATAACCATATCCATCAACTTAGAATCACTCAGATGTTTCAATCGACGATTGAAGTCCATCCTGGTCATTTTTTCTCGTTCCTTCTGAACCTCGATCCCCAAAAGCGAATCCAACGCCACCCGTCGAATGCGGCGTTTATAGTTCTTCAACTCGGCATTTGAAGCTGTGTATGGAAATCCGGGGTCAGATGACATCAGCTTCACCATCAGCGCATTGACAGCTGGTCCATGAATCTCTCGAGCCTTTTGATGGGAGAGGACATTGGCAGCCAAGGTGCTTTCTTGATCAATCTGGTGAGAATACCCCTCCTGGCCTAGATCACTTTAGCTTCATTTATCAAGCTGGTGAGAATAGTATTTGTTACCTAGGTCGCTTGTATCTTCATCCAATGCAACTCTGGATAGATCCACAGCATCACCCAGTGACAGGTAATACTTTTCCAGAACCCGTGACTGAGCGTCGTGGTTCATAATAGCTCGTGAAGCATCACGACCAACCTGTCGGGTGAGATCGTCGGCTGCTCTGCGGCGAATAGAGTAGAAGTTCAATGCCTCTGGATAGCCAAGCTTCGATCCACGTCGTTTAAGGTACTCAGTCAATGCATAGACAGTAACCGCTTCATCACTCGTCCCCAAGCCCCGAGCCTTACTTGCCAGAATAACTGGTTTCGATAAATACTCACGATTGATCTGTAGATAGTCAGCTTTGCTTCAACATATGAACCTTGATAGCCTACCGTAATATTGCGTTGATTCCCACGCATAAGCTCGTCGATCGTCGTGACACTATCAATGATTTGACGGCGGAGCGCAAGAACAAGCAGTCGGTGAGGGATGGAGAAAATCAGGTTGTCGGTGTTCGTGGGTGAGTTGATAACGCAGGTGAGTGAGGAGTCTTTCTCTGTCTTTCGATATGCCTTCTCAGGATCCGTATAGTTGGTCTTTAGGTTTCTGAAAGTTATGCGAACCTGAAACCTGACGTTATCCGACCGGGTGATTTGGATATCACCCCAGGTGAGAAAGGGCCGATCATTCGTATTGACTGTTCGTTGACCACTGATTCCGATAGACCCGGGACGCACGGCGCAGACGCGGGCGATACACCATGCTAGATGATGGCCTTCAGAAACCTCGATGGAAACCGCATTGAGGGTATCATAATCGATCAGTTGACGCAATTCAGGTATTCCGACTTTGGAGAAGGACGTAGACGCGCCCAGAGCAAGCCCGAACTTAGAGGTCGCATAGCGCATAGCCTCAGTGAGGGTGTTGAAGAGTTGAGAGTGAGTGGCTGTCGTAGTGGTCCCCCGTTTGGCGTGAATTCTCTTGTACCAGAACATGAGTGCAAGTCGATGCCCTACCAGAGCACGGTAAGAGATCTTCGTTCCCCGGCGTCGCCCATGGCCAAACTTGGCGACGAAGATAATGTAACTAGCCGGCGTTAGTATATGACTTGGATGAACCTTCACCAGCTGTTGACCTACAGTTTCATGCGCTTGAAGCACTCATCCTTATCTACCGGAAACATAGCAAGCTCTTCTTCATCCTCGTTGAGGTCTTGATCGACGAGTTGTAGCCCGGTGAGGAAGGTTTTGTAGGTCTTGTAAACGGTGTTCTGCTTGATCTGGGTCTGCTCGGCGTGCCAACGCCACCCGGCAGAATCCTCCACATGCTGCTCCAGTTCTTCAAGGAGATTGAATAGATCCTCGCTGTCAGCCGATATATGGTTGATTCTGTCAAAAAGAGTGTATGGTGAAGGGGCTATAGCCCCTGGTGGCGGAGGAGCGGCCATCCTTTACTGGTGCGATGATTATGGTGTAATTGAGCGAAGAAAGTACTATTACGTAGAGTGATGGTAAGTAGAAAAACAATTTATGGCAGGGGCAAAATAGTAGATCTGTGTGCAGAAGAACTCAAGTATGCCCCTTTTAGTGAGTGTTTCAGATAACTACATTCACCTGGTAGCTAGGGGTTACTTATGACAATAATAACTGCCTGATAAGTGATTCACTGCTAGCTTCGCTTAATCTCACTGACTGCCCGCATTTCAAGGCTGCAACAAACCGGGCGCCTACACCACCATCAACACACCAGACGCGTACATTAACAAGGCTTGGAGTCGTCACCAACACAGAGGCGTTACCCAAGCTATTTCTCAAGCTGTAAAGCCGTCAAGTCGTTAAGCCGTCACTCAAGCCATCAAGCCGTCACCCAACCCGTCACCCGGCGACAGGATGGACGCCGATCCGATGGATATCGCTCTTGAGAACCAGTTGACCACCAACCCCCCCGACCCGTAAGTACTCTGGTTTGCATACCTGGTGGTTTAAAAAGAAAAAGCCGAGACCTAGTTGAGGGCATAGTTCTGTGTCTTGGTTATATCTTCAGACCGCCTGCATGCCTCCCGAGGTATTCAACGATCACTAACGCCTCATCAGCGCCATCGAGCCAACTGCCGTCTACAGCTGGCCTGGTCTCAAGGATGAGACATTCTGCACCCCCACCGAACGCATTCTCCTTCGACGCTCAGAGTTTTTGGCTCGTCAAGTTGGATTAGTGTTGAAGAACCAGGAGCGCATTCTAGCCGCTCTCAAGCAGTAAGTGACCATAACTGTCTGATATCTCTGCACTGTCACTAACTGTAGTAGGCGAGTCCGACGAAGCAGCATGTCATCCACTGGTACCGGTGCCAGTGAGGGTACCGAGGGTGATGAGGTGGCCGACATCTCTATTGACGATCCTGCAACTACTAAGGCTTATAACACACTTTGCGATACTGAAAGTGATGAGCATGCAGCCCTTGCTAATGCTCACCGAGCGTTCATTGATGCTTCAAAGAAGAAGCTCTATGTTAAGCGGACCCCTCACTCTACCGTCGATGCAATGGCTTTCAAAGCCCACGTCCTGTCAACCTTCACAGGTGACGATGAAGAACTTATAAAGTCTATCGTTGAAAACCTCGCTCTCTTCAACTCCGATCTCATCACTGGTATCTACCTTGCACTCAACAAGGAGATGAAGAAGACACAGTCCAAGTCCAAGGGCAAAGGAAAGGCCGCTGCCCCTGCCCCCTCTCACGATGAGGGTGAGGCTTCTGGACAGGCCGCCGTCGACGAGGACCTGCCTTCTTCACCCCTGCCTACTCGCCTCCGCAAGCACAAAGGAGCACAGTATCTCAGCAGCGGTAACCCTGTTCCCGCGGGTGATGACGAGGAGTACGAACTGGGTGAGGATGGCGTTGACGGTGCAAGCACTCCCAAGGCTCGCCAGTCTCTCACTTCCATGCGGCAGATAAGTAATTCGAGCAATTCTCAGGTGTCATTGACATCAGTCGAGATCCGACGATCTCATCAGCAGACTCGTTTTGAGAGTGAGGCCGAGGATGATGAATAAGGTGGCTCTATGCTCCCATGGGTGATCGAAGGACAATGGTGTCAAAGTGGGCTAGTGGTCCTATTACTCTAGTTAGTAGCGAGATACTATCAATCAAACGTCCATCACGGAGCCAGTATAAACAAAGTGATCAATTTAATAGCCTATAGTAATGTAACCCCATTGTCTGCCCCAGTATATCTCTCTCAAGCGCCCCGTTCAGATGATAACCCGCATCGCGCCTTGATGTTTTTGTTCGTGTTCCAAGAAATAATAGCCCATAGCAGACGGTCACCGTAGATCTTTGATAGTCAGCCTCTGTCAATTCAGGCTGGGTATTCGGGTTGGTCGATATCTGGAGACTGGGGGTTACAAAAAAAGAACAAAAGAAAAGAAAGAGCAGGAATGCCTTGAGCTCCCTAACGAGCTAGGATAGTTGATCCTCTTGCTCATTGACCGTTATGCTGGCCTGCTTGGAAAGCTGCAAACTCCCGTTTACGATCGGCCTTTCTGACCTTTTCTTGGTTAAGTTGATTGGTCACCTCAACCTGAACTAGCTGCATAATCCAAGGCTTCAGGGAACTTCTGAAACCCTCGAACTGAGACTGCATATCCTTTCTGGCTGTGTTGATCACCAGTTGCACTTGCTGGTCGATCCAAGGTTGCATCTCATCCTTGATTTTACCAGCGATCTTCTCAGTGCTCTGTGCAATAGCGGTTTCAGTGAAATCATCAACCTTTTGGATATGCTCGCTGGTGATCTTATCTATATGCTCTGATGCACCATTGCGAAAGTTTTTGACAGTAGTGTTGAGTGTCTCGGTGATCCATGGACCCATTTTCGCATAGGCTTCGTTGAGAAATGGTTTCATGACATCGTCGTTTTCATTAACGCTGTTATGACGGATTCCATCACCGCTTCTTTCGTGCTGCTGGGATCCAGATCGGTTGACGGGACGCGGGTCAGGACGAAACAAGCCAGCATCTTGGAACTGAGGCTTAGACCAATCGACGGGTGAACATTCCTGCCTACCGTAGGTTGGGCTTCGGTCGGTTGCAGCAGCTTGTGAACCACCACGACCACTACGAATTGAAGGGTCGAGGCCGTACTGCTCTTGACTGGCAGCCACTGTATCTTTGTTTCGAACCTGGTAGTGCTCGTAACTACCTGGCGGGGCTGGTGGAGGGCAGTGAGCTTCTCGCGGAGCAATCGACGCATTGTGAGTGAAGCTCTGTGGGTGATGTGCCGGGGCTGGTGAAGGGTAGTGATCCTGTCGGGGAGCAATCAACGAACTGTGGGTGAAGCTCTGTGGGTGATGGGGCGGGGCTGGTGAAGGGTAGTGAGCCTCCCGCGGAGCATTCGACGAATTGTGAGTGAAGCTCTGTGGGTGATGCGGTGGTGCTCGTCCTGGCCACGGTGCCTTATGGAACCTTTGGAACGAATCGGCGATGCTGGGCCGCGCAAGGGGTCTTCCTTTCTCATCAAGTTCCGTCTTGAGTTCTGCATGAGTGAAGCTGTTCCAAATCGGCGCTGGGGCAAAGGGGTCAGGAACGCCCATGTCAGTCGCCAACTGTTGTTCGATGAGGGTGTCATCCTCGATGCTCGGCTTGTTTATTGGCGTGAATCGGATTTGCGCATGGGACTGGTCAGTGACACCGATAGTCTGGGTCGGGGGGTCAGCAGTGCTTCCTCCACGACCACCTTGGGTGATTGGCTGGGCGTGAGAACGTTGGGAGGCACCAGTAGGATGGGTCGAAGAAGGATCCGTGCTCGCTTGACTACCACCAGGCTGGTTGTTGGTCTGGGCAAGCGACTGCCCGGTGACATGACCGCCGGTGTTCTGACTGGTTGACGGCTGACTGGTTGACGGCTGGCTGGTCG